AAGAAGTGATCATGGGGAAATTATCTTTTATTTTTACCTGTAATATTAGAGTTGTGAGTATTTTATTCACAAGACATTTGTTGAGAGGATGTTTAAGGCTGTATGACATCTTGGGGAAGCAAAGTTGAAGAAGGCTCATAGCTTCTGACTTCAAGGAACTAAATATAGATAGACAAACAGCGAATTGTTATATGTGTGATTGATCCTCAAATTGTGGGATGGAGGTTTCTGGGGGTTCCCGAGCTCTTGGTTGGTGGAAAGTTAAACTGTTTTCAGAACAACATTACATTGTTTGTCTTTGCCTTTTTGCTCTCAAGTCTTTCACAAGTATACAACAGCAGTAAACTTGTGAAATCTCTGTAGAGGTGGTAATCTAATCTTACTGTTTTCTGTTAAGCCAGACAAAGGACGTTTATAAAAACATCAAACATGTCATTCTTCTCAGTAACAATTTTCTTTTGAAAAATATAATTTTCGAGGCGGGGAAGGTGGCTCAGTGGTAGAGTGCTTTCTTTGCATGCATGAGGCCCTGGGTTTGATTCCTCAGCACCACAGAAGCAGAAAAAGCCAGATGTGGTGCTGTGGCCCAAGTGGTAGAGTGCTCGCCTTGAGCTGAAGAGCTGGGGACAGTGCCCAGGCCCAGAGTTCAGGCCCCACGACTGACCAAAAAAAAGAAAATTTTATATATATATATATATATATATATATATATATATATATATATATATATATATATATATATATATAATTTTTTTCCAAAAATAGAAATAATTTGTTTGGCTGGGCCTGGTGGAACATCCCCTTTGGGAGGTTTTAAGAAGGACTCTTATGCAATACTAGTGTATTCTGATTGTCCTGGCACAGGTGAATTATAAAGAAACAAAGGGCTGAAGCAGAGACTTGAGGCTAAGGTAGGAGGATCTGTCAGTCATTAAGCAGTGGAGCCTACTGGGGCAACATAGTGGAACCCTGTCTCAAGAAAAAGTGGAAGCAGAGATGGGTTAGGAGAGTACCAGAACAGCACAGACAAGAAATGGGCTGCTAGCTGACTACGGCTGCATCCGAGCAATGCAGTTGGGAGACTGCAGGCTTTGAGAGATAGAAATGGGGTTTTGTGTCTGTCTCTGGGCTGGTGGATGAAGAGTTGCAGAGCAGAGCAGTGGCTCTCCATGTTTATTTTAGCCTGGTTTGAAGTGAGCTCACAAGTCCAATTAAAGGTGTCAGGTAGACAACACACAGCTCTGAAGCCCTGGAAGAGACTCCCACCAGAGATAGGAATTTTAAGTCATTGGTGTTTGGTGATAGTAAGCTTCAGGGACTGGTAAGATTCCTAGTCATAAAGTAAAGAGGACGAGAAGATGAATGAAGCCTGAGCCTGGGATACTCAAGCAATTCCCAGTTATTCTTAGTAATGAACAGAATTTTTAAAAAGCACATAGCATGCATGTGTATTCTCCAGTAATACACTCCCTCTTTTCTTTCTTTTTTTTTCGACTGGTTATGGGCCTGAACTCTGGGCCTGGGTGCTGTCACTCAGCTCTTCAGCTCAAGGCTAGCGCTCTACCACTTGAGCCACAGTGCCACTTCCAGCTTTTTTTTTTCCTGCTTATGTGGTGCTGAGGAATCGAACCCAGGACCTCAGGCATGAAAGGCAAGTGCTCTACCACAGAGCCACCTTCCCAGCCCCTACACTCCCTCTTTTCTATAGTTACATTTGACCATGTGTTTTTATTTCTAATTTAGCACTAGTAAGTAGAAACAAATCTTAGGACTCATTCCTAGAGATAAACCTCCAGCAATACAAATAAATTCACTGGATGAGTTCATTTGTTGTAACATTGTTTGTGATTGCAGTCTAAATGCCTGTAAGTAATGGGATGCCCCCAAAGTGGAAAGAATGAGGATCTCTGGGCTGATACAAAGTAATTGCCAGGGTATTATTAAAGAAAAGAAGCAGAGTGCTAAACAGTATCTATATAGGATGTTACTTTGGGGGTGAAAAGAAGAATGGAAATAGGGAAATAGATGTGTATTTGCTCATTTGCAAAAACTGATGCAGGAAGCTGGTAAAACGGGTTTAGAGAGGTTGGGGACTCTGTGGAAAGGGTTGAGGAGAAATGAGGTAGTAGGGAAGGGAGTTAGGGGAGGTCTCTCTCTCTCTCTCTTTCTTTCTTTCCTTCCTTCTCTCTCTCTCTTTCTTTCTTTCTTTCCCGGTCGTGGGGCCTGAACTCTGGGCCTAGGCGCTGTCCCTCAGCTCTTCAGCTCAAGGCTAGCACTCTACCTACCACTTGAGCCACAACGCCACTTCCGGCTTTTTTCTTTTTTTGCTTATGTGGTGCTGAGGAATTGAACCCAGGGCCTCAGGCATGCAAGGCAAGCGCTCTACCACTGAGCCACCTTCCCAGCCCCTAGGGGAGGCTTTTCTGAGCAGATCTTCTCATATAGTTCTGTCATTTGGAACTACACTGATGTTTTATTCAATCAAAGGTAAATACATAAAAGCTATTAGGATAGGAAGAAAAACTCAAAATAAAGATAAGTGAACATGACTTCATCTATCCTAGTACATAAAAGCACATGGAAAGCGAGAGTAAAAACTAAATGAATTACTGCACAGAACTCTGCATGTAAAACCCCATGCCAAAATCTGTAATGATATTCTGAATTCAGAAGCTTTATTTTCTCATAGTGCTGTGAGTTAGGCTCTCCTACTGTTTATAACTCCAACCTTTTAACCTTTTTTCAATCTGTATTTTTTTCCCTTCTTGCAACACACACACACACACACACACACACACACTTTTTACAGTTTTATTCTTTGAGATAATTGGAATACGTTCCTAATATTTTCAGGTTTTTTCTTTTATCTTTTTATTTTTTGGTTGGTCATGGGGCTTGAACTCTGGGCCTGGGCGCTGTCCCTCAGCTCTTCAGCTCAAGGCGAGCACTCTACCACTTGAGCCACAGCGCCACTTCCGGTTTCCTGGTGGTTAATTGGAGATAAGAGCCTCATGGACTTTCCTGCCCAGGCTGTCTTTGAACCTCAATCCTTAGATCTCAGCCTCCGGAGTAGCTAGGATTGCACGCATGAGCCACCAGTGCCCGGCTTCACATTTTTTAATATGACTTTTGTTTTTTTCTTTTTTTTCTTCTTAGTACTGGGGATTGCTAGACAAGCACTCTACCATTGAGCTCTGCTCCCAGCCCTATTTTTGTGTTTGTGTGTGCGCGCGCGTGTGTGTCCATGCTCACACGTGTGCGTACTGATATGCTTGAATTCAATGTTTCACGCTCACAACTGGTACTCTACCACTTGAACCACATCCCCACTTCCAGCACAGTTTTGAGGGCTTGTCTACTTATACAGGCTCTTAACTATTTTCAGATCTTCACCTCCTAGGATTACAATTGTGAGCTACCAATCCCTGGCTTGATCTTTTCAAATCACTAAGTGCTTCAAGTTTTGTTGTTGTTGTTGTTGTTGTTTTTTAAAGTAGAGCCAGGTGCCAGTGGCTTATGCCTGTAATTCTAGATACTCAGGAGGCTCAGATCTGAGGACTAAGGTTCAAAGCTAGCCCTGGCAGGAAAACCTATAAGACTCTTATCGTCTATTAAATCACAGAAAAGCTGTAAGTATCACTGTGGCTCAAGTGGTAGATTGCTAGCCTTGAGCAAAAGTTGCTCAGGGACAGCACCCAGGCCCAGAGTTCAGGCCCCATGACCGGACCCCCCCACCCCCCAAAGGAAAAAAAAAAAAAAGAAGGAACACTGCTGAGAAGCGCCTCTGTCCCATCCTCATCACTGGTGTGCACTGTCCTAAGCCTCTCCTGTGGTATCATGTGCACAGAAGGACAGATAGCCAGATGGACTGATTGGTCAGTTTTATTGTATTCTGTTCTGTATTCTGCAGTGTTTTGCTTTGTTTTTGGTGTAAGTCCTGGGGCTTGAACTCAGGGCCTGGGCACTGTCGCTGTGTTTTTTTCCGTTCATGGTTAGCACTTCGCCACTTGAGCCGCAACACCACTTCCAGCTTTTTGGTCGTTAATTGGAGATAAGAGTCTCATAAACATTCCTGGCTGGGCTGGCTTTGAAATACGCTCCTCAGCCTCCTAAGAAGCTAGGATTACAGGCAAGAGCCACTGGCACCTGGCCTTCTTTTTGTCTCTTCCTCCTCCTCCTCCTCCTTCTCCTCCTCTTCCACTTCTACCTCTACCTCCATCTTTTCCTCCTCCTCCTCCTCCTCCTCCTCCTCCAGCTGGGTAGCCCAAGCTGGTCTCAGCACTAGTCTCGTGGTCTCATCATGTTTGGCCTCATAGTGAACAACACTTATTTTAATTTGACAGAAGAAACATCAAATGAAATGGAAGCAATGACTGGCCTGGGCAGAGCCTGTGTCACTCAGCATCCTTCCCAGCCTATTTGCTCTTAGTGCTTGTTAGTCTTGACATCTACTGGGAATGTACAAACTCCAATACACTATGTCTTCTTTCTTCTCAGCGGTCAGGGGAGCTTGATGAAGGCACAGTGCTTCAGCCTGGTTTTCCTGCAAGTGCTGTTCTATGCTTTGAGTTGCCTTTGCAGCCATTGTGGTGCAGGTATGGGCAGCCAGGGATGGGTGCTAGGCAGATTCTTGGAGCTCCATGCTCTTGGCCTTCAGAGAGCTTGGGCTTCAGCCTGAGATTCCTCTTTTGCTCTGCTGCCATTTTGGTGAAAGACCTCATGTTTTATGTCTACTGGGAAAATGACAGCCAGACTTCATCCCTAATGTGTAGAGCCTACTAATTAAAAAAAAAATGACAATTCAATAAAACCATTGGTCATAAGCTGAGGGCAAAGGAACACAGGTAAGAAATATAATAAAAAGCTCTTTAACTCCATTGGATCTTCAACCTTTATATTAACATGGATAATTTTAAGCAATTAAGTGCCATGTAGTAATAACATTTTAATACAGTACATTTAGATTAATACCTTTTCTCTTCTTTTTTTTTTTTTGGTAGTGTATCTTCTGATCTGAAAGTCTTCCATGAAAACCACAGTTTCAAAAAATAAGTCATGTCATCTGTTTTCTTTAAAGATTAAAATGGGGGCTATAATTTTGAGGTAAGTGCCAATTTATATTTTTAAGTTCCTTACATAAAATTCAGAAGGAGAATGTGCACATTGGTTAGATTCTGAATCTTGTAGCTAAACTCTGAATTGTGTATGTGTGAAATCTTAGGCCTTGCTTTAATGTAGTCTGGTATTTAGGGTTATTAAACATAGAATTAAGATGAGAACTTTTTGAAGGATAAAAGGAGGAGTGGTATCAAAAACTTTTTGGAGAATTGAAAACTAAAGAAACTTGAGGTTTCTTTCTTTTCTTTTTTTTTTTGGTTTCTTTTCTTTTTTTGGTTGGTAGTGGGGCTTGAACACTGGGCTAGGGCGCTGTCCCTGCGCTCTTCAGCTCAAGGCAACTGCTCTACCGCTTGAGCCACAGCACCACTTCCGGTTTTCTAGTGGTTTTTATTAGAGATAAGAGTCTCATGGACTTTCCTGCCCAGGCTGGCTTTGAACCTCGATCCTCAGATCTCAGCCTCCTGAGTAGCTAGGATTATAGGCGTGAGCCTCCGGCCCTTGGCTGAAACTTGAGGTTTCTTTTTTTTTTTTTTTTTTTGCCAGTTGTGGGGCCTGAACTCCGGGCCTGGGTGCTGTCCCTGAGCTCTTCAGCTCAAGGCTAGCACTCTACCACTTGAGCCACAGTGCCACTTCCAGCTTTTTCTGCTTATGTGGTGCTGAGGAACTGAACTCAGGGCCTCATGCATGCAAGGCAAGCGCTCTACCACTGAGCCACCTTCCCAGCTCTGAAACTTGAGGTTTCTTGAGGCAAGTCTCAGTATGTAGCCTGGGCTGGACTTGCACATGTGATCCTCCTGCCTTAGCCTCTTGAGTCTTTGTTAAGCATGTGCCATTGTACCTGGCTAAGAAACTTCTTTTGGATTTGACAACTAGAAAGCCGTTGACCTCAGCAGGGACCATTCCAGGGAGATGTTTATGGCAGAATGGAGCAAAGAATGTAGAGGAAGTGGCTAGGTCTAGATAATTCATTTATTACACCAATGGTAGGTCCTTGGAACACAGCGACCAAGTCCAGGAACACTGGAGATAGCAGGAATGATACTTAAACATAATTAATGCCCAACTGTTTTCCTAATTCCATCTTCTTCTCTCCTTCCCTCCCTCCCTCCCTTTTTCCCTCTCCCTCGCTTGCTAGGTATTTCAGCACTACCAAGTAGTAAACTATTCTTTAGAGTAGTTTAAATATTAAAGAAAATGACTAATCTCTTACCCTGAGGAGGCTGGAAAGTTGCAAAGACATCATCAAAGGGCTTCAAAGGGCTTACCTCTTACATAAGAGCAGCAGCCTTCAGAACCAAAACAGAAGGACAAAAGAGAAGGGATGAGTCAAGGAGCTTTTAGGCAGAGGAAGAAAATTAGAGCATTTGTTACCTTTACTTTAAAGTTAATTATTTTTTTTGTGCCAGTCCTGGGGTTTGAACTCAGGGCCTCAGTACTGTCCCTAAACTCTTTTGCTCAAGGCTAGCACTCTACCACATTTTGAGCCACAGTTCCACTTCCTGTTTTCTGATTAATTGGAGATAAGAGTCTTAAGGACTTTCCTGCCCAAGCTGGCAGATCCTCATATCTCAGCCTCCTGAGAGTAACTAGGATTATACACATGAGCCACCAGGGCCCAGCTGCCGCTGAACTTTTTTGTTCAAGGCTGGGGCACTACCATTTGAGCCACAGCTCTACTTCTTATCCTACCTTTTTTGTGTGATGTTGTGAATCCATCAAACACAGTGACTCACATGTGACAGAAGTACCCTCTACCTCTGAGATATAACCTTAGCCTCTTTAGCCTACTTTCTTTTTTTTTTTTTTAATGTGTGCTGGTACTGAGACTTGAACTCATGGCTTCGTGCTCTTGATCTGCTTTCTTACTCATGGCTCTTACTCATGAGCCATGGCTCTAGTCTGGTATTTTGCTAGTTATTTGGAAATGGAGTCTCACAGACTTTCCTGCCTGAACTTTGAACATAGATCCTCAGCCTCCTGTGTAGCTAGGATTATAGGTATGAGCAACTGGCCTTGGCTTATCCTACTTTTTTTTTTTTTTTTTAATAAGGTGGGGGTTAAAACTTTCAGACACATAGCTATAGTTAATCAATGGCAATTTGGGATCAAGGGAGAAGATAACACCGAGGAAAAACATTGTAGGGTAATTATCAAATTCAGCAGTTCTTAATGAATAGCTGCATTGTGCTGAGCACGCTCACAGACATGACCAGTGTTTCCAAGAAACTGACGACCGGAACCAACAGGGGAATACCAGCCTAGATTAGATGAGAGAAGGAAGGAAATAGGGCAGGTGGTAGAGAGTAACTGGCTGGCCAGAGGACATTAGGTAAGGTGTGAAAGACAAGAGTGAGGCGTGCAAATCAAGCTAAGTGCAAAGCTCTGGACTGATTAGAGCCGGATGTGCTTTAGGCATTAAAAAGAATTCCCTCCCACTGGATCTCAGCAGGTGGCTGGGGACCAGAGTAGGTGATAGAAGGCCAAAGAGATAGGCAGGAGAGGGCACACAAGTCCCCATGGTCAGGGCAAGGAGTTTGGACCGAAGTCTTACAAGTTTTGAGCATGGAAGCATCATGGTGTGTGTTAGATGCCTTGCTTGCTGTCGTGGTGGAAGATTACAGGTGCAGTGCATCCTAGAAAGTGCAGTGAAAGGCTGCTGAGTGGGCCAGTCTGGTAGGGCTGCACTCTTCCCCTGAGCTGTGTCCATAACATCACCCCGCTTTTAAAGGCTACATTTAATAACTACCAAGTTTGAAAATTTTCACCTTGGTGTGGACTGATTTCCTGGTTCATAGCTAGGGAAAGATACTCCCCATTTCCCTCCATGCTGTTAAAGGAAGAAAATGATGGTGGGGTTGCTCCTAGTATAGAGATGTTCTTGGCGATTTCACCTTCTATGCAGTTAGGATAGGGACAATCTCAAGAAGGCTCAATAGCGACATTATTTAGGTGCTGGAGCCTTATACATGCTGAGCACTGAGCAAATATCTCTGTGCCTCCTAGCTAAATGACCTGCCTTAAGTTGAAAGTCTGCCTTTAGGAGCTTCTCGCTGAGTTGTATAATCTTTATGAACAAACGAACGAGCACTCCAGTGATCAGTGGTGTGGTTGAAACTTGCCTTCCAGCTTTTGCCAGTTCCTTTTCCTCCCGTTGTTCTTCTCTGCCTCAGGGCTCTTTTCATTCATATGTATTGGATGTTTACGCAGTCAGAAATAATGTTCATAAAGATGATATTGTTGGGCGCCTACAGTTTCTGGACCTCTGATAATGTGATGTGCTCTTTGCTTTTCCTGAGAAAATAACTGTGGTCAGATTGTCCTGTAGTCTGCCCTAGACAGTGAGCACATTGTGAAGGAAATGGGGCTGTCTGCGTTGCATGACCTTTCCAATCTGGCCTGTTTGAGGCAGTAAGCAGCTCACGTAGCCTTTTGACTGCCACATGATGGAGGAAGTGGTACGTAAAGATGTGGACACAGCCGCCTTGTCCTCTAAAGAGTTTGCCAGTGTAAGAGCATGTTAGTCACCTATGCTGTGAAATACAGCTTTGCCTAGTAGGTTCCTAGTTTTATACACACAACACATAGAGTATACATACTAAAGGTGTCATTGTGTGGTAGTACAGGTTAAGTGTCCTGATCTGAAATGCTTCATAATCCAAACTTTTTTAAAATTTTTGTATTTTGTATTTGTTTTGGTCTGCTGTAGAATTGCACCAGGGTCCTGTGCTTGCTTGGCAAGTGTGCTTTCTCTGAGCTACATCCCCGGTCCTTCGAAAGGGTTTCTCTCTTTTTAATGAAACAACGTTTCACTGTGTTCCCACGTGGGTCTCAAACATACCAGGTCCCACCACACCTGGCTGCTGCCAAACACTTCGAATGTGAGACCACACATGGGAAATTCCCCACCTGACATGGTGTGGTGGCTTACAGTCAAAAGTAGACGTACTCAAGCGGTGTGTAAAATTTATCTCTAGGCCATGGGTACAGAAGTATGTATAAACATAATTGAGGTTTGTGTCCAGACTCGAGTGCCATCCCATAGATTCCTCATTCCATGCAGGTGTTAAAAATCAGAAAGGGAGCGCAGCAGTAGAGCACAGCTGCCCAGGGCATTGATGAAAGGGAACTGGGCAACTTGTGGGTGGAGATGGAGAGAGGGAATGGGATCGAATGAGGGAACGGATGACACTACCTGAAAGACAATGTTCTTATTTCCAGATGTACGTCAAAGAGACCCCACTGTATATCACCTCTGAAACAACAATAAATTGGAAAAAAAAATCAGGGATAGACAATGGCTCAGTGGCAATGTGCTTACCTAATATACCTGAGCCCTAGTCTTCAATTCCCATCATGGAAAAAAAAGTCCAAAATTTAAAATGATTCTAGTTCTGAGCATTTCAGATAAGATACTCAACCTTTAAATCTTTTTTCTCCTGATCATGGGCCTTGAACTCAGGACCTGGGTACTATCCCTGAGCCTCTCTCTGCTCAAGGCTAGAGCTCTACTACTTGGGCCACAGCACCACTTCTGGCCTTTTCTGTTTATGTGGTACTGAGGAATCGAACCCAGGACTTCATGCATGCCAGGCAAGCACTCTACCACTGATCTACAGTCTCAGCCTCAACCTTTAAATTTAAATAGAAAAATAAAAAATCACATTTTTTCGGTTTGGGAATATGAAGTCAGAGCTTCATACTTGCCAGGCAGGTGCTCTATCTCTTGAGCCTTGCTTTCCAGCCCTTTTTACTTCTATTGTTGTTGATTTTATCATCATCATCATCATTATCATCATCATCATCGTCGTTGTTGTTTTTATTATTGTCAGTTGTGGGGCTTCAACTTTGGGCCTGGGCGCTGTCCCTGAGCTCTTCGGCTCAAGGTGAGCGCTCTACCACCAGAGCCACAGCGCCACTTCTGTTTTTTTTGTAGTTCATTGGATATAAGAGTTCCACAGACTTTCCAGACTGATCTTGTTTTGAACCATGATGCTCAGTTCTCAGCCTCTTGAGTAACTGGGATTATAGGCATGAGCCACCAGCACATGGCTTATTTCCATTATGTTTCCATTATGTCTTGAGTTTATAACCAGGCTGATCCAGACTTAAGTCCTTCTATTCATGTTTGCTAGGAATCTAGGATGACACATGTACCACCACACCCTGACTATTATTGGTTGAGATGGGGTTTTGTGGAGGTGTGTAACACTTAGGGAGACAGAGGCAGGAGGCTCTGGCATTCATGGCCAGCTTAGACTGCATAGTAAGACCCAGCCTCAGAAAACAAACAAAACAAAGTAACATCAAAACAAGTATAAATGTAAAGAGTTCAGGTCTTTTGGGTTACCAGATGTCACGATATGAGAGGAATTATTATCCTCCAAACTAACAGCACTGGGTCCATTGTGAGTGGGCCATACGCTGGAACGGAGAGACGGTTTTATGACAGGAACATGTGGTGCTGCCTCAGCTCATTAGCCCAGGATATTTGTCCATTTTCCTTTGCTGTGACAAAATAACCAAGTCTGGGTGATGCCTAAAGAAAAAAGATTAATTCAGCTCCATTTTTTGGAGCTGCCTGAAGGTCAAGATCAGACAGCCGTCAGCCTGGCCTCTGCCCCACAGCTGCTCACCTGGCAAAATCTGAAGCCTGAGCATGGGGTGGGTTGGCCAGCTCAGTTGCAAGAACAAAACTGGGGTCCCATGAAAACTTCAGCTGGTCCCTCAAAGGCAAGTACTCCATCAAACTGCTAGGCTTGGCCTCTTAAAGGGCCACCCCTCTCTTGCACGTCAGCCCATTGGGCACCAGACTGCCTTGAGGTTCTTCCCTTTTGGTAAAGGTCTAGACCTGCCCACCTCCCCTGGCTTACTGTGTCCTCTAGAAAGAAGTCTTGGTAGTCAAGAGCTGGTAGCTCACACCTGTGATCCTAGCTGCTCAGGAGGCTGAGATCTAAGGATCACGGTTCAAAGCCAGCCTGGGCAGGGAAGTCTGTGAGACTCTTAGCTCTCATGAATCACTCAGAAAACCAGAAGTAGAGCTGTGGCTCAAAGTGGTAGAGTGATAGTCTTGAGCAAAAAAGCTTAGGGACAGTGCCTAGGCCCTGAGTTCAAGCCCCATGATTGACAAAAAAGAAGCTGACGTCCCCAAGAAGAGACACTTCCTCAGTGTTCTGAACACTGAGAGGCAGGCACGAAAGCTGCTCACAGAAGCATTTTGTCATTCCTGGCTGGATGGCCCAAGAGGAGAACTGGTCCCCAAACTAAAAGCTTCAAAACACACAAGCAAGTAATAAATAGTTGTACAGAGCAAACTGAAATCACCATGCAGGGGAGTAATCCTGGAACGGGTGGGAAGAAATCCCAGCCTTTGTAGGATGCTCTTTTAATTTTTATGGCTTGTAACTTAACTTTTGAAATGACAGTCGGCAGAAATAGCTGCACTGTGCAGAGCGTGGAGTAGAGCTTTCTCTCCAGCTGTAAGCTATTTAAAATTCTTCTCGTGTTGCTGTTTGCCATCCAGATGGCTTTCTGGCACTGGCACAGTTCCTAGATGTGATGTGAAGGCCCGTTGGTTACTCACCAGCTCCTCCACCGCGCCGGTCCACTGCGCCTTATGACTCACTGTCACAGTGGTTCTGCGAGCGCACTCACTTTCAGTCACTCCTGCCCACTGTGGTGGCACTCGTAAACAAGAGCCAGCAGGAAACGAGAGGAAGAGCCTTAACATCCACAGTCATGTGTACCCGACGCCGGAGCATATCAGGGCATCCCCACTGGAGCAAGAAAAAGAAAGGCAGCTCACCACACAGTCGGTCTTCTGACTCAAACACATGTCCGGGTGGAGGCACCAAAGTATACCGGGGGCTCGGCAAGCCGCAGTTGTCTCTGTATTTTTGCTTCACTCCTGTTGCCTCAGCTCAAGTGTTCATCTTGGAAGTCAGGTTGGAGGGGGTACCCCTCTGTCTGCAGCATGTCCCTGGGGTCTCTACTATGCTGACAGCGTCCCATTCCTCATCCTGCCGGCTCTTCAGTTACCTGTTGGCTCTCTGCTCTTTATGAACTGCTCTAATCAAACTACTTCTACCAAGTAGACCTCCTTTGCCATGTCTTCAAAGACTAGACAAGGCCAGCATTGCCTATTCCATATTGGGAGTGAAACCTCGTCCCATTAAGTTTTTGTTTTTGTTTTTGTTAATATAAAGGTGATGTGTAGAGGAGTTAGAGTTTCGTAAGTCGGGGAAAGAGTACATATAAATTTTTTTTGGGGGGGGACGGTGTCAACCCTTCCCTCACTCTCCCAGTTTTTCCCTTGCATCTCCATCCACAAATTGTATAATTCATTATCAGCCTAGTGTCTAGTGAGTACCACTGCTGCATTTGTTCCCCCTTGGTCCCTCCATTTCTGTGCTCCCCTTACTCTCCCAAAGACATATAAATGAACAAACAAGACAAAAAGAAAAGAAAAGGAAAATAGCAACAAAGAAAATACCGCTTGTTTCATTTTTTTTTAAAGTAACTTGTAATGTTCCATATATGTGTATGTTGCATAATGGTTAACTCAGGGTAAACATTCTCCAGTGTTTACCGTTTCCTTGTGATGTGGTCTTGAAAGTCTTTGCAGCTTTTGATGTGTACGGCACCCCATTGTGTCTGTGGTCCCACACCATGCGGGGGTGCCTAGGCCTTCTTGTCCTGCCTGTCACTTGGTGTCCTTGAGCAGTCTCCCCCTATACCTTGCCATCGCATTAATTTGATGCATTTAGGGAAATAATCAGGGTGCAGGCAAACCAGGGGGATAAGCTCTGTCCAGCAGTAATAAGTTGCTTTGGTCTGACAAACTGCCAGAAAGGTCCTCCTTTCCCTTGCAGTACATGTTATAGATACATGCCTAAATTCCCCGCCCCCCCCTCTTTTCCCTAGTCCTGGGTCTTTAACTCTGGGCCTGGGCACTGTCCCTGAGTTTCTGTGGCTCAAGGCTAGCACTCGTACCATTTGAACCACAGCACCAGTTCTAGCCCTTTCTGTGTATGTGGTACTGAGGAATCAAACCCAGGGCTTCATGCATGCGAGGAAAGCACTCTAACACCCAGCCCTAAATCTCTCTTTTTTTGGGGGGGGGGGTCCGGTCATGGGGCCTGAACTCTGGGCCTGGGCACTGTCCCTCAGCTCTTCAGCTCAAGGCTAGCACTCCACCACTTGAGCCACAGCACCACTTCCGGCTTTTTTCTTTTTGCTTATTTGGTGCTGAGGAATCGAACCCAGGGCCTCATGCATGCAAGGCAAGCGTTCTACCACTGAGCCACCTTCCCAGCCTCTAAATATCTCTTTTATCTGACAATTGTGTTTTAAGTTATTGGGAAAATTGAAGTTATTTAAAATTCATCTCTGTGTGTGTGTGTGTGTGTGTGCGTGCGCGCTCGCGTGTGTGTGCACACATGCGTGCATGCACGCGTGCATAGCAGTCCTGGGGTTTGTACTCAGGGCCTGGGCATTGTCTTTCAGCTTTTTTGCTGAAGGCTAGCACTCTACTATTTGATCCATAGCTCCACTTTCTTTTCTTGTTTTGGTGGTTACTTGGACATAACGAATCTCATGAGCAGCCAAACCATGATCCTCAGATCTCAGCCTCCTAAGTAACTAGGATTATAGGGATGAGTTGTTGGAACCTGTCTCTGGATTATATTGAAATTCAAGGTTTCATTGTAGAATGCCGGCTCTCTCTCTCTTACACACACACACAGACACAGACACACACACACATTTTTCTAAGTGTCTTTCTTTTCTGTGTGACCCAGGCTGACCGACCTTGAACTTAGGGCCTCAACCGATCCTCCTGCCTCAACCTCCCAAATGGCTGGCTTGTCATGTTTTCCTATTAACATTGGTCAGTGTATTTTGCTCTGAATCCTAGGGCCCCATGGTTATGAGTGTGCCTCAGCCCCATGATGCCTCCTGCTATGGCAGACATCCTTGACATCTGGGCGGTGGACTCACACATAGCATCTGATGGCTCCATCCCTGTGGACTTCCTTCTGCCCACTGGCATTTACATCCAGCTGGAGGTACCTCGGGAAGCTACCATTTCTTCTATTAAGCAGGTATGCCACTGGTTAGAAGTTCTGGACTCCCACGGCTATTCTCTGCATCACTTTATTTATGTAGATCCTGGGAAGTCAGAGAGAAGTTTAACCTGTAAGTCATTATATTTGAAAGGTTTTGGTCCATGTCTTGTTTCATGGACATCTCAGCCAAGCTTATACTGTTCCCACTTGTGGCTAGATCTTAGGTCACAAGTGACAACTGAATTAAGAAAAATTGGCTTACATTAGCTGTTTTGAAATGTTTGTTCGGGTTTCTAAAACTGTCAGAGTTGAGTTAAAAATCTTTTAAGTGGCTGTCTTTGAACTTGTTATACTAATTTTCTCTCATGATGTGTGATTGGTCCCATTCCTCCTCATGCTGACTCTCAGGGAAGAATTGTCTACCAAAGACCAACATGCATATGAAATCGCTTTTCTAAACTTTCTCTTTAATGTTTTTCTTCTTTTTGTCTTTTAATAGGGTCTTGCTGTGCATCTCAGGTTGGCCTGGAACTCAAAATATAGCCCAGGCTCATTTTGAATTCCAGAACCTCTTACTTAAGCTTCTTTTTTTTTTTTTTTTTTAGTACTGGAGATTTTTCTTTCTTGTGTTTGTTTTGTTTTCTGTTTTTTGAAGACAGGGTCTTGTATAGCTGGCCTGAAAATGGTTAGGCAGGTACTCTCATCACTGACCCACACCTCCAGCCATTGTGTTTACATGTTATTCCTTTTTTTTTTTTTCCTGTTGGTTGTGGGGCTGTTCTACCACTTGAGCCACAGTGCCACTTCCTGCTTTTTCTGCTCATGTGGTGCTGAGGAATCGAACCTAGGGCCTCATGCATGCAAAGCAATCACTCTACCACTGAGCCACCTTCCCAGCCCCTTACATGTTATACTTATGGTAGGGCTTAGAATTCACCTCGCCAGGCCCGTAGTACTGTGTACTTGGTTTGCCCATTGGAGGTGTGAGTTGTATGCAGTGCTGCAGAGTGTTCTTGGATTCCTGTGCCAGGACTCCGGTTGTAGAAGGTATTATTTCTCCTGCAGATGCTATGGAAGCAAGTTCACCACTACCCAATGTTCAACCTGCTCATGGAAATTGACTCCTATATGTTTGCATGTGTGAATCAAACTGCTGTTTACGAGGAGCTCGAAGATGAGACGCGAAGGCTTTGTGATGTCAGGCCTTTCCTCCCAGTTCTCAAGTTAGTGACGCGAAGTTGTGACCCAGCAGAAAAACTGGACTCAAAAATTGGAGTCCTTATAGGAAAAGGTAATTAAAAAGTTCCTAGCATGGATTACTAATATACCTGTTGTTAAATGTATAAGAGTTACTGCTTTTCCAAGTGCATGCTGTCCATGGACCAACAGTGTTCACAGTTTGAGAATAAGGTAAGTGCAGAACAGAGAGTAAATGTTTGGAAATTCCTCTAGCAATGAGACATTGCCACAGGATCCTAGAGCTTATGTCTGATACCTATAGACATACAGTGACCTGAACAAGAGACGGCAAAGGATTAGTTAGAGGCAGGCTGGTGGAGGAACCGAGAGGCATGGACAGAGTTGAGCCATTTAGAAGATGGAGTAGATGTGACTTATAGTGGATAAAAGATTTTTTTTTTGTTAGGTGCATATGGTATCTAGTGTCCTTGTGTGTAATCTGTATTATCTGTACACAGAAAGAATGTGTACCGGTTGTGATAGACAAAATGCTCTAGATGCTTGAGTCTCCCCCATTTACAGTCCAGAGCTAAAGCTATCCGCAAAGATCATATTGTATCCACAGAATGTTGTCTCTGTGCTAGTGTTTGCCCTGCCATTCCCCTCTCAGATCTCTTCTCCCACACACAGGGTTTTGCTGTGTCACTCAAGATAGCCTTAAACCTGTGGTCATCTTGCCTTAGCCTCTCTAGTGTTGGAATTACAGAGGTGTGCTACCATGCCCAGCTAAGATTCTGTTTTAAGGGCATTTTTAGGTTCCCAGAAAAGTTTACAGGAAGGTACAGATGTTCTTAAGCACCTTGCCCCCCTTCCCACCACACAGTTTACTGTGAAATAACTTTGTAGGCTTATTTTTTTAATACCCTTTGGAGCAGCATTTAAATTCTTAGCCTTTCTCATATATTTGAATTGTGTCTTCTTTGATTTGTAAAGAAAGGTACGTGCCTTTTCTTTTTTTTTTTTTGGGTCCGGTGTTGGGGCCTGAACTCTGGGCCTGGGTGCTGTCCCTCAGCTCTTCAGCTCAAGGCTAGCGCTCTAGCACTTGAGCCACAGCACCACTTCCAGCTTTTTTCTTTTTGCTTATGTGGTGCTGAGGAATCAAACCCAGGGCCTGAGGCATGCAAGGCAAGCGCTCTATAACTGAGTCACCTTCCCAGCCCTGTGTGTGTCATTTTAGGTGGTTTAAATTGCATAGTTACACTGGGCACTGATGGCACACGCCTGTAATCCTAGCTACCCAGAAAGCTGAGATCTGAGCATCACTGTTCAAAGCCATCCTGAGCAGGAAAGTCTGTGAGACTCTTATCTTCAACTAATCACTAGAAAGCCAGAAGTAGTGCAATGGCTCCAAGTGGTAGAATGCTAGTCTTGAGCAAAAAAGCTCAAAGACAGCACCCAGACCCTAAGTTCAAGGCCCATGACCACCACTACCACCACCACCAAAAAAAATAATGTATATTACAAATTTTAGTGGTTATATGGCAGGTATGTAGTACATATTGCTTTAAAGGTTTTAAGTTTGAGCAGACTTAGTATTTATTGTGTCACCTGACTCTTTTTTTTTAAGCTGGCCATGGGTCTTGAACTCTGGGCCTGGGCACTGTCCCTGAGCTCTTCAGCTCAAGGCTAGCATTCTAGGGCTGGGAAGGTGGCTCGGTGGTAGAGCACTTGCCTTGCATGCATGAGGCCCTGGGTTCGATTCCTCAGCACCACATAAGCAAAAAGAAAAAAGCCGGAAGTGGTGCTGTGGCTCAAGTGGTAGAGCGCTAGCCTTGAGCTGAAGAGCTGAGGGACAGTGCCCAGGCCCAGAGTTCAGGCCCCACGACTGGACCAAAAAAACAAAACAAAACAAAACAAAAGGCTAGCATTCTACCACTTGAACTACGGCACCACTTCCAGCTTTTTCTGTTTATGATGGTACTGAGGAATTGAACCCAGGCTTCATACATGCTAGACAAGCACTCTACCACTAAGCCACCTTCCCAGCCTTCACCTGACTTCTTTAGAGATCTTTCCTGATACTTTCTAATTTTGTCTGTTTGATGAAAAGCCAAACATCCAAGTTAGTTCTGGTTGAAAGTACTTTGATTTTCTTTTATGATTGTTAGCCTTTGAAATTGACACCTTTACAAAATGTGTTTAGGTCTACATGAATTTGATGCCTTGAAGGATCCTGAAGTGAATGAATTTCGGAGAAAAATGCGCAAATTCAGCGAAGAAAAAATTCAGTCTCTGGTGGGATTGTCGTGGATTGACTGGCTGAAGCAGACGTACCCACCAGAGCACGAGCCATCCGTCCTTGAAAACCTGGAAGACAAACTCTATGGAGGAAAGCTCATCGTGGCTGTGCACTTTGAAAACAGTCAGGTATCACCGTGGTTTTGAAGGAAATTCTTGGTATTAAATCTCTGCTTTTCACCTGAATATGGCTTCTGTCTGGGACGTGTCAGAGCATTTCAGATTAAGATGGGAAGGATGTTTAAAATTCTGTACAGCAGTATAGATCTACTGCACACATGCTATTTTTGGTTTAGAATAGTGTTGTACAATTGCACTATTCAGTTGTTTTTTACAGTTAAAAGAGGTATTGAAAACCTCAATCATAGAGAGACTTTTTATTATTTATTTTTAAATTTTTCTCATAAAGGTGAGATCTGAGGATCTCAGTTCAAAGTCAGCCTGTGCAGGAAAAGGGCAGATGAAGTCCGTGAGACTCTTACCTTCAATAAACCACTCAGAAAACCTGAAGTGGCGCTTGGCTCAAGTGGTAGAGTGCTAGCCTTGAGCTAAAGGGCTGAGGGACAGCTCCCAGGCCCAGAGTTCAAGCCCCACGACTGACAAAAAAAAAAAAAAAATTAGAGTAGCTGTGATAAAGAATCCTGCCTTCTGACATTTTCCCCTTATATAGAGAAAATACAATTGTTATCATCTCTCAAATTATAATGTGCTTGAAATTTCGTCTGAGTGCCAGGCGCCTGTGGCTCATGCCTGTAATCCTAGCTACTCAGGAGGCTGAGATCTGAGGATCGCGGTTCAAAGCTAGCCTGGGCAGGAAAGTCCGTGAGACTCTGATCTCCAATAAACCACTAGAAAACCAGAAGTGGCGCTGTGGCTCAAGCGGTAGAGCGCTCTCCTTGAGCTGAAGAACGCAGGGAAAGCGCCCAGTCTCAGAGTTCAAGCCCTACAACCAACAAAAAACAAAAACAACAACAAAAGAAATTTCGTGCCGGGCGCTGGTGGCTCACGCCTGTAATCCTAGCTACTCAGGAGGCTGAGATCTGAGGACCTCGGTTCAAAGCCAGCCTGGGCAGGAAAGACCATGAGACTCCTATCTCCAATAAACCACCAGAAAACCGGAAGTGGCGCTGTAGCTCAAGTGGTAGAGCACTCGCCTTGAGCTGAAGAGCTGAGGGACAGTGCCCAGGCCCAGAGTTCAAGCCCCACAACCGACAAAAAAAAAAAAAAGAAATTTCGTCTGAGTGAAGACTTTAAGTATCCTTTCAGTACTGTTTAGGGATTTCTGCAAGGGCTAGAGAGGTAGAATAGGGACATTACTGCTGAAAAGTGATTAACATTCAATATGGAAACAGTGGCTCAGTACAATTTACCTTTCTGGGTCAACCTGACTTTCCTTATAGATGGGTTAAGTCTCTCCTGGGGTATACAAATGTTAATATAACCATCATAGTAAAGGGCACGTGAAAGGAAGTGTTGAACAGAGGGAAGAGATGAAGAGGGTGGAGTCTTCCTGGATTTCAGGCAGTCGTGGAGTTTTGAGAGCATGTGGTCAGACTCTTAATTCTTTCCATGGTCCCTGCTGGCCTGAGCCTCTGCTCGAACCCATCCACTGCAGGTGCGCAGGCTTTGCCTCTGAAGAACAGTATCCTCACTGCACAGGCATGTGGTCGAAGTTGGGATCAAAATATTTTAGATTCTGCCTTGCCCTCTGTGACTTCTGCCCATCACCATGGTGTCTGTGTGGTCTTCCAGGTGCCCGATTCTCAGCTAGTGTCTCCTTTGTTAGATGCTAGACACATCCTGATGAGCTCCTGGACTTCTGGATGATACAAACCAGCAAACTATTAAGCTGTCAACATTGTTTTGAGCAGTCACATAGAAGTTTTAGATGTATTTGGCCAAGTAAACCTCAAATTTTCATTTATTACTGGTGGAATTTCATGAATGCCTGTCACCAAAAATGCAAGAGTGACATCGTCAGAATAAAGGCATCTGGCGGCCTCCTCCATCTTGGTGCATCCTAATCCCCCCTCTTTCCCTCCTCCTGCTTCTGTAGGCATCTCACTTGCCCACTTCACTGTCAGCTGCTGAGAAACAGCACCCAGGGAACACTAAACTAAAAATAAAGTGTGATGTAACAAGTTGTTCATTGGGTTTAAAAAACATAAGGCTAGTAGGAATGCTAGCGAGCCACTGCTGTGAACGCCACCACACCGTGTGGATGTTGTATCGTCAGGATGAGCCAGCCTTCAGGTGGCATATAGAAATGAGGTGGATAGAATCTTGGGCCTGTCATCTCAGTTTTACAAAGCAGCAGTCCTGGAAGTCAAATCCCATATGTATTATTGAATGGGGGACTACTGGTGTGGCGTGCCTTGCACACAGTTTTGAAGTCCTTGGTTTGTATAAAATTGAATTATATATAAATCTATTTCCTTGTGATGCCCTCCCACCGCCATCTCCCCACTAACTGGTGAGCATGAGTGCCTTATCATTTACCCCACAAACATTTTTCTTCTATTGTGTTTTTGTTGTTGTTGTCTTCTAGTTTTAAACTTGTACATATTATGTTTTTGTTTTTTTTTTTAACTGATTCATTGAAGGTTCTTGATTTATTTTAGAGGGAAGACAGGCTGTAATCCTGTCATTAATATGTTCAGCAAAGATGGGTGAGGTGGTGTGCAGTTCTAGAAATAACAGAAAACGCCCTAAGTTTAGGTTGAACCAGTTTGACTTGGAGATACCCCATGAAAAAGGGAGGTGACTTAGTGAAAAATACTGCAGAAATCAATGTCAGGTCAATATAGAGTTTGGTAGAATTGGTAGAATTGTAGTTGGTTGCTTTGAGGGTTTTGAGGGTTGCTTCCTGTGTGTGGTATGTGATCATGTGGTGTGAAGTTACTATGCCAGATCATGAATTCATCTGTACTGTTTCTTTTTCCATTGAGTTTTATGATGAGCAGACATAGTACTGCTCAGGATATACAGGACCTAGATTCCATCCCCAGTACTCATTTGTACATTTGGACAGAATAGATAATTTATAGTTAAATCTTTATAAAGGACTATTCTTACCAGTGTTTAGCCTACACATTATTCTTTTTTTTTTTTTCTCTAGTGCTAGAAATTGAACCTAGGACTTCGTGCATGTTAGGCAAGCACTATACCACTGAGCAATCCTCCCAACCCCAGGTTTTGTAGCATTTTAGAGAAAGATGTGTATAAGAAAATCCCTAAGACCCGTTACCTGAGAGTAATCCTTAGTTAAATACTAATCTTACTGCTGGAGGTGTGGCACTCAGTATACAGTAAAGTGACTTACAGATTGTCATAGACAGTTGTCTCAGACAATTTTTTATGTGGGCACACAGAATGTAGAAAAATCTACTTAAGTAGAAAGCATAATTATTGTTGTTTAGTATTTGTTGTTCCATGCAAACAAATAGGCACACCTGCACATACTACTATATTCTAATTTCAGTGGTGGTTTCCAGCACAAGTATAAAGTTCACGTTCTCTCTTAAACATTCTGTGTTTGTAGGATGTGTTCAGCTTTCAAGTATCCCCTAATATGACTCCTATCAAAGTAAATGAATTGGCTATCCAGAAACGCCTGACTATCCATGGAAAGGAAGACGAAGCCAGTCCCTCTGACTACGTATTGCAAGTCAGCGGGAGAGTGGAGTATGTATTTGGAGACCATCCACTAATTCAGTTCCAGGTACATATGGGAACTTTTCTTCCTGATGTAAGAAAAGGCATGCCTACAGAAAAACCACACAGAACCCAGTAAAACCCACCGCCCCCACCCCGAAAACCACTTGAGGCAAGGATGGCCTGTATCCTTTTGCTGGGGAGACCGCTGGGAATGCATACCTAGAACTGTGTACTGCTAAAGGGCGCCTCAGGGATCCTAGGACAGTGTGCCTGCCGTGCAGGAGCCATACTCACCTTTCTGGCTGATGGGCTGAAGTATGACTTTGGCACCTGACTAGTAGATTTAAGTCCAGGTCTTGCACATCCCAGGTATGTGATTTACCCCTTCTGGGTTATGAGTAGTTTAGCTGTTAAGTGAAGGAATAGTTTCTCACCTAGATAGCTGTGAAGATTAACACTGACATGTAAAATTTCAGTTGTTAGGTACTTGAGTGTTCAATACAAGATAGCTATTTTATGTGTAGTGTTTTCTTTTTTTTTTTTTTTTTGCTGGTCCTAGGGCTTGAACTCAGGGTCTGGTCACTGTCCCTGAGCCTCTTTGTACTCAAGGCTAGTACTCTACCACTTAAGCCACAGCGCCACTTCCAGCTTTTTCTGTGTCTGTGGTACTGAGGAAATGAACCCAGGGCTTCATGCATGCTAGGCAAGCACTCTTACCACTAACCCACATTCCCAGCCCCTTATGTGCTGTGTTGTTTTTGTGGTGCTGGGAATAGAACTGGGGGTCCCTGTACATACTAGGCAAGTGCTACATCAATGGGCTAAATCTTCAGCCTAGAATTTTTTGACACAGGCTGACATCCAACTGGTGATTCTCCTGCTTCTGCCTCCTAGGTGTTGGAATTACAAGCATCTGTCACTATGCTTAGTACTATGTAGCAATTACAAATGATCTTAACTCTTGATGTGGATTATTTAAGGTATGCTTTTGCAGGGCCATGGATATGGTGGTGTTCAATTTTATTTTATTTTATTTTTTTTTGCCAGTCCTGGGGCTTGAACTCAGGGCCTGGGCACTGTCCTTGAGCTTCTTTTGCTCAAGGTTGGCACTCTACCACTTGAGCCACAGCACCACTTCTAGCTTTTTCTGTTGATGTGGTATTGAGGAATCAAACCCAGGGCTTCCTGCATGCTAGGCAAGCACTCAGCCACTAAGCCGCATTCCAAGTCCCTCAAATTTGTTTCTTTCTGTTGATTTCTGTGTTTGCCTGGAAGTCCATACATACCTCCTTATTTCTTGCCACTGTAGTATATCCGGAACTGTGTAATGAACAGATCCCTACCCCATTTTATACTGGTGGAATGCTGCAAGATCAAGAAAATGTATGAGCAGGAAATGATTGCAATAGAGGCTGCTGTAAACCGACATTCATCTAACCTTCCTCTTCCTTTACCACCGAAGAAAACACGTGTTGTGTCTGTAAGTTTCATGTGGGAACCTTCCCTAACCCCAAAGCCATGTGATTTGCTGGGAAATTCTAAGTCTCACACATACTTCCTTCATTCACTTAAAATAAAACTGGAAATTGAACTAACTAGGGCATTGGTAGGCAAGTGCCATAGCGCTTGAACCATATCCCCAGCTCTTGTTACATATTTGAGACAAGGTCTTGCTGTATAGTACAGGCTGGCTTTGAATCTGTTATCTTCTTGCTTCAGCCTTTCAAGTGCTGAGATTACAGGTGTATACTGCATCTGGCTCAAATTAGTGTTTTTGATATGATTTGCCTGTAATTCTTTCAGTATTCAGTATTTTGGGCACTGCTTTTCCCCCCAGAATATATTTGTATAAAGTAGATAGGGTTTTTGTTTATATAAAGTTAATATTTTCCCACTGACTCAATCTTTACATATTTACATTCTTTTTGACAATATGGCTATAGTAATATAAGTAGTCAGTCTCTGCAAAGTTTTCAGTACTGCTCTTAGCAGTGGTGGAATGTTGCCTGTGTTTCATTTTACCATCAAAACCAAGTGCTAGTGGCTATAACGCTTAGTTTATTAGGATTGTTGTTGTTATTGTTTTGTCTCAGCAGTTAATCATCTCCTAGTTAATCAAACCTGGGGCTGTGCCCGCCACAGCATGCTCAGCAATGCTACATTGACTCCCTGTGATTGCCAGTTGTGGGACAGAGCTTGTCTTCATGCTTGTGGTGCAGTGACAGACAGCTGGTGCTGTGGTAGAGTGCTCATTATGTTCACTAAAGTATCTCGGTACTTCATTCTTTTACAGCATGTTTGGGACAATAACAACCCTTTCCAAATTGTCTTGGTAAAAGGAAACAAGCTGAACACAGAAGAAACTGTAAAAGTGAGTACTTTCACACATGGGCTTTTGCCTCTGCTGTGCTATTTGAAGAACTCCCTCAGAGACTCAGTAAAATTCATGAGGATTAAGTTTTACACATTTCCATCCATTACACGAGATGGAACCTGACCACTTGTCCTAAGACTACTGAGTATTTTTGATGTATTGTTTACCTACTGGAAAGATCCTCATTTTCCCAGCATGCATCATGTAGAGAAGCTTGCTTTTAGATCAGGAATTTGGCAAGTGAAATTTAAACCCCCAACCTCAGGTCGTAAGTTTCTGTGCAAGCTTCCCCTCCTCTCAGTCTTGCCCCGAGCTGTGCTCAGCCTCCACTTTTAGCTTTTATTTTCCCTAAACTTGCTGAGCATGGAGGAAAATAGATGACTACATTCTAGACCACAAGTGGGTAACACGTGGGGCTTTATTGCACAACTCTATACAATTAGCTAAAGACCTGATGAGACATTTTGCCTGAGTGGCAAACATTCGTTTTTCCCTATTTTGTTGGACAGGAAATTAAGAGAATAGTTTTGTGATCTTAGAAAGTGATTCAGTTAGTTGGACATGTTTGTTGGCATGAAGTTACACTCAAGGGAACCTTGGCAAAAAATTACCAGTCACTTGATTTTTTTTCTTCCCTCTTGCTATGCTTCCCAGGCTGGCCTAGAACTCCTGGCTCAGTCTCCTGAATGCTGAGATTACAGATATATTCACTACACCCACTTGCTTTTTGTTCAGAGATATTAACAATTCTGTAGCAGAGTAGAAAAGTAGTTACCAGGTCTGAGAGGTGAGAAATGGAGGAAAGTAGGCCAAAAGGTACAAAGATAGTTATCTTGGATGAACAGTCCCAGAGATCTGAAAATATGATAACTTCAGTTAATAATACTGTGCACATACTGAAAATTTGCAGAGTAGATTTTAGGTACTCTTACCAGGAAAAAAGGGGGGGAAGGAGGAAAATTATATGTGATGCTAGGTATGTTAATTTACTTGAGTATAGTAATCACTATGTAGATGTATATATTAAAGCAATAGTATACCGTAAATGTGTACAACTTAATCTTGGAGTTTGCTGTGATTAAGGTAAGGGTTTTGGTCTTCTTCTCACCTAGATATCTACCTCCCTCCCCTTTTTCCTATCACCCCAGGGCCGCCTCCATATTAGGCAAGCACTCTAACTCATGAATTATACCCCTAGCTCTTTTGTTTGTATTTGTTTCTGAGATAGGGTCTTGCTAACTTTTGCCTGGGCTAGCCTTATACTTAATTCTCCTAGTCTCTGCCTCCTGTGTGGGATTGTAGGTATGCCCACCCATGCCCAGCATAGATGTTTAGTTGTTTATTTATTGCCAGTTCTAGGTCTTGAACTCAAGGCCTGGGCACTGTCCCTGAGCTTCTTTTGCTGAAGGCTAGCACTCTATCGCTTGAGCCATAGTGCCACTTCTGGCCTTTTCTGTTTATATGGTACTGAGAAATTGAACTCAGGGCTTCATGCACGCTAGGCAAGCACTCTACCACTAAGCCACATTCCCAGCCCAGATGTTTATTTGTGTGTGTGTGTGTTCACTGTCAACTTGTCTATTTTAGTGATGATTTAAAAAGCCTTTCCTTCCTCTTACTTTCTGAATGTTTTCATAAAATTTTTCCTCTTTAATGTTTGAAAGAATTTGTTCAAACCATCTAAAGACTTTTAATTAGAAATTTATTTTCCTTAGTGGACATATACATATATACATATGTCAAATATATATAATATATATATGCAAAACCTTGTTTTTCTCTTAAGTCTGGAGATTTTGTTTTATCTTATTAATTTTATTTTCTTAAAGTTCATAGACATCCTATATATCACCTTGTTCCAGCATAGCGAACAGCTACAAATTTAGCAGTTTAAAATAACACTTTGAGCTTACTATGTGCAGCTTACAGTGTAGGTTCTTTGCTTATGCTTATGGTCTTACAAGGTTATAATGAATTGAGTGTTGGATTGTAATCCAGAAGTTAAGTCTGACTGGGCTGCATTTCTTTCTGAAAGTATCCTTTTAAAAAGTTTTCTTTGGGCTGGGCACTGGTGGCTCATGCCTGTAATCCTAGCTACTCAGGAGGCTGAAATCTGAGGATCGCGGTTCAAAGCCAGCCCGGGCAGGAGAGACCGTGAGACTCCTCTTTCCAATAAACGACCAGAAAGCCGGAAGTGGCGCTGTAGCTCAAGTGGTAGAGTGCTCGCCTTGAGCTGAAGAGCTGAGGGACAGCGCCCAGGCCCAGAGTTCAAGCCTCACGACCGACCAAAAAAAAAAAAAAAAAAAAGTTTTCTTTGGGGGTTGGAGGCGTGGCTCAGTTGATAGATTGCTAGCCATTGAGCAAAAGTGCTGATTGTCTCTTTAAATATGCTAATATCAGGGCTGGGAAGGTGGCCCAGTGGTTAGAGCACTTACCTTGCATGCCTTAGGCCCTGGGTTCGATTCCTCAGCACCACATAAGCAAAAAGAAAAAAAGCCGGAAGTGGTGCTGTGGCTCAAGTGGTAGAGCGCTAGCCTTGAGCTGAAGAGCTGAGGGACAGCGCCCAGGTCCAGAGTTCAGGTCCCACAACCGGACCCCCCCCCCCCCCCAAAAATAAGTTAATATCAGTTCCTCATCATTTACATACTTTGAGTATAGTATATAAAGGTGATGTAAAGGTTTGCTTGCATTGCTATTGTGTAAATTCAGTGGTTGACGATAGTATTCAAGAATGCAGATACTTCATTTTGATCAGAATAACCTGCTGTTTTGCTTTCTCTTTTCCTGCCCCCTCCCTTATTGATCAACAACTTCCACTGAGCTTCTCTGTACCACCTAATTCATCATTGCAATGTATTTCAGAATTAGTCGCCCTCCATCTTTGGCAGTGCTGGGGATTGAACCCAGTGCTTTGTGCATCCTTGGCAAGCATGTTTCCACCAATATTCACCTCTAGTCCTTTAGCTCTGTCTTTATTTGTATACTGATATACATTCTAGTCATTTAGCTCTGTTTTCAACTCTCCTTGGCCTCTCATCTCTGGATTTAGAGACAGTGAGGACACACACACACACACACACACACACACACACACACACACACACACACACGAGTAAAATTTTCTGAGACATTTTATGTGTACTTTGTATTATCTTACCTCGAAAGTGGACCTTAGGGGTAGAAAAGGTCAGTGACTTCTTAGGTCATCATGGATATGAATATGTCTTCAGTTAGCTATTGACTTATAAATGACGAACTCATAAATTATTAAGAAATAGGAAGAATGGCCTGCTCATCCACTCATTCTTTCCCAACTATACAGAAGAGTAGAAAGGCCCCAACTAAATGCAGTCTGTGGTAATGAGCACTTGGTAGTGTTTTTTTTTTTAGCATTGTTGCTTTTTTTTTAGACTGTCTGAACCACTGGGACCTCTGGTGTGTCCACCCCATGAGATTTTGTAGCTGGCCTGTTACTAAGTGAAAACCAGGTCACATTCACCAGAGTTTATGATACTGTGTAGACACAGGCTTTCTAAAGGACGGTGTGTCTCTGCTCTTAGGACATCATTCTTTGTTCTGTAGAACAGTCCTTTCAGTTGTGAAATATTCATTACCTTGTGCATTTTTTTTTTCTTCTCCCATTGTAGGTTCATGTCAGGGCTGGCCTTTTCCATGGTACAGAGCTCCTGTGTAAAACCGTTGTCAGCTCAGAAATATCAGGGAAAAATGATCACATCTGGAATGAGCCACTGGAGTTTGATATTAATACTTGTGACTTGCCACGAATGGCTCGATTATGTTTTGCTGTTTATGCAGTTTTGGATAAAGTAAAAACGAAGAAATCAACTAAAACTATTAATCCTGCTAAGTACCAGACCATCAGGAAAGCTGGAAAAGTGGTAATGATATTCTAACTTGTGAAAATAGTTTATATAGTGAAATAGTTTTCAAAGCTGTTTGAAGTAATTGAGAAGTATAATAAAAGTATATCACATAGTTTTGATCCCTGAGAATTGATTTAAGATGACATTCAGTCTCCATGATTATGTCATGTTCTTTTGGCAATGTTACTTTCAGGGAGGTCACATATTTTAACAAGAAAATAAAAAAGATGCTTTAAAAATAACCAGTATAGAACTGGATGTTGGTGTCTCATGCCTGTAAACCTAGCTACTCAGGAGGCTGAGATCTGAGGATCGCAGTTCAAAGCCAGCCTGGGTAGGAAAGTCAGTGAGACTCTTATCTCCAATAAACCACCAGAAAACTAGAAGTGGCGCTGTGGCTCAAGTGGTAGAGCGCTCGCCTTGAGCTGAAGAGCTGAGGGACAGCACCCAGGCCCAGAGTTCAAGCCCCACAACTGACAAATAAAACACCAACCAACCAATCAACAAACAAAAAAACTCCTCTAAGTGGGTGCTCATGCCTGTAATCCTAGCTACTCGGGAGGCTGAGATCTAAGAATCGGAGTTCAAGTCCCAACACTGACCAAAAAAAAAAAAAAAAAAAAAAACCCAAAGCGTATTTGGAAGTAGAACTGTGGCTGAAAGTGGTAGAGTGCTAGCAAAAAAGCCCAGGCCCCAGGTTCAAGCCCCACAGCTGACAAAAACAAAACCAAGACAAAACTGGTCCACAGTCACTTAAAACATTCTGGATGCAGATATGGTTGTGTGTGTTTTAGAGTCTGGGGTCTGGGATGCAGGCATGCGGTGAAGCCTACCATACTATGAGGTGAAGGATGAATACTAATGGTGTATATGGCAAATAAGACTTATTAACTGCCTGTCACCTCTGTCCATGTTTTGCTATGGTCCCTTTAGTTAGGAAGAAGCCTTTAGTTTTGTTACTTTCAGTTGGAATTGGATTTTGAAATTTTAGATAAAGGCCGATGTCTACCTGCCTACTAACAGGGTCTCTATGTAGCCCAAACTGGCCTTGACCTTCAGACCCCCAAGTACTGTGCCACCACATTGGGCTTAGAATCAGCAATGTTTGTTTCTTTGCCACTTCTGGAGACCTAGATCTATAAGTGCCCCAAAGAAAAAACCTGATACAGGCTAAAAGCTCTGTGTCATCCTTTTTCTTTTCTTTTTTTTTTTTTTTGCCAGTTCTGGGACTTGAACTCTGGGCCTGGGCACTGTCTGAGTTTCCTTTTGCTCAAGGCTAGCATTCTACCACTTGAGCCATACACAGCACCACTTCTGGCTTTTTTGTGTATGTGGTACTAAGGACCTGAACCCAGGACTTCATGTATGCTAGGCAAGGACCCTACCACTAAGCCCTCATACTTTTTCTTGTTGAGTCATTAGAGATTCCTAATCATTGTCAAAGACTGTACAGCAAGCATAGCAGATTTCTATTGTGGTATGTTAATTAGCATTTAGGTTTTCCTTAGCTGGTACAAATATGTCTGTCATTTTTCCATGTGCATCTTCCTTTCATTTTGGGTGATATTTTTTGTGGTGGTAGGGGAATCATATTCATTTCTAAAGAAATTCCTAGAAATACCATTGAAACAGAGGGCCTGAGTTGGTTCGTGCCTTGAAGTTTATTCTTAGTGCATTTATACAGTGATGTCTTTTTCAACAGCATTACCCTGTAGCATGGGTAAACACGATGATTTTTGACTTTAAAGGACAGTTGCGGTCTGGGGACGTAATTTTGCACAGCTGGTCTTCATTTCCCGGTAAGATTTCTATCCTAATTCCTCGTGTTGCCCTGTGTTTCTTTATGACTCACCATCCTAGCATTTTACTAAGTAAGTCATCATTTTATGTCTTTATGACGTATCCCCAACCAGACTTATACAGATCACTTCAATACATTCATAAAATGATTTGTTTCTGACTGTACTTTTTTACTTTTTACTTCACTGAATGAGTTCTCGCTTTAATCACAAAAATTCTCATAAGGAATAGTATCTTCCTCTTGTCTTATTCCTCTTCTTCTTTTTTTTTTTTTGGCCAGTCCTGGGGCTTGAAATCTGGGCCTGAGCTCCTTTTCCCAAAGCAAACAAGCACTCTATCTCTACCATTCGGGCCACAGTGCCACTTCCATCTCTCTCTCTCTCTCTCTCTCTCTCTCTCTCTCTCTCTTTCTTTCTCTCTCTCTCTCTCTTTTTTGATGTTCCTGTGCTTGAACTAAAGGCCTGGGCACTGTCCCTAAGCCTCTTTCTGCTCAAGGCTAGTGTTCTACTACTAGTGCCACCATAGAGCCACTTCCAGCTTGTTTTGAGTAGTTTATTGGAGATAAGAGTCTTAATTGGGACTTTCTCCCCCAGGCTGGCTTTGAACCATGATCCTCAGATCTCAGCCTCCTGAGTAGCTAGGATTATAGGTGTGAACCACCATGCCCCAGCTACTTTTTCTTTTTTGTTTTTTTGGGCCATCCTGGGGCTTGAACTCAGGGCTTGGATACTGTCCCTGAGCTTCTTTTATGGTTTCTTTTTTCTTTTCTTTTCTTTCTTTTTTTCTTTTTTTTTTTTGTCGGTTGTGGGGCCTGAACTGTGGGCCTGGGTGCTGTCCCTCAGCTCTTCAGCTGTAGACTAGCACTCTACCACTTGAGCCTCAGCCCCACTTCGGCTTTTTCTGCTTATGTGGTGCTGAGGAATCGAACTGAGGGCCTCATGTATGCAAGGCAAGCACTCTACCACTGAGCCACCTTCCCAGACCCCCTGAGCTTCTTTTGTTCAAGGCTAGTGCTCCACCACTTGAGCCACAGTGCCACCTCCAGCTTTTTCTGTATACGTGGTACTGAGGAATCGAACCCAGGGCTTCATGCATGTTAGGGAAGCACACTCTACCACTAAGCCACATTCCCAGCCTAAGACGTAAGTTTATATATGGGAAATTTTAGATTGCTTTTTCATCTTGAATTTAGTTACCTATAAAATTAGAAAGTTGTATTCTCCAAACTCCAGAGTTTTCTGACTTCATTGCAGTTCTAAAATTCCATGTGCAAATCTGCGAATGTGCATTACCTAGGTGGCCAAGAGATGTTGTAGACCAAGAGATGGAGAAGACAAACCACAACGAAGGAGCAAAAGTAGCGGTCCATTTTTGTGAGCCTCCTCATGGTAGATGCATTACAAACTCACACTGAAATTATTTTCAGGCATTAACAAGTAACCAGAAACTTATTGATAGAAGTGATTACCAAACTCTCTGCAGTGACACACTTTCTAGGCCATTTTCACGGGATGAACTCCATAGCAGGATTCTTTTTTAAGGTTAGTTTCAAAAGCGCTTTCCTAATAATCAAAAATTATTTGCATGTTTCAGATGAACTTGAAGAAATGTTGAATCCAATGGGAACTGTTCAGACAAATCCATACACTGAAAATGCAACTGCCTTGCATATAAGGTTTCCAGAGAATAAAAAACAGCCATACTATTACCCTCCTTTTGATAAGGTAAGCTATTTATTTAAAGGGTCATAATGTGTGGAATAATTACATGAGTATTCTATTCCCTGGCAATGTGCGTTTAGAGGTCAAGCTCAGTGTGTCAGTTTTTCTGTCAGAACTTTCCATGTGTTGGCAGTGTGATTCAGTGGAAAGGCCACAGAAGGGGGTGCCCTCAAAGTCTCTTAGGCTTGGTTTATCACTGACTAAGTAAGATGTGGAATCTCTGGACTTCAGGGTCGGTCTCTCTCTCTTTTTTTTTTTTGTACCAGACCTGGGGCTTGAACTCTGTGCCTGGGCATTGTCCCTGAGCTTTTGTTCTCACGGTGAGCACTCTGCTACTTGAGCTACAGTCCCACTTCCATCTTTTTTGGTATGTTAGTGAAGATAAGAATCTCAGAAGTGCCGGGCGCTGGTGGCTCATGCCTGTAATCCTAGCTACTCAGGAGGCTGAGATCTGAGGATCACGGTTCAAAGCCAGCCCGGGCAAGAGAGACCGTGAGACTCCTATCTCCAATAAACCACCAGAAAACCGGAAGTGGCGCTGTAGCTCAAGTGGTAGAGTGCTCGCCTTGAGCTGAAGAGCTGAGGGACAGCGCCCAAGCCCAGAATTCAAGCCCCAGGACCGAACAAAAAAAGAGAAAAAAGATGTGGGTCAAGTTGTAGAGTGCCAACCTTGAACAAGCATGCCAAGCAAGCATGAGACCCTGAGTTCAAGCCCCAGTACCAGAACAACAACAACAACAAATATATGTATATGTGTGTGTGTGTGTGTGTGTGTGTGTGTGTGTGTGTGTGTGTGTGTGTGTGTGTGTGTGTGTGTGTGTGTGTGTGTGTGTGTGTGTGTTATGCAACTCAATATTTCTTCCGTCATTTTTTACTTCAACTGGGTTGTATCCACTCATGAAGTAACTTTCTCATTTCAAATTCTTTAAAGTATTGTTATTCTGGTTGTGGTGTTACATACCCGTAATCCCAGCACTCAGGATTCTGAGGAGAAGGGATGGTGACTTTCAGGTCAGCTCTGTAATGAGATTTTGTCTCAAAACCAAACCAGAATAGAGTTTTGATATAAGGAAGGACATGCATGAGGTCCGGAGTTCCATCCCCACCATCACTAAAATGAAGTTTTTTCTGACTAGTAATTTATAATCAAATTAAACTTCTGTGCAGTAAAGCCTTAGCTCTGCATCTTAGTTTGCACTGGGCAGAAAACAACCACATTCTGTTCCTCATCTGCTACCTTTCTGTGGTGGCTGACTTGTCCTAGATACAAATTCCCCATCACCCAGGGTGACTGGTGCCACTCTCTCGGCCTCGTGTGACTGGCCAGCAGGTTTTTCTTTTTTGGGTCTGGTCGTGGGGCCTGAACTCTGGGCCTGGGCGCTGTCCCTCAGCTCTTCAGCTCAAGGCTAGCGCTCTACCACTTGAGCCACAGCGCCACTTCCAGCTTTTTTCTTTTTGCTTATGTGGTGCTGAGGAATCGAACCCAGGGCCTCAGGCATGCAAGGCAAGCACTCTATCACTGAGCCACCTTCCCAGCCCGAGGCCAGCAGGTTTTTAATGACGGGCTGAGCTGGAGCTTGCAGTTTACAAAGATAGCATCCTATACAAGTATTTTCTGCATTCGTATTTTCAAGAGAGGTTTTTTTAAAATGTCATCTACAATGCCGGGCGCAGTATTCCTAGTTACTCAGGAGGCTGAGATCTGAGGATCCTGGTTCAAAGCCAGCCCAGGTAGGAATGTCTGTGAGACTCTTATCTCCAATTAACCATCAGAAAACCGGAAATGGTGCTGTGGCTCAAGTGGTAAAGCGTTTGCCTTGAGCTAAAGAGCGGAGAGACAGTGCCCAGGCCCAGAGTTCAAGTCCCACGACGGACCAAAAGTAAATAAATGAGTAAAAATAAATTTCATCTACAACTGTCCATTCAGCCTTCCTTTTCCTTTATTTTTCCATTTATTAGTTTCATTCATTGTTTATGTGGTACTAAGGAATCGAACTCAGGGTAGAGGGGTTGCTAGGCAAGCCATATTCCCTGCCCCCTTTGCCTTTTTAATACCGTGGAATGTCTGCCTTGAAGATCAATTAGGAATAGAGATTTTAGTTAATATATAAGTGTGTTTATATTTAATTGGTTTCCTTTTTATTTTTTTTCTGGTCTTGGAGCATAAACTCATGGCCTGAGCACTGTCCCTGAGCCTCAGTGCTCAAGGCTAGCACTCTACCACTTGAGCCACAGTGCCACTTCTGGCTTTTTCTGAGTAGTTTGTTGGAGATAAGTCTTACGGATTTTCCTGCCTGGGCTGACTTGAAACTGTGATCCTTAGACTTGAGCCTCCTGAGTAGCTAGGATTACAAGTGTGAGCCTCTGGCGCCCAGCTTAATCAGTTTCCTTTAATCACCCATATTACATACGGTTATAAAATAAATAACCCCGATGTAAGAGGTCAGAGTTCCCACAGGTCCTGTTCTTTTCATTTAGGTTAATGCTTGCCTGTTGTAATCACTCGCATTTGCTTTTCAAGTCAGATGTGGCTTATGGTTATTGCTTGGCTTTAATAACTGCAATCATCATTTTATCATCATAACAAACCTATGGTTGTTTATACTCTGTCTATACTTGAGAATATAGGGCATAGTAGTTATGGAGGATTGCCTGACTCAGCCACGTGATAAGGATCTTTCCGTGCAGTACTTAGAGGGTACCCAGAGTTCTTCCTGCTGGACCAGCGAGTACCCTGTTTTCAAGAAGGAGCTTCCTATGTTAACTTAATGGATTTGCAAAATACGTTTAGGCTTTCCCTTGTTGCTAAGCCCCCCTTACAAATGGCAGTGCTGAGGATCCAACCCAGGGCTTGGGATAGGAAGTGCTTAGCCCAAGCCATACCCTCAGCCCCACCCTCCACTTCCAAGATCTAAGATTGAGAAAAAGCATAATGGACAAAGCTTATTCTATGCTTAGTAAAATTTCATGAAAAAAGAAAGAAAGAAAGAAAAGTACTTTTATCTGCACAGAAGCTAGGTTCTCTCTGGGAGTGGCAGTCTCATTGTTTTCCTGTTATCAGGAGTTAACAGCACTCTTTTTCTTATTTGTGTGTGGGGTGTGTGTGCTTGTGTGCCAGTACTGGGTTTTCCACTCAAGGCCTGGTATTCTCCCTGTTTTGTTTTGTTTTGTTTTGTTTTTCCCTTCAGGCGGGCGCTCCATCACTTGAGCCACACACCTTCAGCCTAGTTGTTTTTGCTGGTTGATTGGAGACAAGGGTCTCTGGCTGTGAACCTTGATGGTCAGATTTCAGCTTTCTTTGAGTAGCTAGGATTACAGGTGTCAGCCACTGGTACCTGGAAAGTACTGTTTTTCTTTTCAAATTCATGTTTCTATTATAAAGCAAAGAAATCCCAGGTCATATGTAGTTTCTTGTAGTCAAAGTAGAGTTCTTTATATTTATTTTTTATTTTATTTTATTTATTTATTTTTTGGGTCTGGTTGTGGGGCCTAAACTCTGGGCCTGGGCACTGTCCCTCGTCTCTTCAGCTCAAGGCTAGTGCTCTACCACTTGAGTCACAGCGCCACTTTCTGGCTTTTTTCTTTCTGCTTATGTGGTGCTGAAGAATCGAACCCAGGGAGTCAGGCATGCAAGGCAAGCGCTCTACCACTGAGCCACCTTCCCAGCCCAGTTCTTTATATTTATGATGCTGCAAGTATGAGAAGTAAAATTTAACTTCAACTTCTTTTTAAACAGATCATTGAGAAGGCAGCAGAGATTGCGAGCAGTGACAGTGCCAACGTATCGGTGAGTATCACGGTTGTCACTGGCCCTTTCTTATGCTGGCGTTGTGTGCATTGTTAGGGACCATCATCTCACTTATAGTAATAAATGTGGATCACCCACTACAACTGTGCTTACCCAGGCTCATGGGCTGCCTTGCATATGAGTCTCCCATGCGTTCATTACCATAAATCTGCCTGATTACAGATGTACATCTGTTGGTCTATCAGGTAATTACTAAGACAGGTAGATAAAGAATATAGGTAGGAGGTTGCATTTGTAGATGAATGTCTTATTCTAGTAATCCTTTATTACATTTTAATTTTACTTGAATCTGAGGCATGGATGTGTCTTCCAGTGTATATGTATATACACACATATACATGTCTGTGAATAAGAGTGTCTTTTAGGTCTAGCTTCCATGTATGAATGAAAACACAGCATGTTTTGTTTGTTTGATTGTCTTATCCTCTCAATATGCTATCTTTTAATTGCATTTTCTACAAATGTCATGCTTTTATTTCTCTTTATGGTTGTATAATAATCTAGAATGTATATATGCCTCCATTGATTCCATCATTTGGCTATTGTGAACAGTGCTATAAAACCATAGATATGCAAGATCTTTCTAGAATGTTGATTTTTCTGTCTTTGAAATATATGCCCAATAGTAGTATGGTGGAATCATAAGGAGGATAATTTTTTTTTACTTATATTGAGTGTACATATTATAGAAGTGTATCTACCTATATGTGTCTTTTTAGAACCTCTGTTCTGATTACCATGGTAGTTGCACAAGTGCACCTTTCAACAGTATATGACAATTCCTTTTTCCCTTCATCCTTGCCAGCATTTATTGTTTCTTTTTTTTTTTTTTAATGGTCAGTATTTCTTTTTTTCCTCTAGTCCTGGGGCATGAACTCAGGGCCTGTGCTCTGTCTCTGAGTTTCTTTTACTCAAAGCTAGCATCTAGGGGCTGGGAAGGTGGCTCAGTGGTAGAGCACTTGCCTTGCATGCATGAGGCCCTGGGTTTGATTCCTCAGTACCACATAAGCAAAAAGAAAAAAGCGAGGAGTGGTGCTGTGGCTCAAGTGTTAGAGTGCTAGCCTTGAGCTGACGAGCTGAGGGACAGTGCCCAGGCCCAGAGTTCAAACTCCAGGACCAACAAGAACAAAAAAAGTTGAGATGCTTTGCTAACTTTTTGTGTAGGTGTCCTTCAACCAGTTTCACAGTCTGAGTAGATGGGATTGCAGGCATGAACCACCCACTGTTCCAGACCTTTTATGTACTTATATTACATGGATATACATATGTATATGTGTATAAAAAGTATACACACAAATTATTGGGTAGTAAATCATTATTATTATTTTTTTTTTTTTTTTTTTGTCCAGTTGTGGGGCCTGAACTCTAGGCCTGGGCTCTGTCCCTCAGCTCTTCAGCTCAAGGCTAGTGCCCTACCACTTGAGCCACAGCGCCACTTCCGGCTTTTTTCTTTTTGCTTATGTGGTGCTGAGGAATGGAACCCAGGCATGCAAGGCAAGCACTCTACCACTGAGCCAACTTCCCAGCCCCGGTAAATCATTATTAAAGTATCTAACAGGCTTTTTATTTTGTTTGGTTGATTGTCTTCTGAAACTTTGTCTCTCTGTGTAGCCCAGGCTGCCCTCAAGCCCATAATCTTCCCGTCTCTGTCTCCCAAGTGCTTAGATAACAGTCACTGAATTTTTATAATAATTTTGCCAGTCCTGGGGCTTGAGATCAGGGCCTGTGTGATGTCCCTGAGCTTTTTTTGCTCAAGGTGAACGCTCTGACATTTGAACCACAGCCCCACTTATAGATTTTTAATAGTTAATTGGAGATGAGAGTCTCATGGACTTTCCTGCCTAGTCTGGCTTCGAACTGCCATCTCAGCCTCCTGAGTAGCTAGAATTACAAATCTGAGCAACTGGGGTCCAGCTACTTTAAATTGATTTTTTTTGAGTAGGACCTCCTTATATAGAGTAGGCTGCTCTCCAACTAAGGATTTTCTTGCCATAGCTTTCCAAGTGCTGAGATAATGGGCATGTGCCAACATGCCTGGCAAGATGCATCCTTCTTTGCTCTTCTTGAGATCAAACCTGGGCCCTGCCCAGCCAAGCAAGTGACCTTCTCATAAGCTACATGCCCAGATCACGTGGCCCTTCTCCTACAGATATAGATGTAAGCCAATGTGCAACCCAAGAAGGAACTTTGGTTTTCACCTCATGTGTTCTACTCATCTTAGGGTGTTTGGTTGATAGAAACTACAAATGAAAGAAAAGTCCGTTGAGTAAGTGACTGGTTCTTAACCCAAGAGCAATGCTGCCATCTAGCGTTTCCATATAGATTTTAAAAAGCGGCATTCTTCCTTTATAGAACTTTTTGAGATTAATTCTTCATCTTCAGCTTATAAAAGGATCCACTTTCATTAGCGTCTTTGTGGAGTCATATTATTGTATCTCACATAGTGAAGCTTACGTTTGGGATGTTGACACAGTTGAATTCTGTGAATATTTTACTTTGTTTAACAGAGTCGAGGTGGGAAGAAGTTTCTTGCTGTACTGAAGGAGATCTTGGACAGGGACCCCTTGTCTCAGCTGTGTGAGAATGAAATGGATCTTATTTGGACTCTGCGACAAGACTGCCGAGAAAACTTCCCACAGTCACTGCCCAAGTTACTGCTGTCCATCAAGTGGAATAAACTTGAAGATGTTGCTCAGGTAACAAAGGACCATCTCTGTAACTCCTCTAGAGTACATGTATTACTTGTGGGTTTATGGAAAGTACCGTATCATTGGATGGATTTATTTCCCCCTATTTATTTATTTATTTACTTTTTCTAGTCAGGTTCTTACTGTGTAGTCCAGATTAGCACCGAACTTGAGATCTTCCTGTTTTAACCTCCTGAGTGATGAGATTACAGGCATGCACTATCATACCTGGCCAAGCTAAATTTAATATTCTGCATACATAAAAATGTAAAAATTGGGGAGAACTGGTTGGTGGCTCATGCCTGTAATTCTAGCTACTCAGGTGGCTGAGATCTGAGGATTTTGGTTTGAAGCCATCTCTGGATAGAAAAGTCCATGAGCCTCTTATCTCCAGATAGCCAGCAAAAGCTGGAAGTAGAGGTGTGGCTCAAGTGCTAGAGTGCCTGCTCTCAGGCTTCTGTGAAATGAACCTGAAGATCCCATAGTGAGTCTTGTGGAACTGGTTTTCTGTGCTAGATCTCATCCTGTTAATGACTGAATAGTACTCTCTTAGAAATACTTTTCTTCTATTCATTCATCAGTTTATGAGCATATAGGTTGTTTTTTTTTCCCCCTCAGTTTTGGGTCTTACATTAAATCTTTAATCCATTTTGAGGTGTTTTTTGTTTTGTTTTTTTTCCTAACTGGCAAGGTAGCAGTGTCTAGTTTTAGTCTGTGGATATCTTATGCAGTGGAGATGCGTATCACATTTTTTTCTAGCATCATTTATTAAGAAGACTGTCTGTTCTCTGAAGAACATTCTTGGCACCTTCAGGAAAGATCAGTTAGCTTTAGATGTGTGGGTTTCCTTCTGGTCTTGCTGTTCTGTTCTGTTGATCTCTGTGTCTGTCCTTATGCTAGCATCATGCTGGGTTTTTTTTGTTGTTGTTCTTGTTTTTTTTTTTTTTTTTTTCTGGTCCTGGGTCTTGAACTCTGGGCCTGGGCACTATCCCTAAGCTCCTTTTGCTCAAGGCTAGCACTTTTATCACTTGAGCCACATCAGCACCTCCGGTTTCTGGTGGTTTATTGGAGATAAGAGTCTCACAGAGTTTCCTGGCCTGTCTGGCTTTGAACCATGATCCTCAGATCTCAGCTTCATGAGTACCTAGGATTACAGGCGTAAGCATCCCACTCAAAGTCCTTTTAATTTTATATTGAGTTATCAACTTGAGAGTGGGAGCAAAGAGAGTTTGAATTTCACCTCTAAGTGTTTCTAGATTATTGCTTTTTTTATTACGCCTTTACATCACGTAATATCTTGTGCTTCAAGAATCCCCATATTGGGCTGGGAAGGTGGCTCAGTGGTAGAGCGCTTGCCTTGCATGCATGAGGCCCTGGATTCAATTCCCCCACACCACATAAGCAAAAAGAAAAAAAGCTGGAAGTGGTGCTGTGGCTCAAGTGGTAGAGCGCTAGCCTTGAGCTGAAAAGCTGAGGGACAGGGGCCAGGCCCAGAGTTCAGGCCCCACGACTGCCCCCCCCAAAAAAAAACAACAAAAAAAGAATCCCCATATTCAGTGTCTTATTCTATTTCAGGTAAGTATCTAGTAGCTCTTCAAACTTACGTATAGAATATTTCATCAACAGATACTTTGTCCATCCATATTAACCCGAATGGATTCTGAAGGCATTGATAATTAAAGTGGTTTTTCTTTCTTTGTGGCTTGTCTCTGTGATTCTGTGTGCCAAAGGAAAGCAGATTGCTTTTGTCTTCCATCATTTCTGAACCCGTTTTAATTTTGAACAGCTTCAGGCACTGCTTCAAATTTGGCCTAAACTGCCCCCTCGAGAAGCACTGGAGCTTCTGGACTTCAACTACCCGGACCAGTACGTCCGGGAGTACGCAGTGAGCTGCTTACGGCAGATGAGGTAGGCCTGCCACCTGCTTTCCCTGGAGGCGTGTGGAAGAGGGTGTGGGCCTCAGTGTCTTAGGAGAGAGGAAAAGGTCCATGAAGTTTGTTTGAGACCTGGTAGCCAGGGGTTATTGGTGTGCTGGTCACTCAGGTGCCTCCTGCCTAGTCTGTACCAAACTTCCACACTGAATGTACGTCCTGAGCTATGCCATTTACATGATGTCTTGGCCGTGAGCCATGCGATAGGGTAAAGAAACTCCATTGAAACCCGTTCCTAGGTGCTAGTCACAGGCTGTGCTTATCAGAGGGCTTTTCACAGGACAGCGGCAGGGCTCTGTTCTTCACACACTCTATTCCACCCAGGATTGAGCCACCTTTGTATTATCTTGGTATTTTGCCGTGAGATGAAGAGCATGTTGTAGTTTGTGGGTTAAGTTGGAGTCCTGCCTAGGTTCCTGATAGTTTTGGCGGTTTCCCCATCCTCGCTTTGGGAACTGTTGTCAGGAATTCAGTGACGAGCCCATGTCCTCCTCTGTAGAGATGCTGCTTCCATCTTTCTACCTAGTAACTTATAAATATAGAATTAACTTAGGCATGCTTTAAATTGTACAGAAACACTCCCTTCCTTTCTTTTGAGCTAGTGAAAAGTAAAACAGTTTGCTTACATGCTTACGAAATTTTTTGTTAAAAAATGATTGCTTGGGTAAGTAGAAAAGATGCTTTGCATGATCCCTTGGTGGACGCCCCACTTTACTTCCCTTGGTAAAAGTGAGCTCTCATGCTTGCCACCTCCGCCATCTTTGCTGTGAGGCTGTGTCCAGCGAGATTGGCTCATGACCAGCCTGGACTCGAGCCCAGCCACATGGCTCAGAAGGGCCGTCTGCCACACGTGGTTGAGGCATTCTGTGTTCTGTGTCTTTCAGTGATGAAGAGCTCTCTCAGTATCTGTTACAACTGGTGCAGGTGTTAAAATACGAGCCTTTCCTCGACTGCGCGCTCTCTCGATTCCTGCTGGAACGGGCGCTTGCCAACCGGAGGATAGGGCAGTTTCTGTTTTGGCATCTTAGGTAAGTCATTCTCTTTAGTTCCAGTCCCCTGTGTGCTTGAGCTACTATGTCCGGTGTTGTAGGTGCCATTCTGTGCAACGCTCACTACTCTAGTTGTTTCTGACAACCCAGCTACAACATGTACATCGTTTCCACACTACCTCACCCACTCCCCTCTCTCTTCTTTCCCTTTTGATTTATTTATTTCTTTACTTATTTATTTTGGTTGCTGAGGACCAAACCCAGAGCTTTGCACATGCTAGGCAAGCTATCGTTGACGTATTCCCCCCGTCTCCCGCCCCCCCCCTTGAACAAGGAAGCTTCATAAGTTGAAAAACTGAGCATCTTGCTAATAATTGCGCATGCCCTGAGCAGTTCTTTTGTTTGGGTGGCATCTCTTATTTCTTTCGTAATAGAATCAAGAAGTTCACATTTTCATGTGGCGATCTGAGCATGGGGAAGACCTTGTATACATCCCTCTCTGCAGGTCTGAGGTGCACATCCCTGCTGTCTCCGTCCAGTTCGGAGTGATTCTGGAAGCGTATTGCCGAGGGAGCGTGGGGCACATGAAGGTCCTCTCCAAGCAGGTACCCCGGCTCTTGTCCTCACCTCCTGTCTTGCATCATGCCCTGTAGGCCATCTCACCAAGCACCACATCTGCACATCGCGTCATTGAGATGCTGTAACTTACAAGACTAATAAGAGTCCTTTAAGACAGCTCAGGAAGTTTCAGATTGTACAGGAGAATTCTAACCAAATGCCATAGGAAACACAAGCAGCCAGGACTGACTTCCTCAATTATATAACTTTCCTCACGCATTTGACCTGCCAGAGAAACTCCCAGAGGCTTCCTTTAGATGGTTTTAGGATTTAGAACTTTCCTGGCTGTTTTTTTTTTTTTCTCTTTTTCTCTTTTTGGTCGGCCACGGGGTCTGAACTCTGGGCCTGGGCGTTGTCCCTCAGCTCTTCACCTCAAGGGTAGCATTCTACCACTTGAGCCACAGCGCCACTTCTGGCTTTTTCTGCTTACGTGGTGTTGAGGAATGGAACCCAGGGCCTCATGCATGTGAGGCAAGCACTCTACCCCTGAGCCACCTTCCCAACCCCCTTTCCTTGCTATTAAAACAACTATATCGCCGGGTGCTGGTGGCTCACGCCTGTAATCCTAGCTACTCAGGAGGCTGAGATCTGAGAATCGCGGTTCAAAGCCAGCCCGGGAAGGAGAGACCGTGAGACTCCTATCTCCAATAAACCACCAGAAAACCGGAAGTGGCGCTGTAGCTCAAGTAAGAGCTGAGGGACAGCGCCCACAGCGCCCAGGCCCAGAGTTCAAGCCCCAGGACTGACAAAAAAAAAAAAACAAAAAACAAAAACCAACTATATCTAACCCACCTTTCTGGAAAAAGCCCTCTGGGGATGGTAGTAACAGCTAATATCTATTCACTGCCTATTTAGCTCCATTATTCCTCACAGGAGCATGTGACTGATAGTATTAATCCCATTGGTTTCATAGACCACTTAAATAAATCTCACCTGTCCACCTGACTAGTGTTCAGGCCTATCGTCTTCTAGTCTAATCTCTTCTCTATGACTTGGGCTTTTACAATAACCATCAAAATGTAGCCTCTCCTCACCATTTATACCCTTGTGCCTTTGCTCCCCCCTTCAGTCTCTAGTGAGCTGGAAAAGTGATCTTTATGGCAGGTTCTAGTGTGCCATTTCCTCTTAAAATTCCTACAATCATTTTTCCCTATTGAAAATAAAATCGAGAATTTCTGCCAGAGCCTAATAAAGTTGATCCTCTTCCTTTGCCCTCATCATGGCCGCTGTCTCCTTCCACCCCCTCACAGCTGCTCAACCCACACCACACACTCTCAGCGTGCCTTTTCAGCAGGGCATATTTATGAACAAATGATGCTCATCCTTCTTCTCTTCTAATGAGTTCTAAGAGGAAGACGGTACCATTTACATGGCAGCTCTTGTTATCTGTAAGCCAATACAATGACGTGTTGAAATGCTTCTGGTATTTGACTTATGCCATTTGAGACACTGTTCGAGGAAATGAGTATCAACACAATTAGAGATGGGGCATGAAATTACCCGACTGTACAAACACAGAAGAAACTCAAATTTGAAGTACTTCAAAAAAGTTCCTGTTTGTGTAACCCAGTTTTCATCTGGTTCCCTTGTCACCAGTGTTTGCACAGCCCCTGAAACTGTTAAGAAGCGCAGAGTCTGTGGTTTTGGCAGACGGTTGACTTGGCAGGCTTCAGCCATCTTGATTTTATCATCTGGCTACGTAGAACCTTCTTAGTTTCTTATGAGCAAGGTCTCGGCTTTATGTGTAGAAACTGCATGCTTAAATTCCTACTTTTACCATAATCTCAGTGGTTTTTCTGGCAGGGAAGCAAAAGTTCAGAATGAAAATATGATATAAAAGAAATCTGCTTAGTATTTAAAAAAAAAAAAGAAATCTGCTCATGGAATTCCAAATCACAGTGTTCATTATGTTGTTTTATGTTTGAAAAGATTTCTTTTATATTTTTAAAATCATTTATTGCGTTCAGTTAGACTGCTATATTCATCAAGTGTGTCTTCTGATTTGTGAGTGGCTGAGGATAGCATTCCTGTAAATTTTATGTAATAGGACACAAAAGACTTTCAGTTTTTAAAGCAGATTTTTTTTTTTTAAAGTAATGAGATTTGAACTCTAAGCTGCATACTTGCTAGACAGCCACTCTACTGGTTGAGTCATGCCTTCAGACCTTTTTCTTGCCCTGGGTTATTTTTGAGATAGGGCTTATCTTCCTGCACACGCCCTAGAGGACAGTCTGCCTATTTAAGGTTTCCTGTTGTAGATAGAATGTCAGGCACCAGCCTCCATGCCCTCCCTTTTCCACTGAGACACAGAGTCTCCTGGACTTTCTGGCCTACAGCTGGCCTAGAGCCATGATCCTCTGATCTCAGCCTAGGATAACATATGTCAGCCACCACACTCAGCTGTGGGTTAAGAAGGGATCTCACAGACCTTTCTGCCTGGGCTACCCTTAAACTGCTGTCCTCTCATTCAAGTAGCAAAGATTATAGGCATCAACTACTACTAGTGCATAAATGTTTTGTGTGTATCAGAGTTTGGACTCGGGGTCTCAGTCTCAATGGCTTTGCTTGCTGAGCTGGTGCTCTACCCCTTGAATCATGCCTCTAGTCCTGCCTTTTGCTGATGATTTTGGAGAGTGTGTAAGTTTTTCTACCTGACTTTAAACTGAGCTCATCCAGAGCTCAAGTTTCTAAGTAGCTAGGATTAAAGGCATGAACCACTAGCACCCGGCACATAAATGGTTTTGATTTTCTTGGCCATTGCTGATCTACCTGTAGTACTTGCATATTTGCATGTATCATAAGTTGCTTCTTCCTTCCTTCCTTCCTTCCTTCCTTCCTTCCTTCCTTCCTTCCTTCCTTCCTTCCTTCCTTCCTTCCTTCTTCTATCCATCCAGAACTACATTATAAAAAAAAGCAATTTAGACTTGGACAACAAATACTTTGCAGTCACCCATTCTAGCTATCCAATTAATGGAGAATCTACTGAGAAGATGTTGTACATAGTGATGGCAAGAAATAGAAATTTCAGGGTATGGTTGTGGTGCATACCTGTAACCCTTTTGAGTTCAAGGCCAGCCTGGTCTACATGGCAAACCTCATCTCAAAAAAAAAAAAAAAAAATAGGGGCTGGGAAGGTGGCTCAGTGGTAGAGCGCTTGCCTTGTATGCATGAGGTTCGATTCCTCACACCACATAAGCAAAAAGAAAAAAGCCAGAAGTGGAGCTGTGGCTCAAGTGGTAGAGTACTAGCCTTGAGCTGAAGAGCTGGGGGATAGGGCCCAGACCCAGAGTTCAGGCCCCACGACAGGACCCCCCCCCCCAAAAAAAAAAAATAGAACAAATAAGTAGCAGGTTGTTACATAGATATTAAGGTTGACTATCTGGAATGTCAGTCCCCCGATTTTCCTGTCACCTCTGGGCAGCACAGATGGAGGGAGTGTTTGGGATGATGGTCTTTCCTCAGTCTCTCCTCAGTGACCTGCACATCCATCCTCATGCTTTCATCCTTGCTGTTGCTAGTTTTTTGTTTTTTTTTTTTGTCGGTTGTGGGGCTTGAACTGGGCCTGAGCACTGTCCCTCGGCCCTTCAGCTCAAGACGAGCGCTCTACCACTTGAGCCACAGCGCCACTTCCAGTTTTCTGGTAGTTTATTGGAGATAAGAGTTTCATGGACTTTCCTGCCCAAGCTGGCTTTGAACTGTGATCCTCAGATCTCAGCCTCCTGAGTAGCTAGGATGACAGGCGTGAGCCATCGGTGCCCGGCTTAGCTGTTGCTGGTTTTAAGCAGGGTCTCACTGTCTGGCCTGTAAATCTCCATCTATGCAGTTCCTTTTTCCTAATTTGTAAGATTTAAAGAAGGAAGACTTAAAGGAAGTTAAGAGCAATGATGATACCTCAAGCGATGTGCCAAAACAAACTTTCATTTTCCTGTGTGTAAAATACTTGTCATATGCTGTTTCTGTTTCAGCTATCACACACACACACACGCATGCACGCGTGTATCCATGTGAGGAGTGTGCCATTTACTCATGTGATCACATGATGTCCTAGTATGTTTCCTTTCAACCTTCTTTTTCAGGTGGAAGCACTCAATAAGCTAAAAACATTAAATAGTCTGATCAAACTGAATGCAGTGAAGCTGAACAGGGCTAAAGGGAAGGAGGCAATGCATACTTGTTTAAAGCAGAGTGCTTACCGGGAGGCCCTCTCGGACCTGCAGTCTCCTCTGAATCCGTGCGTCATCCTCTCCGAACTCTAGTAAGTGGCTTCTGCTTTTACGCTGAGGCCCCCATGAAAATAGCAACGCTGAAAGGAATGCTGGGTCACGAGCAGTAGCCCTAGTCAGCAGAGTAATTAAGTGAGGAAGACCTGGTCCTCAAAGGCCTCAGAGACTGCACTAGTGTTCTGCCCATGGGCCAAATCTACCTGTGGATTTGTCCAGTCATCATACATGAATTTCCTTCATCCCCTGTGCATTTTAATTTCTCTATTACTGGTTTATAAGAAAATCCTACATGACCAAATTTTGGAAACCATAATGGATTATTTACTCTGTGTTAAAATGGGGTACTGGATGAATTTGGAAATATTTCCTCTTTGTCATTTATAAACAAATAATAAGTTGACAGACAAGCAATGAATGTCACTTGTGTTAATACAGTACCAATGTACTGTATGTATGGTTCACTTGTTCAAATGGATCCCTCGTTTTGAAACCTTGAGTACGGTTCAGAATAATCCTAACGTTAATCCAGTTATAGTTAATCCATGTTATGGTCACCAAGTGGGGAAATGAAAAGTCTAAGGTGCAAGGTGGCAAGAGGAGCAGTTGTTTGGGGCGGTGGGAAGGAGAGAAGGCCTTGGGCATCAGCTGGCATCTAGCCCAGCTGGCATCAGCACATGCCACCCCCATCCTTTCTACCAAGAGAAGGTCCTCTACCTCTGACGGTCACACACCCCAGAAGGAGTAGGAGAGGGGTGTCCACATCAGGTCACCAGGGGAAAACAACCGTCTGGGCAAATGACTTCATGCAGTGGGCTGATTTTCCTGGCTGGTTTGTTTCAGTGTGGAGAAATGCAAGTACATGGACTCTAAAATGAAGCCTTTGTGGCTGGTGTACAGCAATAAGATGTTTGGTGAGGACTCCGTGGGAGTGATTTTTAAAAACGGTGATGGTGAGTCCTGAGATTCTTACAGCTCCACATTCCTTGGGAGATTTCACTTGAGACACTTACCCCCACTTGACCCTCCAAGCTCATAAACATACTCTGACCTCAAAGCATTCTCTCAGTAAATATTTCTGCATTTATTTATTCACTCAGAGACAGGATCTTCCTATGGAGCCCAGGCTGGCCTCACACTCACCATCTTCTTGCCTCAGCCCTCTGAAAATGGGACTGAAAGTACTGTTTGACATAAGACATCATCCGTTCAGCTCTTCCACTTTGGAAGAACCACAATTCACTTGTGATTCATAAGAACTGTCTGTGTAGCTCTAAAGGCAAACAATAATGGAGTATAATACAAATGTAAGCTAATCCAGTTTGTGAGCAGTTTAAAAGCGTTTTGCTTAATTTCTGAAGTCATAGGATCATGGTAACAAATAAGCTTATGATATAGTGAATATAGTCAACAAAGAAATTTTTGGAAAAAAAAAATCCATAGCACATTTGCTATGGTTTTGCTTAGATTTGACTGAGTTGTCTAAGGTTACATTAATGAGTTACTTCGAATATAATTAAGCAGTGCTCTCCCTTAGATTTACGACAGGATATGCTGACACTCCAAATGCTGCGCTTGATGGATTTACTCTGGAAAGAAGCTGGTCTGGACCTTCGGTGAGAATTGTGGTGAATTAATGTCTGTGTCTCGTAGTGGATTCCCCCACAGTACATTGGTTCCTCCTTCCTGCAATACATTATTTTAAACGTGATCAGTTTTAAAACTGGACAGGTGGCCAGGCACTGGTGGCTCACACCTGTTATCCTAGCTACTCAGGAGGCTGAGATCTGAGGATTATGGTTCAAAGCCAGCCCACGCAGGAAAGACTGTGAGACTCTTATCTCCAATGAACTACCAGAAAACTGGAAGTGGTACTGTGGCTCAGAGTGGTAGAGTGCTAGCCTTGAGCAAAAAAAAAAAGAGTTGAAGGACAGTGCACAGGCACCGAGTTCAAACCCCACATTCGACAACAACACAAAACAAAACAAAAAAACCTCCACAAAAACTGTATAGGTGCTTGAAATTCCAGAATGAATTATAAGGTTTGGACAGACACATTACAGTCTGTGGTTTTCTTGATATTCTTTCAGTTTTAGGGTTTGAACCCAGGGCCTGGCTCTTGCTAGGCCGAACTCTACCACTTGAGCCATACTTGGTTTGCTTGTGTTTTGGTTTGGTTTTTTTGAGACAGGGACTTGATGTGTAGTGAAGGCTGGACTTCTACTTAGTACGTTGAGTGCTAGATTACTGGTGTGTACTACCATAGCTGGTTGAACCCATTGCTATGTATTTTTTTTTTTTTTTTGGGGTCCGGTCGTGGGGCCTGAACTCTGGGCCTGAGTGCTGTCCCTTAGCTCTTCAGCTCAAGGCCAGTGCTCTACCACTTGAGCCACAGCGCCACTTCTGGCTTTTTTCTTTTTGCTTATGTGGTGCTGAGGAATCGAACCCAGGGCCTCAGGCATGCAAGGCAAGCGCTCTACCACTTAGCCACCTTCCCAGCCCCCCATTGCTATGTATTGACTGAAGCAGACATTGTAGTAGGTTCTTTACCAAGTAATAAATATGTAAGCATAACACATGAGAAAAATTAGGACAATAAAGATTTTAAAAGTAAGCATTACAGAAATATTAAATAGCAGGCGGGAGTGGTAGTGTTTGTTTGCCTAGTATGCATGAAGCCCTGGGTTTGATTCCTCAGTGCCACATAAAAAAGGCCAGAAGTAGCGCTGTGATTCACTAGCCTTGAGCAAAAGCAGCTCAGAAACAGTGCCCATGCCAGGAGTTCAAGCCCCGGAACTGGCAAAAAAAGAGAGAGAAAGAAGAAAAAGAAAAGAAATATTAAGTAGCAGAGCTAAATTCAAATCTAGGACTGTCAAAGTTTATTATTTTCCCATTCTGTCTAGGTGAGAAAACAATAGCTGTGCCTTCATTCATCAAGGTATAGCGATCCCAAAGAACCTAAGTATAGGAATGGAAAAGAGTTTTCTACTCGTGGATCTTCCAGTGTCACGATTGCAGTTCTGATAGGCAGAAGGAAGTCTGCTGCACTGCTCTTTCCTCTCGTAGGACCGTAATAGGGAGCAGAGAGCATAACCACCTGCAGACAACCTGGCGCACCTCTACCAGAGTGCCCAGCGCCATCCTCCTGCTGTTACGTCAGGATGCTTTTGGGAGAGCTGTTTAAATCAAACATACTAGTAGCTGGGACCAGTTAGCAAATGAAGAATAATCCATAGTGAGGAGGAGTGATTGATCATTGTGGAGAAGCCACATTTACGGCTTGAGAACTATAAACCCCGTGGCTGTCGGTGGCTGCCACAGTGGGTCTGCCCTGGCCCTTTGCCGAGGCTCTTTGTGGCCGCTGATAAAGAGGCAGCCACATTGCTGTCTGCTAGGAGAAGGCTGTGTACCCACCCGAAGGAACTTGTCTGTCCAGCGGGATCTGTCCTGACTTTTTGTCCTCTGACCCCATGTTTAAAAAAAGGATGAAGGGCTTCAATTCTTTGAAGAGTTCATTTTCCAACTTATCTTTTTTTTCCCACCAAACTTTTGTGACAGTTTCTATTAATACACGCGCCCCACCCCCACCCCCAGGGGTCCTATTGTGTTTGGCTTTGGCCAGCTGCTCAGGTTAGACTGGGTCAAGCAGCACACTCTTGTAAGTTCAGTCCCAGATATTTGGGGACCTTCTGTGTGTGTGACTATTTTAGCACTTGTACTGGTGCCCATGCCTGCATGGGTGAAAACTGATGTGGTTGCTTCATTTCCTCTGATGTCTCCCAATGCTGTTTGGCGTGTTTCTTACCAAACGAGAACAGTTGTTGGCCACCAACATGTTGCAGGACTTTACTGCTTTTGGGTAACAAATGGCAGTGGTCAGTCAGCTACTGTCTAGTCTCATAGGTCATCCTTGTGTAAACTCTGGCCCTTGGTAGCCTAGCCATCCTCTGTGTCACCTCATCCCTATGAAACCAGTACTGGGGGGGTGGGACTCAGGGCCTCATACTTGTTAGGCAGGTGCTCTCCCTCTCCCCACCCCCCACCCCAGCCCTTTGAAATCATTTGTTTGATGGCTATCCTCACTCATCTCTTGTCTTCTTGGTGTTACTGGGTTTTTAACTTAGGTCCTTGTGCGTATTACTCAGCTTGCTTCCTTAGCGGGTGCTCTACTACCATGACTTCAGCCCTGCTTTTTGCTGGTTAATTAGAGCTGGAATCTAGTGGGCTTTTCTGCTCGCTCAGCCTCCTCAATAGCTATGATGATAGGCATGATCACTGGCAGCCTGCTCCATTCCTTTTTTTTTTTTTTTAAGGAAATGGACTTTTTTTTTTAATGAGAATCTTAAACTACCAGTTAAAAACAATTCTTTTCAAAGAGAAAATTTCAAAATTCAGTTGCGATTAAGATGAAAGTTCATATCCCTAGAGTAAATGCATTGCCTCCCACTCCTTTCGCTTTTATATCTGAGTTGCACTAATGGGTTTAGTGAGGCAGAATTTCTAAATGAGTTCAGTGGTACAGCTGCCAGCAGCCTTAGAGGAACAGAGAAGGAATGTGAAAGTAGCATAAGCATGAGGTAAAGGAATCATATGCCCTCCTCAGATGCGGGTCGATATGGCATCCGTGCCATTTAGAGGACACACATGGGGGCTGCCGGCCCCCCCTCACCCCCTCCCATCCCCTTCCCCCTGCAGACAGCTTATTTCACTAAGTTCTTGTTTAGTGGTAAAGGTGACATTGCTCCTTAGGTCAGAGAGTATGGGAAAGGAAGATCAACATTGCTAAAGTGTCGTCCTTTGGTTAAAAGAGTAGAGAAGTTCAGTGCAAAGAAGGTCTAGATAAGATGACCGGGTTGCTCTGGGAGTTTGTCCCCAGCGTGACTTCTGTCAAAGAGTCTCTCTGACAAGAGTGTTTTTTCCTTCCCGCTGTGAATGCTTTCATCGCAGCTGCTTTTGAAGAGGAAGCTTGCTGGCCTTGTGCCAGCTCGGCTTGCAGGGGAAGGGGGGGCAGGGGCGGGGCCGGAGAGCCAGAAGCTGCCCTCTTACCCTGGCAGGGCTGGCTTTGCTCGTCCTATGCCACGGACAGGAAAGGGTGTCAGTACCCACAGCAGTCCTCTGCCTCTCATGGACAGGTGCTCTTTCAGCAGGAGAAATAGATGAATAGTGCAGATGTGAAGCAACCCATTGATCTATCCATCTGCCAGAAGGTAATTAGACAATTCCGCTTGGACTTCCTTGGGTATTATTAGAAAGGTACTTAAAGAGACAGGATGAGCTTGAATTTTTCTTTGGAAGGAGTTTTAGAAACTAATATATAAAGTTCTTCTCTTAGCTGGTTGTTGTACACCCTAACATGTATCTCCCCCCCTTCCCCCCCTGCCCCCCTGCCCCCCTGCTACCATCTTCCCCTCCTCCACACCCAAGCCTTACCATGTACTGCAGGGCTCTGCATTGTCTTTCACCACATGCTCTCCCCTGCCCCCTCCTCATGGAACTCTCCCTGACAGCCATCCATGCCCCCATATTGCATGGTGCATTTGTGACGGTTCTTTCTGTCTCACCACCTGACAGGCAGGAAGGTGGGAAGGGGCACCATCTGACTGCGTTCACAATCTAGCTGCCCCCAGCTGTTTTCCAACCCCGTATGTTCTGTCCTCTGTGTATTCTGTAGCAGTCTGACCCTTATCAGAACCCTTCCAAGAGGCCTTCTTCCACTCTCATATTGCTCTTGGTATAAAACCACTTTTAGAGAATATTTACAACCAATGAGAAGAGAAAATATATAAAGAAAACATTCATCATAAGGAAAGTGTCTAAGATCAAAATATGCAGAGAATGTGAGTAGCTAATTTATAAAAGAAACCTTCTGTTTGGTGGTGTTGTTGTTTGTTAGTTTTTAAGAGAATCTAACTGTAGAGCCACGGCTGGTCTTGAGGTTTCCATCCTCCTGCCTCAGCTCCCGAGTACAGGGATTACAGGAACGGTTAAAAGTGTGACTTCGCAGCCGGGCGCCGGTGGCTCACGCCTGTAATCCTAGCTATTCAGGAGGCTGAGATCTGAGAATCGTGGTTCAAAGCCAGCCCGGGCAGAAAAGACCTTGAGACTCCTATCTCCAATAAACCACTAGAAAACTGGAAGTGGTGCTGTAGCTCAAGTGGTAGAGTGCTCGCCTTGAGCTGAAGAGCTTAGGGACAGCGCCCAGGCCCAGAGTTCAAGCCCCATGACCGACCAAAAAAAAAAAAAAAAGTATGACTTCCCCTCTCCCTCATCCTTCCATCTTTCTGTGTGTCTCATCTGTGTGTCGCAGGCTAGCCCCAAACTCAGGGATCCTCCTGCTTCAGCAATCTTGAGTGCTGGCATTATGGGTATGTACCCACACACCTGCCTGTAGATATATTTTCAAGGCAGCTGAATTAAATGTTGGACATGAGAGAAGGAAAAGACTGATGACCTGAAGTGTCTAGGCTTGAACAGCTGGAAGAGGGAAGTTGCTGTACCAAGACAACATGTTGAGTGCTTATCTGGAACATGGTACCTATTAGATGTTTGTAAACCCTGGCAGCCTCCTCTCTGCTTTCATCTCCCATGCGCCTGTCCATCCACACAGGCAAATAGAAAGCTTCACTAGCACAACTATGTAGCAGATGACACATGTAGTCAGAGCACTGGAATTCTCGTGAATGATCCCTAACAGAAGGCAGAACTTGTATTTTCCCTCATAGCAAGAACACATTAATGTGTGCTGCAGGGGTGTCAGTAATAACAAAACCGTTAACAATCAAAGGAAAAACCCTAGCAACTTACTCTTTTCCTTCTGCAAAGGGCAGCATGGTTCTTGACGCCCATTTTCCCCTTGCAGGATGTTGCCTTATGGCTGCTTGGCAACCGGAGATCGCTCTGGCCTCATCGAGGTGGTAAGCACCTCGGAAACCATCGCTGACATTCAGCTCAACAGTAGCAACGTGGCTGCCGCTGCGGCCTTCAACAAAGATGCCCTTCTCAACTGGCTTAAAGAGTACAATTCCGGGTCAGTTACCACTTCTTCCCCATGCAGCCAGGCAATGGCTACCCACCCAGGGGAAGAACCACCCTTACCCACCTCATAGAAAAGCAGAAGTGAGAAGCAGGTGTCTGCAAGGACACGTCAGCCTCCCTCCCGTCTGTGCACCACCACAACAGCCACGCTGAGAATGCCGACAATATAAGTTGCAGCCTGGGCATGTAAATGTTTTAGAGATAGCATAAGTTTTTAATTATGGGACTGTGAGATTAAGTAACTTCTGATAGGTTAACTGTATGATAGAAGCAAATGAATCTGTAGACTCTGGTCTCTCCAAACAAATACTTCAAAGTCAGATTCCGCCTTGGTCATTCTGCCATTGGCAGTGTCCAAGGACTTGGATCTGAGAGTCAAGTTTCTGAGTTTTGGTCTTGAGGCTTTTTCTCCCAAGAGCTTGGTTAGTCACCTGTGGCTGAAGTGGTTCATTTATATGGTTGGGGCCACAGTACTTGATTCTTCCAAATGGGATTCTCCTTTTGAGGTCAGAGCTGACAAAAATGCTCCCTACCCCAGCATGAGCAGCACAGCCTGCTGGTGCTTCTCACCACCCTGAATGTGACCCTGGCCTCCACGCCCACCCCAGAAGTAGGAGTTTAATTGGCTGAGGCTCAGTTACCTGTGCTCCTCCGCCAACTCAGCATGCGCAGCCCTATGGCCTTGGCAACTAAAGCGTTGCAGGTTCTCCAGTTCCCAGGGAAACGGGTGTGGTCGGGCCTCATCCCACACACAGTGGGCTGAGTACCGTGGTGGCTTCCATTTTCTCTTTTGTTCAGGGATGACCTGGACCGAGCTATCGAGGAATTTACTCTATCCTGTGCTGGCTACTGTGTAGCTTCTTACGTCCTGGGCATTGGTGACAGACACAGTGACAACATCATGGTGAAAAAAACCGGTCAGGTAAGCTGCAGTGCGGGGTCTGCGCAGGCCTCAGTCGTGGTCAAGTCCCGTCTCTGATTTCCCTCCGTTTGCTGCAGGCCCTTGTTTCACATACTGCAGTGCTGTGCCTGTGCATCTGTTTACTTAAATGTGGTTACTTTAGTGTTTTAAAATTAGGGGAAAAAGTATTGTGGTTATTTAAAAATCTCCTATGCTTTCGGTACAAGATAACTGCTTAGCGGCCAGGCATAGTGATACATGTCTGTAATCCCAGCACTTGGGAGACTGAGGAGCTGAGGAGTGAAGATTGTGAGTTTGTCCTCCATAGTGAGATCCTGTCTCAGTTGATCAATAAAACAAGAAGAAGAAGAAAAGAATATAACCAGTGGCAAAAAAAAAAAAGAAAGAAAACTTGGAGCTGGTGCTGGTAGCTCATGCCTATAATCTTAGCGACTCAAGAAGCTGAGATTGGCTGGGAATGTGACTCAGTGGTAGAGTGTTCTCCTAGCACGCATGAAGCCCTGGGTTCAGTTCCTTGGCACCACATACACAGAAACAGCCAGAAGTGGCGCTGTGGCTCAAGTGGTAGAGTGCTCGCCTTGAGCAAGAACAGCTCAAGGACAGTGCCCAGGCCCTGAGTTCAAGCCCCAGGACCAGTTAAAAAAAAAAAGAGGCTGAGATCTGAGGATCAAGGTCAAAGCCAGCCCAGGCAAGAAAATCTGTGAGAGTCTTCTCTCTAATTAGCCACCAAAAAGACAGAGGTTGACTCAAGTGGTAAAATGCTAGCCTAGGAACAGTGCCCACACCCTGAGTTCAAGCCTCAGGATTCTCTCTCTCTCCCTCACACACACACACACACACAAACATACACACACGCACACGCATGCACGCACGCACTCCCAAGTTCTGGTTACTTGGATCAAACGCTTCTATTTATCTGCATTTGTTCCTGACACCACTTAAGACGAATAATGAGAAACATTAAGCATAAACATGTAAACCCAAGAAGTCAGTGATGATAGGAAAAGGTCATCAGGGCTCGGGGTGACCCTGGAGAGGGGGCTGCAGCACACAGCTGAGAGAATGGATCCTTTCCCAGAGTACATTCAGCTTAACACTAGAGTTATTATTGAGTGTCACGATCTGAGGGCATGAGACATGCCCTCAGATCCCAAGGCTGTGGGCGAGCTCAGGTGGAGCTGGATGGTGCATGCGGGGCCAACAGAAATAGTTGGCCCCAGGTGGGACGATGCAAAAAAGAAAGGCCTGTTTGTTCCTCAGCTCTTCCACATCGACTTCGGACACATCCTCGGAAACTTCAAATCCAAGTTCGGCATTAAAAGGGAGCGCGTGCCTTTTATTCTCACTTACGACTTTATTCATGTCATTCAGCAAGGAAAGACGGGAAACACGGAAAAATTTGGCCGGTGAGTATTCTCATGTCAAGGTAAAAACGTTTGACATTTTGACATCTGACCAAGATATATATTTAGGCCTGGGAGGCCCTCAGTGTACAATAGAGGGCTTAGGGGGCAGAGCAGGGGAGGGGCCTATCAGGTTCAAAAGTGCTCAGGAAGGAGCTTGCTGGAGATCAGAACTGAGCTCCTAGGCTGGGAAGGTAGCTCAGTGGTAGAGTGCTTGCCTTGCATGCATGAGGCCCTGGGTTCCATTCCTCAGTACCACATAAGCAGAAAAAGCCGGAACTGGCGCTGTGGCTCAAGTGGTAGAGAGCTAGTCTACAGCTGAAGAGCTGAGGGACAGCATCCAGGCCCACAGTTCAGGCCCCACGACCAGACCTCCCCCCCAAAAAAAAAAAAAAAAAAAAAAAAACGAAAACAAAACGAAAAAACTGAGCTCCTGTGTGGTATCCACTCAGTTCGTATGCAGCCTTATGCCCGTGCCACAGCTGTCTCTGAAGCAGTATAGTGCTGGGGTTAGCTTGAGCCTAGGTTGCAGGCCAGGCATGGACACCCACATGTCCACATGTGCTATTTGTCTTCTTGCTGCTTCCTTATCTTAAAATATAGACAAAAATAATGAACTTTCAGGCCTACTGTGGTAACTAGGGATGTATGTCACATGGCCAAAATACACTATGTGTCCACAAACGAGTGCCATTGTAACCTTGTCCCCTGTCCAGACTAATGGAGCATGTCCATTTCTGGGGCTGGTTTTCTCTGGCAAAATCTGTTAGGTTAGGATGACTCTGTTGGAGATGATCACCTTGAAGAAGAGATGAAAGGCGGGATGACAGGGAGGAGCCATGCAGAAGTACCAGCATGATTTGGGGGTTTAGTGTCTGGAGTCCACACATGTGCAGAGCCCAGAGTGTTCAGAGTCCACGTCTCATTTTAGAAGCAGTTCTCGCATTGCATGGAAAGTGGAAAGCCTAGGCGGTTGCATGGCCCTATCATACAGTTCCAATTTAGTTTAGCTCCTGGAAAGGTGTGTGTGCGTGCTTGCGTGCGTGCATACATGAGTGTGTGATGGTAGAGAACTTAATCACTGGATATGCATCTTAGTCCTGGGACCGTGTTTCCAGAAGTCAGCCTGAGAACTGAAGCTTGAAATGGATGCAACTGTCTGAGCCTAACTTCTTTCCCTTATGCTCATCTCCATGGCCCCGTGCGCCTCGCCAAGGTTCCGCCAGTGCTGTGAGGACGCGTACCTGATCCTGCGGCGGCATGGCAATCTCTTCATCACCCTCTTTGCCCTGATGCTGACCGCAGGCCTTCCCGAGCTCACGTCGGTCAAGGACATACAGTATCTTAAGGTACACGGCCTGCCTTTGTGCCTTGCATTGTCTGTGTGGAGCTCATTTAGGGCCACCCATTTCACAGGAAGCGAGGGAAGTCATTTCCCGTGAGAGCTTTTTAGTGAAAGGAAAAGAAGCCAGAGAGTACGCATGGAGGAGGAGCTTGTGAGCCAGATGAGGCTGGGCCAGTTCTTCCTCCCCAACTTGCCTTCTATTCCAGGCTGTTGGCTGGCCAGGGAAAATATTTTGAGTATTTAGCAGTGATTGAGAAGCTAATTTTATCCATGACAAGGCCACATTTTCATGCCACTTGGTGGTCATCCTTCAGCCACTAAAAGCATGGTGCCTGATGGCGGCTGAGGGAGTCATAGCCAAGCCAGTCTCCCGATAGTGCTGTCTGTGTGAATCTCCCCTGAGGATAGATAACAATGGGACTTTCCCCTTGCCCTTTCAGGACTCTCTCGCCTTAGGGAAGAGCGAAGAAGAGGCACTGAAACAATTCAAGCAGAAATTCGATGAGGCGCTCAGGGAAAGCTGGACCACCAAAGTGAACTGGATGGCCCACACAGTCCGCAAAGACTACAGGTCCTAACAACGCCTCGGTTCTCCTAACCCCCCGTCAGTCTGCTTTCCTCCTCGTTTTGCACTCGCACTGAATTGAACTGGACCCCGCCAGAGATGTTATAAAGGGAATAGACTCCTGAACTGCGGCGTCATTAAGAACAATGCCCCCACCGAACTCTGAAGAGCCCTGCCACCTCCACCTCCCCGCTCCCCGCTCTGAATGCCCCCAGCTCATCATGAGTGCTGCCAAGTGATGATGATCATTTCCTGCTGAAACTGCACGCCAAGGAATGCCGCTGGGCCCGCGTGAGGTCTTTTTTGTTTTTAAGTTTTTGGTACTTTACAGGAGAGGTGTAAATACTTCTTTTCAGTGTTGTGCCTGTGTTATTACTTAGCCAACAACCTGTCCACGCTGGGGCCTGGGCTGTGTTTGCTTCCAGTGAAGCTGCAAAGAAAGGTATCTTCCTTCCCTTTTTAAATTGTGTAGAGTACAAATTATAATATAATTTGAACTTCAGATTATTTTTCAAAAGGAATCTTTTAAAAATCTGTGGAAACCCATTAATTTTGTTAATATTTATCTTCCATGACAGCATCCTTCCAAGCCAGACTTGCTGAAAATCTATGGGTGAGGCAGATATAATATATAATATAAATAGATATATAAATATGCTGCATATATATATATTTATAAGATTTCTAGTGGGAGTTCTGTATAAAAAAAAAAATGTTTCTTTGGTATGTTCCAGCCTGATTTAAGCAGAACTTTGTCTTAAGTTATCTTTGTTTTAACTGTGCGATCCAGTTCTTCCAGCTGCTTCTGTAATGAGGCACATTATCAATACCAATTTTATATGGTATCTAGGAAAGAAGTCGCTTCCTAGAACCTAACACATGAGCAGACATATGCAAGAAAGCAAGCAAATGAAAAGGAGCCTATTTATGGCATCATCTCCAGACCTAAAATTCAGTATTTTATTTTAGTACAATGCCAGCCTGTTCTTATTGTATTTATTAAAACTTGTAATAATGTGATTTTTTTCAATGATATTAGTTCAAATCGAATGGTTTCATGCCACACTGAAATCGTTTAATTTATTTGTTGAGGTACCATAAAGCTAGGGTGCTAGGTGGCAAATAATGTTTCTGTGCAATAGGAGCACTGGTTGAATGTGTAAATGAATGCTCTTTCTGGGGGCTGGGGAGATCCAGCACAACTACTGCTTATTCTCCAAAGAATATTGGGAGCTCTCGGTCCTCAGTGACGTGAGACAGACCACTGAGTGGTTGCCCTGTGACTGAGTTTTCTACAGGAATTTTATTAAAGATTGTTTAATTTTGTCATCCTTCTTAATGTTCTCAGTCAAATAAATGGGAGCTGGTTTTGGCCGTTTGGGGATACGTGAGCCTCTTCTTTATGAGCAATACAGGTCTTTGGAACTTGCCTAGAGTTCCTGAGAAATGGCTAAGTTGTTAGAAAAAAACACTTCCTGAGGAGTGGGCCGAGGGTCAGGGCCTCCTCCCCAACCTCTGCCCTTGTTTCCTAGGCCCCTCGGGCACACTGCGGGGCACTTCCTGGAGTCTGAGGGGAGCCCTCAGGTTTCCCATGGCTTTGGAAGGTGCCTGAGGTCTGGGGAAAGCTGTTAGTTACTTGGCACCTGCCAGCCATGTTGGTGCTCTCTTCTATGGGGCAGATGCTCAGAGCAGGCCAGCCACTCTTGAACGTGCCAGCCACAGCGAGGGGTTGGTTCTGAGCTTCCATTTCCAGCATTTCAGGAATGAGACTATAGGCTTGTCTAGCAATAACTCACCTTACATGCAATGCACCAAGCCACAGGCCAATGGTTTGGGAAGTAGCGTTACCAGAAGAAGGGGGAACCATTGTTTCCAGGGGGTGTCTCCGTAGCCCAAAGGAAGGCCTTGGTAAATCCATGCCAGCACTGGGAAATGTGTCTTGGAGAACAAGAGGGAAATGAACTCAGCAGTGCTGGACCCAGAATTTTGATTATCCCAGTTGTGTTCTCAGATCCAAAACTGCTGAGAAATTATGCAAGGATGGGTGTGAGTCTAACCACAAAGCTATCTATGTCTCTTATTCCTATTGCCTTCTTGTTTTCTGACAGGGTCTTGCTGTGTAGCCCAAGCTAGCCTTGAACTTTCAATCTCCCTACCTCAACCTCCCAAATGCTTGAGTGACAGGTATATGTTAACACATCTGGCCTATTGTTACTTTTAAAAAACTTTTTGCCTTTCCTGGGGCTTGAACTCAGGGCCTTGGTGCTGTCCCCAAGCTTTTGTGCTCAATGCTAGTGCTCTACCACTTGAGCCACAGTGCCACTTCGTTTTTTGGTTGTTAATTGAAGTGCCTACAGACTTTCCTGCCCAAGCTGGCTTTGAACTGTGATCCTCAGATCTCAGTCTCCTGAGTAGCTACGACTAAGGTATGAGTCAAGAGCTCCTGGCTTTATTATTTTCACACCTTTCTGCTGTGGTAGACTGTACAACCTGGTGTGCTTTTTACTAAGATAGGGCAGTTCAGTTATGCTTATGCACTATTTGCTAGCTTGGTTTGAATACACAAAACAATAATTCATATGTCCCATAATTAATTCAGGAGACACAGTTTCCACACAACAGCCATTTAGTCTTTTTATTTATTATTTATTTATTTATTTTTGTCGGTCACGGGGCTTGAACTCTGGGCCTGGGTGCTGTCCCTCAGCTCTTCAGCTCAAGGCGAAGCGCTCTACCACTTGAGCTACAGCGCCACTCCCCCATTTAGTCTTTTTTTTTTTTTTTTTTTTATTTTATTTTATTTTTTTATTGTAAAGCTACTATACAGAGGGTTACAGTTACATGAGTGAGGTTATGAGTACACTTCCTCTTGAACATTGTTACCCCCTCCATTGTTTTCCCCCTACCATCCCCTCCCTCCCTCCCTTCCCCGAGGTTCCATTTAGTCTTTTTAAGGTTCACAGAACCACATAATTTTATCTACTGTTTAATGAAATGATCTAATCAAAGTCTAAAGATGACTTTATATGACTTTTTCAAAAAGAACATATTCCTAAGCTAGGTGCTGGTGGCTCACTCATGTAATCCTAGCTACTCAGGAGGCTGAGATCTGAGGATCAAGGTTCAGTGCAAGCCTGGGCAAGAAAGGCTTTTGTGAAAGTCTTATCTCCAAGAAAAACTACCCCAAAACTGGAAGTGGCTCAAAGTGGTAGAGAACTTACCTGAGCTGAAGAGCTGAGGGACAGTGCTCAGGCCCAGAGTACCAGGAAGAGATCTTATTAGGCACCAGTAGCTCACACCTGTAATCATAGCTATTCAGGAGGCTGAGATCTGAGGATAGTATTTCAAAGCCAGGTCTGATGCCAGCCCAGGCAGGAAAGGCCATGAGAATCATCTCCAATGAACCACCAAAAGCCAGAAGTGGAACTGCAGCTGAAGTGGTACAATGCTAGCCTAGTCTTAAGCCAAAAAGCTCAAGGACACTACCCAGGTGCTGAGTTCAAATCCTAGAACCAGCATCAAAAAAAAAAAAAAAAAAGGAAAAAAAAAAAAGCTGTGTAACTAAATGGTTTCTTATGTGGGTACACATCACCGAAGCACAATCAATAAATTGACAGTGTATTTAAATTTTGTTTGTCCTGTTATTGCCACTTTGGTGGCAGTGGTCCTTGGTGTAGGCTCCTAATGACTTTTTGTCAGAAATATCTCCAGGTATGCTGCAAAAATTTCTCACTAATTTGTATTTATCATTTTACTTTAAGAAAAAAATTTGGGGGGGGGGGGGGCTGGGAAGGTGGCTCAGTGGTAGAGTGCTTGCCTTGCATGCCTGAGGCCCTGGGTTCGATTCCTCAGCACCACATAAGCAAAAAGAAAAAAGCCGGAAGTGGCGCTGTGGCTCCAGTGGTAGAGCGCTCTCCTTGAGCTGAAGAGCTGAGGGACAGCGCCCAGACCCAGAGTTCAGGCCCCATGACCGGACCCCCCCCCCCCCAAAAAAATTTTTTTTGGGGGGGGGGGTACTAGTGCTGTAACTTTGCTTTCTTAAAGCTCAAGACCCGCACACTACCACATGAGCCATGTCTCCACTTCTGTCTTTTGGCTGGTGAACTGGAGGTAAGGCTCATGGATTTTCTTGGTTTGGTCTGGCTTTGAACTTTGATCTTCAGGATCAAAGTAGCTAGGATTATAGGCGTGAGCCATGATACCCAGCCTGGTATTTTTCTTTCTTTTTTTTTTTAACAAAAAAAAAATCCAAAACAAAACAAAAAAACATGTTTCCATTCTGATGTTTTCTTGATATGCTTCCAGACAGAAAATATGTCTTATTTTCCCCAGTTCAGGAACCAACTGCTCTCGATCAGAGAGCGCAGGTGACTCACCAGAACCTGTACCCATCTGCAGGAACACAGGCAAAGACGCCAATTTTATTTCACAGTTTATTATAATAAAACTATTTGTGAACCTCTAGTGATTGTGGTCTGCTTTGTTTTCCGTTTGGCTTTAAAACACATCACATTATTTAAAAAATAAATTGTAATTGCTATGATTACACATAATTTTTTTTCCTGACCCTTGGGATATTAGTTTCAAATGACTTGGAAAATTAAAAAAAAAAGGAAACACTGCAGACTAAATGTACCAAGTACCTGTGGAACATAAATTTAATTACTACCACAGTCCTTAAAAAGTCCTGACCGTGACTTCTTCAGACTACAATTTATGAAGAGAAATCACTCAGGAGTCTCTGGGATTTCTCTGTTGTCCACCACGAGGGTGTGGACAATGCCCTCTCTCCGCTTCCCGCTGCTCACCGCTTTTATGTAACAGTCGTGCTTCCCAAGGCTGAAATGCGTTTCCGTCCCGTCGTCCACAAACTCACCCTGCAACAGGAGGGAGAGGCATCAGCACCCCAGAAACCTCTGTCTGCAGCATGAACACCAGCTGAAGGGGAAGCTTTTGCTAGCTTAGAACCTGAAGCTTGGATTGGATGCTCTTCACATGTCCATGGGGAATTCAGAGTTTCTGTGTTTTTTGTTTTTGTTTTTAAAGTGCCGGTCCTGGGGTTTGAGCTCAGGTCCTGGGCACGGTTCCTGAACTGCTTTTGCTCAAGGTGAGTGCTCTACCACTTGAGCCATAGCTCCATGTCTGGCCTTTTCTAAAGAGTTTTTTGGAGATAAGAGTCTCATGGACTTTCCTGGCTGGACTGGCATCGAACTGTGACCCTCTGACCTCTCTCTCCTGAGTAGCTGGGAGGACAGGTTTGAACCACCAGATGCCTGACATTGCAGTCTGGAATATTTAATCTCCTTTCATTATCAAAGCTCCACAATTAGAAGCTGGGCATGATGGAACACACCTATAATCTCAGCACTCTGGAGGAACATGAGATCAAGGCCAACCTGGGCTACACTATACAAAGAAGACAAAAAGCAATATCTCAATGGTCAATACTGAAATGATTATTTTGGGAACTTACTGCTGTTTCCATTTGCTTTCCATTGCACCAGACATCCATAGTGTCTTTTTCTGTAAAAATAGCATACATTTCAGAAGTTAGGAATCTATGATTTAAAGATGACAAGCTTGGCACACTGCATTTCTAAATTACATTAAACTAAAACTCAATTATTTTATTTATTTATTTAGTTAGTTGATTATAGGGCTTGAACTCTGGGCCTGGGCCCTGTCCCTCAGCTCAAGGCTAGTGTTCTACCACTTGAGCCACAGTGCCACTTCCGGTTTTCTGGTGGTTTATTGGAGATAAAGAGTCTCACAGACTTTACTGCCCAGGCTGGCTTTGAACCACCATCATCAGATCTCAGCTTCCTGAGTAGCTAGGATAACAGGCTTGAGCCACAAGCACCCAACAAGTCCATGAGATTTTAATCTCCAGCGCTAGAAACTGAACTGTGGTTCAGGTGGTATAGTGCCATCCTTGAGTGAGCAAATTAAAAGGACAGCAGCTGTTCAAGACCCAGGATTAATATGCCATTCGATTCTATAAAAATGTGTACTGACTTACCCAGAACAACTCGGAAGTCTTGACCATCCAAGTGCAGCACCCATGTGTTGGTGGTCTTTGATCTGTTTTCCATGTACTTCTTGAGGCTCTTCCCATTAATTTCTAGAGTATATTCATAAGCAAATCCAGTGACAGCGTCAATGTTTATGGTGGCTTTGGTCTCTGCGGCTCCAACTGTGAACGTTTCTTTGCCCACCAATTTAAACATCCATTCTTTTCTTATCTTTTCCTATGTAAGTACAATAAAATACGAATGTGAATGTACTACCTGATTAGAAATACCATGCAATCTCAAGAAAAAGTACAGAACTACTACTCAGTGAGCAAATGACCCATGCAATTGAAAGATCTTTTTATTAATTCATGATGTCAAGATTTCTAGAAAAAGCCGGGCGCTGGTGGCTCACACCTGTAATCCTAGCTACTCAGGAGGCTGAGATCTGAGGATCGCGGTTCAAAGCCAGCCCGGGCAGGAGAGACCGTGAGACTCCTATCTCCAATAAACCACCAGAAAACCGGAAGTGGCGCTGTAGCTCAAGTGGTAGAGCGCTAGCCTTGAGCTGAAGAGCTGAGGGACAGCACCCAGGCCCAGAGTTCAAGCCCCACGACCGACCAAAAAAAAAAAAAGATTTCTAGAAAAGAGTTGTTTTAAGCTTAAGTATTCCACATCTCTTCTCTGAGTTCTATAACTATTATGAGCTTGCTTTGCCCAGTAAATAACTGGCCACAATCCTAACTGTAACTACTGTCAGAAAAACCCAAGTTCCCACACGAAGAGGCCCAAGGCGACCATTTCCTACCTTCCCATCTACGTACACTACTCGCTTTCCTGATGTTGTCCCGTGTTCGAATTCAATCTTGTGGATTCCATCGCTCAAGGCCACATCCCACACAGCTACAAGATCTGTCATTTTTTCCATGCTGTAGAGAGAGATGAAAGCCATTGTATTATGGGCCAAAACTAGAACAACTATTCCAATATAAAATATCAGACTTTATTAAAGGCCCTAAGATTACCTAAGAAATCCTCACAGACTATGGAACTGTTTTCTTCCTAATTATTGTTTCCTCATGAGATGATATGAGTATACAGCGGGAGTAATTCCAAACAAAGTCACCTTAGTGCTAATAGGATTAAGAATCTATCAGTTTATCCTGTGTAGCACTCTCGGCTTGGTTGTGGCTTGGTTGTAGCTTTATACACGAGTCTGTTTAAAAAAAAAAAAAAGTCTCCTATTTCCTTAATCCCCCCTCACCCCATTAAAAAAGCCCAGAACTCAGTGGTTTGGCTTTGTTTATTTTAGATCTGATCACTTTCAAAACAAGACCTCTCTGAATTCTTCATACTTAAAACTAATCACTGGGGATTCATTGTAACAAAAACAAAGCTCTAATTTATTATAGTGGAACCGAAGAAAAAAGAGCTATGGAAGCAAATATCCTAGAAATGAGACAAAAATAATACAAGTTAGTAATCCTGAGGATTATTATAGGAAATCTAATTTTAAAACAAAGGACTCTGCCTTGTCAAGAGTTTCTGGAGCAGTGTAAACTGTGTGTGTGTGTGTGTAACACACCGGTTTTGGAGCTTTGAACTCAGATCCTGGGTCCTGTTCCTGAGCTTTTTCACCTACAGCTGGCATACAACCAATTACTTGAGCCACAGCCCCACTTCCAGCTTTTTGCTGGTTAATTGGAGATAAAGTGTCTCAGACTTCCTGCCTAGGCTGGCTCTGAACCATGATCTTCAGATCTCAGCCTTCTGAATAGCTAGGATTACAGGCATGAGCACTTACACTTGGATCATTGTTTTTTTGTTTGTTTGTGGGGCTTGAACTCTGGGCCTGGGCACTGTCCCTCAGCTCTTCAGTTCAAGGCAAGCGCTCTACCACTTGAGCCACAGCGCCACTTCCGATTTTCTAGTGGTTTATTGGAGATAGGAGTCTCATGGTCTTTCCTGCCCGGGTTGGCTTTGAACCACAATCCTCAGATCTCAGCCTCCTGAGTAGCTAGGATTGTAGGCGTGAGCCACCGGCACCCAGCTCATTGTTCTTTTCCTGTATCTAAATTAGAGATGGCAATTGAACTTGATTTCATCCTGGAGTAATTGCCAAGAGCTTTGTGCCAAAGGACCAGCAGACCCACATCCCTGGCAAAGGAGGCGTAGACAGTGGCTACCTCCAGTGGGTGGACGCTTCCTCTGCTCTAGATGGCAAAGTAGGCACCTTGTGCTTTGCATGCTACAGTGTGTGTCCTTGGCAGAGCCGACATGATTCTCTTCTGGAATACCCGGATAACCTTGGAACCATTCAAGGCAGGTTTTATGGCAAAGCAAGTCATTTACCTTTCATCATCTTCAAAGATGGGATTGTCGTCTCCAGATGCCATGGTTGGCAAAAGTCTTTAATCCAATTAGCAGGCAGGAAAGAAAAACATAAAAAAAGCAGAGATGCGGCAAAGAAGATTGGGAGCAGAAAAGAAGACATCTACAAAGAGTTTCTCTTAACTTTGCAATCCTGGTCTCAAACTGCATGCAATTTCTGAAGAAATGGCTTTTACATACAATAGAATTGCAAACTTAATTTCAGAGGAGTTCAAGCATGCAAATCAGCTAACTTTTTTTTTATTTTTTTGGTTGGTCATGGGGCTTGAACTCAGGGCCTGGGCTGTTCCTGAGCTTTTTGCTCAAGGGTTAGCACTCTACCACTTGAGCCACAGGGCCACTTCCTGCTTGCTGATGGTAAATTGATAAGAGTCGCACAGACATTCCTGTTCAGGATGGCTTCAAACCACAATCCTCAGATCTCAGTCTCCTGAGTAGCCAGGATGAGCCACTGGTGCCTGGCTATCATTTCTTAAAATTAAGGAGTAAACTTCTAACTCATTTCAAATATTGCATCATCTCTGGTCCGCAAACACTCTTAACAGATCCCCTGGGTTCTGTGCTTCTCAAAACCCCAAAGAATTGAGGCACAACTCAGGGACTACAGGAAACTCTTAAGATAAACACGATGCCTCTGGACATGCTGTCTTCACAGGGCATTTTAGAAGGGTTAAATAACAATCCACTCCCACCTCTCCCCCGCCATCACTAATAAGTGATGAATTTAGGGGAAGTGGTCAGGGGTATTTATACCAGCTCTTTAAGAACAAACTTCAATCACTCAATTAAGCACAATCAACTTAATAGTGCTGGTACTGAATGCACACAAGTTAACAGGTAGTGCTGGGCGCCAGTGGCTCACGCTGGTAATCCTAGGTATTCAAGAGGCTGAGATCTGAGGATCATGGTTTGAAGCCAGCCTAGGTACAAAAGTCCCTGTGAAACTCCTATCTCCAATTAACCACTCAAAAACCAGAAGTGGCACTGTGGCTCAAAGTGGTAGAGCACTAGCTGTGAGCAAAAAGAAGCTCAGGGACTGTGTCTAGGCCCTGAGTTCAAGCCCCACAACTGACAAAAACAAAAAAAAAAACAAAAAAACTAAGATTTTTCCTAGGGAACTGGAAACTATCCTATAATCATTTAGAAAGAAAAGGAAAACATTCTATTCAAAGCAGTAGAAAAAGCCAAATAGCATACTGTAGACTAGATAAGCCATCCTATATAAATCAGAGGGGACTTAGGGAGAGCACTCGAATTTTGCTCTATGAGATTCTAGAAAGTTCAGCAATGCAGTGTGCAAACCTGAAAGTACTGCCCTCTTTTCCGGTGCCACAAACTTCAGTATCTCCAACCCCACCCCCCCCCCCCAAGAAAACTGGGGGATGTCTTAATTCTAATAGCTTTTTATACACAAGTGTAAAAGACTGCACAGAAAGTTGGAAGGAAGTTCCCAGATTATACTGGACTTCAGATACTTTCTCTAAACCATCAACATTTCCTTCATCCATTCAACAATTTTTCAAAGACTACCTAAAAATCAGGTTTTTCTTTTTTTTCTTTTATGGCACTAGGTTTTGAGCTCAGGACCTCACACTGGCTACGCAGGTACTCTACCACTACAACCATACTGCCAGTCCTTTTTGTGCTTGTTTTTATTTATCTTATCCAGTCACTTAGCTGGCATGAGTTCTGCAGGGGAAGAATTCACCATGACATTTCCATGCTGTTTTTTTGTTTTATTTTGTTTTGGGGTCTGGTCGTGGGGCCTGAACTCTGGTCCTGGGCGCTGTCCCTCAGCTCTTGGCTAGCGCTCTACCATTTGAGCCACAGCGCCACTTCCGGCTTTTTTTTCATTTTTGCTTATTTGGTGCTGAGGAATCGAACCCAGGGCCTCATGCATGCAAGGCAAGCACTCTACCACTGAGCCACCTTCCCAGCCCCTCCACACTGTTTTGTTTTGTTTTTTTTCTGCTTATGTGGTACTGAGGAATCAAACCCAGAGTCTCATGTATGCAACACAAGCACTCTACCACTGAGCCACCTTGCCAACCCCAAACCCCAATATTGGGGTTTATTGTTATATTTATTCCTGGGGCTTAAACTCAGGGCTTGGACACTTTTCCTGAGCTTCTTTTTGCTTAAGACTAGCGCTCTACCACTTGAGCCACAGAACTACTTCTGGCTTGTTCATGTGGTGCTAAGGAATCAAACCCAGGGCTTCATGCATGCTATGCAAGCATGTTACCACTAAGCCACATTCCCAGCCCTCCACACTGGTTTTTAAAATCAATTTCACCCCTTTTACCATTCTACCTTCTCTTATCCGCTGACCTGCCTCCCCCCCTCCCCCCCCCTTCCCGAAACAATTTCAACAAGTAATGTATTTCAGACAGTCTCAAGTTTGTTTGTTTTCTCTCCCTGGCAGCCTGAACCATGGCCGTCATCCTACCTAAGACCTCCCACAGAGCTAGGCCCACAGGTGTGATCACTGTCATGCCTGGTTTATTTTGTTGAGATGGAGGTCTTGGTAACTTTTTGCTGGGGCTGCCTCGAACCTCCATCCTCTTACATAAGCTCTCTAGAATATGCAAATTCATAGAGTCAGAAAGCAGATCAGCAGTTACCAGGGATTGGGGGCAAAAGGAGGAGAGGGAGGTATGGCTCCATGGGTACAGTGCCTGTATTTAAGGGGCTGACGAAGTTTTGGAAAATGATGATGGAGGAACAACATTATGCATGCACATAATGCCACTGCAATGTACCCTTACAACTGGTACATTTGTCTTAAAACTGGTACATTTGCCGGGCACTGGTGGTTCACGCCTGTAATCCTAGCTACTCAGGAGGCTGAGATCTGAGGATCAAGGTTCAAAGACAGCCCTGGCAGAAAGGTCCCTATAAGTCTCATCTCCAATTAACGACTCAAAAACCGGAAGTGGTACTGTGGTTCAAGTGGTAGAACACTGGTGTTGAGCACTAAGAGGCTCAGGGTCAGTACCCAGGCCCTGAATTCAAGTCCCACAACTGATCAAACAACAACTGGTACACTTATGTTATATATCTTTACCATAATTTTTTTAAAATGTCCTGTACATATCATTGTCAGTATGGGATTTAAACTCGGGGCTTTGTGCCAGCTAGGCAGACAAACTACTACTTAAATCACACTTCTATACCTTTTTAAAATAAATTTTTTCCTACGGTTATTTTTGAGATAGGGTCTTGCTTTCTGCCTAGGCCGACCTGGAACGAGACAATATTTACAATTCCCACCACAGCTGGAACAACAGGCACACACTACCATACCCAACTTCTCTGCTGAGAGAACTGGGGTCCTGTTGTTTTGCCTGGTCTGGCCTGGAGCTTATGGGATGCCATCCTCCCAACCTCAGCCTCCTGAGTCGTAGCTGGGATAGTCAGCATGAGTCACCGGAGCCTGGCTTACAGCACATATGCAGTGGACAAACTGGACTGTAGGTGAGTTATATCAATAAGGTTGTCAAAAATAATAATAAGTTCCACGCTGGTCGTGTTCCTTGGGGTCTGATCACATCTATCCCTGTCCCCAATTTCTCCTCTTTGCATAGCAGTAATCAGAAATGTCTGTCGTATTTGTTAGGAACTCAGTTTTAGACACACATGGCATAGTCTATATTCATCCAGAATGCGAGTAGTTATCTCACTCACACACACACACACACACAAATGGAGAACCATATGGGGGGGAGGGGGGAAGAGGAGGAGAGGAGGAGGAGGAGGAGGAGGAAGAGGAGGAGGGTGCAGCGTCTGGGTGATCAAGAAGGGAAAGAGACAGTGAGGAGGAGGAGGGAGGAAGAGGAGGAGGAGGAGGAGAAAGAAGAAGGAGAAGAGGAGGAGGAGCAGGAGGAGGAAGAGGAGGGAGGAGGAGGAGGAAGAGGAGGGAGGAGGAGGAGGAAGAGGAGGGAGGAGGAGGAGGCCGGGTCCCGGTCCTTGAGGACCCAGGTTGTGCAAAATCATCCATTCTGATCGTGCTGGCCAGGGGGCCAGGCAGACCCGAGGGGCCCATCCGTCCCCCGCCCCGGGATCTTTCAGCTCCAAGGTTTCCCCCAGCGACGGGTCTGACCTTTAATGGGGTGCAGACAGGTCGGAGGCCACAGCGGGGTGGGGTGGGGGGACGGGACAGGACTCTCCCCCCTCCCCACCCCACCCCGACGTCAACCCCGACACTCCGTTGCACCGCCGCCCCCCCCATCCACGCGGGGGGGGGGGGAGTCCCCGCCCCGCGCCCGTCGCCGCCAAGGGGAGCGAGGACTTGACCGAGGGTGTGGGGGGGACGGGCGGGCCGCGATCTCACCTGTGCGCGGTGAGCTGCGGGGATGGGATGGGCGCTGGGAGACACCGGTTGATTCCGATCCTTTTAGGCCGCGCGGCCTCCGCCGGGAGCCCGCGGCGCGCAAGGCCCGGCCGGCGCGAGGCGGGGCGTCACGCTCCGGGTCTCCCGGGGCGCCCCAGCGCACCCCGGACCCAACCCCCACCCCCTCAGCCCGTCCCCCGGCCCTGGCCTTCCGCCCCGACCCTGCTCCGCGCCCTCTCTAAGGCCCTGCGGCCGTGAACAAACCCGAGCGTGGCACTGGCTCCCCAGCACCGCTCTAGGGAGCACCCCGACCTCCCCCGCCCACTTCTCTCACCCCCTTAATTTTTTTCCTCGGTGCTAGTCCTGGGGTTGGAACTCAAGCCCTAAGCGCTGTCTCTGAGCTTTTTTTTGGGGGGGGGGGGGAGGCTAAAAACTGGTGCTTCTGCCACTTGAACCACACACCTCCAGCATTTTTTTTTTTTTTTGCTGGTTAATTGCAAGGTAAGTGTCCAGGACCTTCTTGCCCGGGCTGGCTTCGATCTGCGATCCTTACAGATCTCAGCCGCCCCGCACCCCCGAAGAGGTGACCATCACAGGCATCGAACCACCAGCGCCCGGTGAGACAGAAATACAACTTTAAAGGTACGGTTCTACTGAGCACTCGACGTCCAAGTGCTGCGGGATGGGGATCTTATTAGCCCTGCACACGTTTGGCTCTTCGGTCTGGACTCATCCCTAACTATCCCTGTAGGGGGGGGCTCGCCCCCGTGCAGTCACGTGGGGGGGCCTCCAGACCCCCCCCCCCGCCCATCCCGGAGATCCTGGGATCAGCGGGACCTGCAGCACCAAAGCTTCCGAAGCCTCTCGGGCGATTCGCGTCGGCAGCAGCTGGGGGCGGACCCCACCCCCACCCCGGGGCCTCGGCAGCCACTATTTCAATCCCGGTCCCTTCCACACCTTGTCCACGGATCAGGCTTCGCCTAAGGGCGTCCTGAGGGTCGTGTCCAGAACTACACGTGGCATCTTCGGCCTCTCCGCAGTCCGACGTCTGGCTGGGCCTAACACCTGGTGGGCCTCTGGGAGAAGGGAAGGCTATCCACACACCATGTATAGACTACAGGTCCCGCAAAGGCCAGCGGATCCAGCGCACAGCCCAAGCCGGGGACGTCAAGGACATGCTGGCGCGGGAGGAGACACACAAGCCGCTCAGCAATCACGTTCACCTGCAGCCATTTAAAACAAACAAACAAACCACCACCCACTTCCGGCGCCTCCCAACGACGCGCCTCTCGTTGGTGAGTGACAGCACCTGGCAGCCTATAGCCGCAAGAGCAGATCCACGTTCTCCGTAGGTATTAAGCCCCGCCTTAGAAGAAGAGCCAATAGGAAGGCGGCGTGGGCGGATCCAACTCGTCCTTCCTAGTGAAGCCCGAGAGACTCGTTCGCGAGGGGCGTGGCCGAGCAGCGGCGAGGCCGAACGTCACGCTCGGGTTCGGCTAGCCGGCCTCCGTCGGCCGGCCCTAACGGTCGCGGGGGCGGGGCTCCAGGTGGCGGGGCGGGGAGCGGCGGGGCGGGGCCAGGCTGGGCGGGCTGCAGGCGGGAGGCGGCGGCGGAGGAAGGTGAGTGTGTGTGTGTGAGGGGAACGCCACGGAGGAGGCGTGAGAGGATTTCTCGGGGGTACCACCGTGCCGGGGGTGTGTGTGTGGGGGGGTTGGTACTGAGTCTCGTCATCCGGGGAGGCCCCGGGGTCGGTTTCCCGCCAATTAGAGCGGGCCGCGGCCTACCTGTGGTGGTGGTGGGGGGGGGGGCGGAATCACCGAGGGCTGAGGGGATTTCTCACCGGGAACCCCCAGACTGGCTTCACACTGGGGTGTGGAGGGGGTGCACTCAGCCTTGTCAGCGTCTTCCCCCCCCTCCCGCCCGGTACCGTGTCCCGCACCCCCCCCCCACCCCGGCCCGGTTCGCAGGTGCGGCGCTCGCGGCCTACCTGGCCAGCGGCGTCCGGCTCGGCGGGTCCGCGGTTTGTGTCCCTCGCCCCCCCACATACTCCCCCCCCCCACCTCCTCACCCACATCCCCGGGGCCGGGGGCGGGGGGGGGGGGGAGCCGGGCTTTGTGTGGATAATAAAGCTTGGTTAATGCCGGCCTTTCCCGGTGATTGTGAGGACTGAAGCAGCCGGCGGCCAGCTCCCCCCCCCCCACACCCACCCACCCACCCACCACACACACACACCCGCACCCCGTGCCACGGGTTAGCTTGGGGGGGACGGGGAGCCGGCTGTGGGTGCTGGGATTCCTCAGCCTCTGGTATCCCGGGCTGGTCGTCCGAGGGTGGCGGAGGGGGGTAGGTAAGCGAGACCCCTCCCTCCCCCCTCCCACCCCACCTCCCCCTCTTCCCTGTCTCAAGCTGTTTCCAGGATTGGGGTGAGAGTGTGGGGGGGGGACGGGGGAGGGGTTCAGGGCCTGCGGTCAGGGATGTGATTTATTTACTTATTTGTGTGTATTTGTTTATTCTTTGCCTGGGGCTTGAGCTCAGGGCCTGGGCACACTGCCCCTGAGCTTTTCTTTTGCTCTACCACTTGAGCCACAGCACCACTTCCACCTTTTTTTTTCTAAGTGGTACTGAGGAATGGAATCCAAGGTCTTCATGCATGCTAGGCGAGCACCTTCCCAGCTCTATTTTTTATTTATTTATTATTATTATACTTGGGATATTGATTGTCAAGCAGATTGGAACTTTCTTTGTCCACCTTTTGGGGATAGTTAGTTGGCTTGGAGTGGGGCAGTGTTTGCTTTAAGGCAGGCTCTAGGGGCCTTGTACTGGCCTCCGGTTGTAACCTCTTCCCCAGGTGAGAATGGTTTCCTTCAGATGACATTCCCCCTTAATTTGTGGTGGGTTCCGATCTTCGTGATAAACACCAAACAGTAGGTTGTAATATTTTGGGTGAGATTTTTGTTTGTTGTTGTTTTTTTGTTTGTTTTTCACTTGGGATAGTTTTTTTTGTTTTGCATTTGGAATTGAATTTTTGTATAGAGGCTTTGAAAGAGTTATGTTCATTATAGTAATTTGAAATATATACTTAATGAGAAAAAGTACAGATTTCAATGAGACTTGCTTGAGAAAGAATAGTTGCTAGTCATGTTTTACTATAGCTAGTTTATCTCCCCAAAGTGATGAAACAGCTTATTTACAATTTTAATGTATGGGACATGTTGCAGATCTTCAGACCTTTAAGGAGAAATTTAATAACTCTATACTTTTTTTATTTGGCTTTGTATGTCTTGAACGGAAGAATTTCAATACCCAGTCCCTACTCCCATGCTTACTTTAGGTTTTTAGGACATGGATTAAAGTTATAGCATTTGAGCAAAGGGATGACATTGTCCAAAAAATATGCTCATTACCTGACTTATGAAACTAACCTCTGTGCACATCACCTTTATAATAATAATTTAAAGCCTTGGTCCTGCAAAGCATTTGGTCTCAGTGTTCCAAATCTGTGTTCTATACCAACCCAAAGTGGTGAGTGGGCTGCTTTTGCACATTAGCATTAATAGAGACATGGAAAGCATTATGTTAAATTATCGTAGTAACTGGAAATACATACTTTTGAGAAAGCTTAAAGATTTGGGTGTGAGTCACTTGAGAAAGAACTGTTTCAGAGACCACAGAATGCCCTGGTCTTTGTGTTCAGGGGATAGTTTGTGGCTGAGAATGCTTCAATGTGGTGCTCTTGCAAGCCAGAATAACCTAAAGGAACAACAGGGGGCTGGGAATGTGGCTTAGTGGTAGAGTGCTTGCCTAGCATGCATGAAGCCCTAGGTTCAATTCCGCAGCACCACATAGATAGAAAAAGCTGGAAGTGGCTTGCCTTGAGCACAGAGAGGCTCGAGGACAGTGCCCAGGACCTGAGTTTAAGCCCCAGGACTGGCAAAAATAAAGGAACAATAAACAGAAGTGATGGTTTGTACCCGGCCAAATGTTTCGGTGAAGCTGGGAGAGGGAGGATGAGGGAGGAGGCTGTGGGGGCGTTAGCCTCACTGAGGAGGTGTTCAGGCATCAGTGGTTATCAGTGCCAGGCCTGTCTGCTCCGTTCTCACTAACAGTTTGAACATTTAAGATTTTGCTTTGTATCTTTTTGAAACCTAGATGAAGATCCAGTTTCTGACATGAGATTCACTGAGTGATCATTTCATTGAGATCAACTTGAATAACCAGGTATTCAGTGCAAGAGGAATACACCATGGCTGAGGTATGTGTCATGTGACTCCTTTTAACTAATAATCCTGTCAGGCAAATGATGCTCAGAGAAGTTAAGGAACTATTTAAGGCCATTGGTTAGCAGCTCTGATCAAGACCTCTGTCCCGATATGTGCCAACCATTTGGTTCTCTGTGTGTTTTCTAATCTTCACAATAACCCTGTGAGCTTAGTACTTTTATGATCCTCATTTTTTTTTTTTTTTTTTTTTTTTGGGTCCGGTCGTGGGGCCTGAACTCTAGGCCTGAGTGCTGTCCCTCAGCTCTTCAGCTCAAGGCTAGTGCTCTACCACTTGAGCCACAGCGCCACTTCCGGCTTTTTTCTTTTTGCTTATGTGGTGCTGAGGAATCGAACCCAGGGCCTCAGGCATGCAAGGCAAGCGCTCTACCACTGAGCCAACTTCCTAGCCCTGATCCTCATTTTTGATAAGGATACCAAGTGTCTAGCTTACTGTATAGTAGAATGTCACACAACTATGCCCGAATGCCTGGACAGCTCTGTTCCGGTCTCAGCTCTACTCTTCTAGCTGCCATTCTCAATTTTCATGGGGTTAGGGCTTTTTGGTTTTGGTTTTGGTTTTTTGGAGGCTGTGTGTGGGTGTGTGTGGGTGTGTGTATGCACGCATGCCAGTCCTGGGGCTTGAACTCAAAGCCTGACCCCTGTCCTTGAGCTTTTAAAACTAAAGGTTAATGCTCTAACACTTGAGCCATACCTCCAGATGTGCCTTATTTGTTAGTTAATTGGGCCTAAGAGTCTCACAGACTTTCCTAACCAGGCTGGCTTTGAATCTTCATCCTCAAATTTCAGCCTTCTGAGTAGCTAGGATTACAGTTGTAAGCTATTGTCTCCTGGCTCTTCTCATTCTTGTTTGTGTTGTTGTTATTGGCCATAGGACTTGAACTCTGGGCCTGGTTGTTGTCCCTGAGCTCTTCAGCTCAAGGTGAGCACTATACCACTTGAGCCACAGCACCACTTCTGGTTTTCTGGTGGTTCACTGGGGATAAGTAGGAACTTTGCTGCCTGGGCTAGCTTTGTCATGATCCTTAGCTTTCAGCCTCCTGAGTAGCTAGGATGACAGGCCTGAGCCACTGGTGCCTGGCCCAAAGAAAAATTTTGATAACCAAAAAAAATTTCCCTCTAGAATTAGCAGAGTTAGATAATAAAAGTAATGGATGGTAAAGTAGCCGAATTAGAAACAGTTGTATGTACCAGTCAGAATCCTTGATTGCTAGTTCGTGGTCTACTTAGGAATAGCGACTGCCTAACCACCTGGCACTCCCTTATCGTTGGAGTCCACCGAGTTGGAAGATGACCTGTAACTGTGGGTTAGACGCGGTACTCAGAATTTTCAGTAGCATCTTCCAAAAGAGAATAATCATTTTAGTGTCACATACTTTTCACATGTTCTAGATGAAATAGTCTCTCATTCTGCGTACGTGTAAAACCCCAGGCTGTTTTCTTGTGGAACAGAGAACATAAGAGTGTTAGTACTAGCCATCTGGGTAGTCCTATACCTTTGGCACAGGCATGGAATAATCTACACTGCAGAGCAGTGGACTCCTTGAGCTATAATTCCCTATAACTTCAGTGATACATTTCTCTTTTTCTTTAGGGCACTCAAATTTATTTATTACCAGTCTCTACTTCTGATTCTTCAAAAGAAGTAAACAGCACATCGTCAGCATCTCCTAATACCCAGGATTCCAGTCAGCTGTCACAGAGACTCCTGATAGAAAAACAGGTAAACTTGAAATATTGCAAGTGGGAAATCCAAACCCCAGTACTGCAAAAAAAAAAAAATTACTTTTGACAGTTTTAGCCGTCTTGTAAGGGAAGAAGAGCCTTTTCTTTAGTTAAACAGTGCATCTGTTCTCATTTTTATAAGATATCCATAAAAACCTATATTTATAAAACCCTTTGGAGGAAATGGTTCTGTTATTGAGAACATAGGAAATGTTATGTGAAGGTTTCTCTTCATGTCCTTTTTCTCTCCATGTACTTGTAGCAGGAAGAAGCAGAATGGGAAAACATAAACACGCTGTTGATGACATATGGCCTAAAACCTTTGTGTCTTGTCAAGAGGACGGACCTTAAAAGTAAGGAATCCTCTGCTTGCCCCATAAGTTCGACAGCTACTTTTCCTTTGAGACAATAGTCCGTCCTTACAGTATTTTGCACCATGTGCATCGTGTGTTTAAAATGCAGATCTCATTGTTTTTGATAAGCAGTCTTCACAGAGGATGAGGCAGAATTTGAAGGTGCTGATGGAGGAGACATCACGGCAGCAGAAGATGATCCGAGAGCTCATAGACTGCAACCAGCAGCTGAAGTGAGAGCGGGACAGGCTCCTTCCATTGCTCATAACCTAGGAATGCTGGCCTGGGGTGTAGCTCACATGTAGTGTGGGTCTCTCGCTCTGTCTCTCTCTTTTTTTTTTTTTTTTGGTGCCAGTCCTGGACTTGAACTCAGGGCCTGGATATTGTTGATTTGAACTTCTTTTTGATCAAGGCTAATGCTCTACCACTTGAGCCACAACGCCACTTCTGACTTTTTCTGCTTATGTGGTGCTGAGGAATTGAACCCAAGGCCTCATGCATGCAAGGCAAGCACTCTACCACTGAGCCACCTTCCCAGCCCCATGCAGCATTTTTTTTTTTTTTTTGTAATTAGAGATAAGAGTAACAGACTTTCCTACCTAGGCTAACTTTGAACCACAGTCCTCAGATTTGAGCCTCCTGAGTAGCTATGATTACAGGCATGAGGTACCAGTGCCCAGCTTAGAGTGTTTCTTTTTATCTCAAGACTCTGGGTTTTATCCTCAGTACTAAAACAGAAGAAGTAAGGCTAGCATGGTGATACATATCACAGCTACCAGGGGAGATGGAGGCAGGAGGATTGGGAGTTTGAGGCTAGATTGGCAGTTAGTAAAACTCTGGGTCAAAAACAAAACAGCCAGGCACAGGTGGCTCATGCTTATAATCCTAGCTACTCAGGAGGCTGAGATCTGAGGATCATGGTTTAAAGCCAGCCCAGGTAGGAAAGTCCAAGAGACTGATCTCCAGTTAACCACCAGAAAACCATAAGTGGCACTGTGGCTCAAGTGGTATAATGCTTATTTTGAGCTGAATAATTCAGGGACAGCACCCAGGCCCAGAGTTCAAGCCCCACAACTAACCAAAAAAAAAGCAAACAAAAGGGCTGGGGGGTGTGGTTCAAGAGATGGAGCACTTGCTGAACAATCCAAGGCCCTGTTTCAGTCCCCAGGTCGGGGAGGCAGAAGAGGGGGGAGGGAGAGAAGACATAAAAGTAGAAATACTAAAACTGCAACAGACTGTCTAGAACATCAGTAAGTTGTTCAGTGGGTATGGGTATGTTGGGGAATGGCTTGACTTTAATACTAAGAGATGGATTTGTGTCTTGAATTAGAAATGACCTTCAGCTAGAACAAAACCGAGCAGACCATCAGGAGCAACGGGCTAATGACTTAGAAGAAGTGATGGAGGGTGTGAAATCCAAAATTGGTGAATTGGAAGATGAATCGCTTAATAGGGTTTGCCAGCAACAGAGTAAAATCAAAGAGCTTCAGAAGGAACAGAGAGCTTTACAGGTACTGTGGCTTACACAAGTCCTTCGTTTACTGCTCCTATCTGATGTTACTAAAGTGCCGCTTGTGGTCTGGGTGACTCAGGATGCTTTCACGTGTGTGTCTGTGGCAAAGAACTGCAGTCAAGGGAACTCCACAGATGTCTGAGGTTCGTTGAAGATGCCCGCGGAGAGGCGATTCACATTGGCATAGGTTTTTAATGCCATCACTGCCCAGTCTTCGTTCACTTGGTGTGGGTTTCTCCTTGGTTGACCTGTGCCACTGCTACCTTTTTGAGGCTCTTTGTTTGGCTCCCAGAACCTTTGTTTCTCTCTCACCTCACTGGTCCTTCTTGATGTCTGGTTCTGGTTCTTCTCTTCCCCCTCACCTCTTAGTGTTGGGATGCCCCAGCGCTTTAGTCCGTGGAGTTTTGGTGTGTACTCCAGTCTAATTCATGGTTCTAGATTTACATCTGTAGCTCAAGCCTCCCTTCCCACTAATAACAGACTCAGCCAGCTGCCTGCTTGTATTTCACTTGGAAGTCTAAAAGGCAGCCATAACTATTATGCACAAAAACTGAGTTCTCTGGTACTATCTCAACATTAAATACTTCCCAATGTCACAGTCCCTTCATTAAACTTTGGGTGTTCATGATGGAGCCTCTTGGCACAGTCTATCCACATTAAAAGAAATAGAAAAATGAAGGACAGGAGAGTGAGGAGGGCTGTAGGAGGGACACTAGATTTGGAGTGGACTGAAGCAGACTTTGGGTGTTTACTATGATGAAAGGAAATGAGCATTTTGTGGCGATAACCAATTAGGGAAGGTGAAAGTGTCTCTGTCACATTATAGTTCACTATTTAGGCACATTCTTTGATTTTTTAGTATATGATCATTTGCACTTTTTAGATGGGTTAGTGATGCATGTTTTGCAAGTTGGACCAAGGAAACATTGGTTTTCTATGTCAGAGAGGTCAAGGAACCGAAGTGTTAGAGTTATGCAGAAAGACTGTGGGAGAAAGATTTCATGTGGAGATAAGTAATTATTCAATTAATACCCAACCTTTTTCCATTTAGCCTGTCAGGTAAGAGCTATCTATGTGGTTTGCCTGGCCTCTATATAAGGAAAGGATTGGTCCTGGCTAGGCACTGCTGGAAGGTGGTAGAGTTTTAGGAGGTGAGGCTTAGTGGTGGGAGGTCCTTAAACCATTTAGGGTCATAGTCTTGTAGAAGGTTATAGGACCCCAATTGTGGCTCATGATGTAAAGAAGTTTGCTCTGCCATGTGCTCTTGCCATGATGTGTGGGCCTTGCTAAAGGCCCAAGAAATGGGGCCACTCGTTCTTCCTCTGGAGCACCCGAAACTCTTAAGGCATATGTATACATGTATATATATAATATTATATATTATGTACATATTATATATATATATATATGTATTTTTTTTTTTTTGCCAGACTTGGGGCTTGAACTCAAAGCCTGGCCTCTGTCCCTGAGCTGCTTTTGCTCAAGATGAGCATTCTACCACTTGAGCCACTGAGCCACATCAGGCTTTTTATGTTGATGTGGTGCTGAGGAATCAAACCCAGGGTTTCATGTATGCTAGGCAAGCAGTCTACCACTAAGCCACATTCCCAGCCCCTAAACTTTTTTTTGTGCCAGTCCTAGGGCTTAAAGTTAGGACCTAGACTTTGTCCCTGAGCTTCTGCCCAAGGCTATCACTCTACCACTTGAGCCACAGCACTACTTCCAGCATTTTCTGAGTAGTTTATTGATAACAGTCTCATGGACTTCATTGTCCCGGCTGGCTTCAAACCACAATCCTCAGATCTCAGCCTCCTGAGTAGCTACAAGTACAGGTGTGAACCACCAGCACTGGCAATAAGATTAATTTTTAAAGAAGTCAGACTTTTCAAAAGTGGCTGTATCAATCAATTTACATTCCCACTAAGGTATAGATGAAAATTTCTTTATGCTGGTAGTGGGCTTGAGCCGAGGATCTATATTTTTTGTAAGTAAAGGTAATTTGACTTCTTCTTTTCCTATTTGTATCTCACTTATTTCTCTTGCCTTATTATTCTAGCTAAGAACTCAGTCACTATATTTACAGTTTTTCCTCATTCAGTATAATATTAGTAGTAGGTTTATTGTCGCTTTTATTATGTTGAAATAAGATCCTTTTATCCCTAACTTCTTGAGGGTTTTTTGTTTTTTGGTCTGGTCGTGGGGCCTGAACTCTGGGCCTGGGCGCTGTCCCTCAATTCTTCAGCTCAAGGCTAGCGCGTTACCACTTGAGCCATAGCACCACTTCTGGCTTTTTTTTTTTTTTTTCTGCTATGTGGTGCTGAGGAATGGAACCCAGGGCCTCATGCTCATGCATGCAAGGCAAGTGCTCTACCATTGAGACACTTTCCCAGCCCCTTCTTCAGGGTTTTTTATGGAAGGATGCTGAATTTTGTCAGATGCTTTTTCTATATCTACTGAGATGATCGTGCAGTTTTTGTCCTTGCTTCTCATATATGCTGTGTTACTGATGTGCATATTGAACCATCCTTGCATCCATCCATAGAATGAAACAAGTTAATCATATGTTTGACATTTGCATGTGTGTATACTAAGGCTTGAACTCAGGGCCTCTCTTGTCTTTTTTATTATGGCTGGTGCTTTGCCAGTTGAGCCATACTTCCAGTCCCAACATTTTGCTGGCTAATTAGAGATAAGGGTCTTGGAGGGTTCTGAACCATAATCTCAGATCTCAGCCAGGCATGTGCTACTGGTGTCCTGTGTATGTGAGCTTTTTCTTTTTTTTCCTTTTCTTTTTTGATTGGTTGTAGGCCTTGAACTCAGGGCCTGGCTCCGTCCCTGAGCTCTTTGTGCTCAAGGCTAGTGCTCTACCACTTTGAGTCACAGCGCCACTTCTGGTTTTTGAATAGTTAATTGGAGATGAGAGTCTCATGGATTTTTTTTCCCCGGGCTGGCTTCAAACTGCGATCCTCATTATAAAATCTTGAATATGTGCAAGTATACATTATGATTTCCTTTTGAAGTTTTCATATTGACATAGTACTATTCTTGCACCCATTTAAAAGCATCAGGCCAGGCCTGATTTATTTATAAATAAAAGAGCATGAGTGCTGACATTCCTGAGTGGCCTGTGAAGAAGCCTCTGTGTGGAACTATTGGAAAAGCACACCCTGGGTGTGCATTTCATAACCATCTTCACAAAAATCTCTTGCAGATGAAATGCCAACATTACAAGAAGAAACGAGTGGAACAGCAAGAGATTATTACTTCTTTGCAAAAGGAGATGTGCAGACTAAGGAAAGAGGAGGAGGAGCGTGTTATCACGCAGAACAGAGTGTTTTCCTACCTCTGCCGCAGAGTCCCCCACAGCATCCTGGACAGACAGTAATGCTCGCTACCCACCCCGCTGACCCTGCTAGGCCCCGTTCTTACTGTGAATCTATGTTGGAAGTGGTCTTTCCCGTAATAACTGGAGGAATTCTCCTGCTCCTTGTGATTTTCTTCCGTAAAGCCTGTATTTTTTTTTCTTTTGACACATCACTCTGGAGGAATGGAGTTAGACATTTGTTCAAAATAACAATAACTTGAAAATTAACAAAATTGAACTCCCGATTAATTTTAAAACTTTAATTTTTTTTTATTTTAACTGGTCTGCACATATTAATGGGATACTGTTTCAGTACATGCATAGATTAACGCTCTACCACTTGAGCCACAGCTCCACTTCTGGCTTTTTAATTGGTGTTTAAGTGGAGACAGAGTCTAATGGATTTTCCTTTCCAAGCTGGCTTTGAATCACAGTCCTCAGATCGCAGCCTCCTGAATAGCTAGAATCATAGGTATGAGCCATGGGTGCCTGAATTGCATTTCTTTATGGTGAAACTTTCAAAGTCCTTTTACCTTTTGAAATGTGTAGTAATTTACTACTGATAATCTCCCTGGGCAACAGCATGGCATAGCTTCTTACTCCTATATAATTGTCCCTTAGAAGCCACTGGTCAACTTTCCCCCCTTCTCTTCCCCTGGCATTCTGTCCTCCACTTCTGTGAGATCAACTCCTTTAGGTTCCACATTTGTGATCATAAACTTGTCTTTCTGGGATTAGCTTATTGGACTTAACATCACCTTTAGTTCCATTCCGACAGGGTTTTATCCTTCTTTAGGGATGAATAGTATTTCAGTGAGTGTGTATACCACTTCTGTATTATCTGTTCATCAAATACAAGAAGGAGTTAGCTCTGCCAGGCCCTCCTTCAATTTTCTCTAAGAGCAATGTTATGACCACTAACATGCCTTGTTCTATAATATGTAAAAAGATTTGAGAATCAACAGCAGTGTTGCTTGCCCTGAGCCTCCTGGATAAAATCTATTTCTTTGTTCCTCTGTTTAATGTTAGTGATGCATTCTTATATGGAAGCAGGTAAAACCTGGTATTCTAAACATATTCAAGTACTACTTTCCTCTCTGTTCATATCACCAATTTAATAGACAGGTTTATGTGTTTCAGTTTATTTTCAATTTTCAAAAATTGCTTTCTAATAGAGCACTAGCCTTAAAGAGCTGAGGGACAGCACCCAGGCCCAGAATTCAGGCCACACAACCGGCAAAAAAAAAAAAAATTGCTTTTTTTTTTTTTTTGTCGGTCCTGGGGCTTGAACTCTGGGCCTGGGCGCTGTCCCTGCGCTCTTCAGCTCAAGGCGAGCGTTCTACCTCTTTCTACCTCTTGAGCCACAGCACCACTTCCTATTTTTTATTTACTTTGAAGTACATAAAGCATTTACATAATTCTAGAGTCAAAACCACAATGAATTTTTTCCAAGAAGTTGTATATTTATTCTTCCCCTCTAAGCTTACTCTTCCTTCCCTTATAGGTACTTGATTTTAAAGGTTTATTGTGAATTTTAGTAATGTAAACAATACAGATACTATATTCACATCCTCTTTCTTGTCTAAAAGCCCTAACTCAGTGCTACAAGCTTCATTTTAACCAGTCTCACTTTTTCATAGTAGGATCGAGAATCTACTGACGAGGTGACAATAAGTGAGTCAGATGTATAAGAAGCTAAAAGTATAAATTGTTTGGATGACTGTTAAAATATGTATGTGCAATCTTATCCTTTTGAAGGAAAAAACAATTTCACGATAAATGTAGTATAATGGGCAGTAGGTAGGTGTGAGAGATTGGAACGATAAATGTATAATGGGCAGTAGGTGTGAGAGATTGAAGAGGGAGCACGGGAAGGGGTGGGTGAGAGGAGGAATTGTGATTTAACATTATTAGCAATGCAAGTGGTGTCAGAGCAGAGCACACACCAATGAGAAAAGCCTTGAGGTATGCGGAGGTGGGAGGAGCGTGCCCATGGTGAGACTGGAGGCGGAGGGATGGGTCCTGGGATGGCTTGCCGGGGAACTCGGGAATAGTGAGGGGGCCCAGTAGGTGGCTTTGTAACTAGACTCTCAGGAACTGTCCATTTTAATTGCAGAGAAAAGGCTTTCCAATTAGAGGAATACCCAAGCAGGAAGGGTTAATGTGTTTGGGAATGGTAGGTAATCCAAGAGGGCTGAAGTACTGGGTGTGAGAGGTATGCCCCCCATTGTGTAGTGTCTCCCCCCACGCTTCCCCCAATTGGGTGGTGCTGTCAGGTCCCTGATGCCTTCACAGCCACCACTACCCGCCATGTGCTTCCTCAGCTGCAGTATTGTCTCCCCAGTTCAGAACCCTTAGGGATCAAGTGCCTGTGGCTCACGCCTGTCATCCTAGCTACTCAGGAGCCTGAGATCTGAGGATTGTAGTTCAAATCCAGCGCTGGCAGAAAAGTCTATGAGACTTATCTCCAATTAACCACCAAAATCTGGAAGTGGAGCTGTGGCTCAGGTGGTAGAGTGCTAGCCTTGAGCAAAAATGCTAAGCGACAGCACCTGGGCCTGGAGTTCAAGTCCAGGACTGAAAAGAAAAACAAACCCAAAACACAAACAAAAAATAAATTTTTTAAGAGGCCAAGTGCCAGTTGGGTCTCATTTGTACTCCTAGCTACTCAGGAGGCTGAGACCTGGAGGATCACAGTATAAGGCCAGCCTCTGTTGAAAACTGAAAGACTGGAATTAACCAGCAAAAAGCCAGACTAGAGGTGTGGCTCAAGTGATAGAGCATAGTAATACCAAAAAAAAAAAGAGTCCCTAGAGTTCTTTCCCAATACACACGTTTGAATTCATACAAATTTTCTTTTTAGATAAATGTTAAAGCATACCACTATAATAAAGCATACCAGCTATAATTAGGTGATAATATTCTGCTTAAGAAAAAATACATTTGAGCTGGGTGTGGTGGTTCAAGCCTGTATTCCTAGCTACTCAGGAGGCTGAGGTCTGAGTATTGTAGTTCAAAGCCAGCCTGGGCAGGAAAGGCCGGGAGACTCTTATCTCTAATAAACCACTCAGAAAACTGGAAGTGGCTATGGCTCAAGTGGTAGAGCTCTTGCCTTGAGCTGAAGAGCTGAGGGACAGTGCCTAGGCGCCCAGAGCTCAAGCCCCATGACTGACAAAAAAAAAAGAAAATAATTCAATATGTCTTCTGTTTTCTAGGTTGCTTTGTCTAATTGATTACTATGAATCTAAACTTAGAAAAATCAATTCACAAAGGTATGACTAATCCTGGATTAGAATTTGTAATGAAAATGAAAGTTTTAATTTTTGAAACTTGAAGTACATTATGGAAATCTTTGTACTATTATCACAGTTAAAGTTCTTTTATAAAAATCTAGAAGATTATTTTACAAAGGTTAAAATGTATATATATATATTAAAAATATGTATATTTCATAATCACACAAGTATTGGTGAGAACAGAAATATTTTGTTTTATTGACAAGCTGTTCCTCAAGTTACTAGCACTACCCAGTCACTAAAATGCTGGCAAACAGGGCACCAGTGGCTCACACCTGTAATTTTAACTACTCAAGAGACAGATCTGAGGAGAGCAGTTCAAAGCCAGCCAGGGCAGAAAAGTCCAAAAGACTTATCTCCAATTAGCCAGCAAAAAGAAACTGGCCTAAAGGCATGGTTCAAGTGGTAGAGTGCCAGCTATGAGAGAAAAAGCCAAACAAGAGCATGAGCCCCAGTGCACACACACTGGGCACAGTGCCACATGAGTATAAGCTGGGGCGGCCCCACTATCAGAGAATGTTTTTTTTAATAATATAAATGCTTGTGTTTGGTTTGTTAAACAATTCCCCCCCCCCCCCCCCCATTAGGCCTTATAGCCTTCTAGGCAGTGAGGTGAGGTAGAGGTCCTCATCTTCCAAGAAGAGAGATGGTGAACAAGTGCATTATAATACTGGGCAGTAGTGCCATTCTGTGAGAACCAGTGATGTACTTTAGTTGGGTTCATTTTTGATTAGGATTTAGGATTTTTATTTTTTAGAAAATAGACATTTCCACGTAAAGTTCATAGCACATGTCTTTTCACAGGCAGTACAAAGAAGAGGAGAGTCAGTCAGAAGAAGACAGAGACTTCAGAGATACGGATTCCTCACCAAGCTATAAAGGCCTTCTCATGGTAGGAGGGCTGTCTAACCAGTGAGCACTGCTGTAGAGTCAAGTCACCCAGGGAGATTCACTTTGTTTTCTGTGATGTTGCAGTCATTACAGAATCAACTCAAAGAATCAAGATGCAGGATTGATACCCTTTTAGGTGAGAAACTGGACCTCCAAAAAGATTTGGAAAACAGGTGAGAGAAACTTCAGTCACCTTTCCTTATCCTTTGAAAAGTAAACACGTGCTGGAATTTGGAATGTGGAATGAGCCATTCCAGACCTTTACTCTCAAACTCGCCCAAGCACTGGGCACTCTTACCCGCGTATTACTCAGCTGTCTGTCATGGCAAGTGGCTGCAGCGGTTGGAAGCCCAGTAGTGGGCCGGAGATGGAGACAATGGCTAGGAGCCAGCATTGACAAATGGAAGACTGGGGAGAAGGTTGGAATAGACTTAGCAGTTTTCACCTTTATTGAACTCTCATTGATGTCCAATACATAGTGTATATTTGAGGTGCACAGTGTGAAAGTGTGGACAGTCAGTGGGGATAATCACCCTGAGAGTTTCTCTCACCCCTATCTTAATCTCTTCTTTCTCTTCCTCATGCGTTGGCCTCAGCCTGTGGTCTGCTTTCTATCATTATACATTAGCTTGTGATTTCCTGAAATTTATCAAAGCAGAGCCATGTTTTTTTGTTTGTTTTGTCCATCGTTGGGGCCTGAACTCGGCCTGGGTGCCATCCCTTAGCTCTTCAGCTCGAGGCTAGCCACTTCTGGCTTTTTCTGTTTATGTGGTGCTGAGGAATCGAATCCAGGGCCCCATGCATGTGAGGCAAGCACTTCCCAGCACCATGCAACAGGTTTTGTTGTTGTTGTTTTTTGGTAGGTTTTCCTTTTTTTTTTTTTTTTGTCGGTCATGAGGCTTGAACTCTGGGCCTGAGCACTGTCCCTCAGCTCTTCAGCTCAAGGTTGGTACTCTACCACTTGAGCCTACAGCGCCACTTCGGGTTTTTTGGTGGGTTATTGGAGATAAGCGTTTCATGGACTTTCTTGCCTGGGCTGGCTTTGAACTGTGATCCTCAGATCTCAGCCTCCTGAGTAGCTAGGATTACAGGCGTGAGCCACCAGTGCCTGGCTCTAGGTTTTCCTTTTTTTTTTTGGGTCCGGTCATGGGGCCTGAACTCTGGACCTGGACCTGGGCGCTGTCCCTCAGCTCTTCAGCTCAAGGCTAGCGCTCTACCACTTGACCCACAGCGCCACTTCCGGCTCTTTTCTTTTTGCTTATGTGGTGCTGAGGAATCGAACCCAGGGCCTCTGACATGCAAGGCATGCGCTCTACCACTGAGCCACCTTCCCAGCCCCATAGGTTTTCCTTTTTTAACTTAGCATTTTTTAATTATGAAATTTAACTTGACAAATTATAGTTGTATTTGCATATCTCATACATTTTACATATTTGAATACAACTACATATATTCTTATATATGTGTATTGGTAAAGTTATGTTTTGTGTGTGTGTGTGCATATATATGTATATATATATATGGGTATAAAATAATGTGATTTATGAATGTAACAAGCTAATTAGCAGACCAATGACCTCAAATACTGGTAATTTTTTATAGTGAAAGCATTTAAAATTTACTGTCTTAATGGTTTTTAAATGCCCACTGTGTTACTTACTGTCTCATACCAGTGGGTTTCTCCTCAAATTCAGGAGAAATCAGTGGAAATCTAGAACCAGCAGAAAGGTACCCAAGCAAAGCAATGCAAGGCAGCGCCACCTGCTGGCTATGAGCCATTAGACACAAAGTTGGCCCCCTGTCGAAGGCTAAACATTGTTGTGGTCATTGATAAGAAGTCTGCAGAGCTGCGGTAGGACAGTGTGTGTTTGTTGGTGTGAATACATAGGAAGGACTAAGAAGGTGCTTGGGAATAAAAGGCAAGGTAGAAGAGAGTGCATACTATCCCCCTGTGGCACAGGAGCCAGGGGATGACATAACGGAAGGACACGTGGCGTTTAGGTAGAGGGAGGTCTTAGTCTTCAAAGATTTGATCCCTAATATTCCAGCTTGATAAAGCTGGGTGGTAGATACACCAGGATTTGATATAGTATTCTCTGTGATTCAATCTGTATATTTGATAAAAAGTTCTAGATTGGCCGGGCTCCGGTGGCTCACGCCTGTAATCCTAGCAACTCAGTAGGCTGAAATCTGAGGATCATGGTTCAAAGCCAGCCAGGGCAGGAAAGCCTGTGAGACTTATCTCCAATGATCCTCCAGAAAACCAGAAGTGGCACTGTGGCTCACGTGGTAGAGCACTCGCTTTGAGCTGAAGAGCTCAGGGATAGCGGCCCAGGCCGAGTTCAAGCCCACGACCAACAACAACAACAAAGTTCTAGATTAACAACAAAAGTGAAAGAAAAATTTTAAATAGGAATTGTACAAAAGAAAGATCCTAATGTCCATAAGTACTTCATCAGAAATACTTTAAGAATTTCAGTATGCTTGCTTATGACAATAAACAATACAGCACTGTTTTGTTTATTGAATCCATTTGTCATTTTGTTTAGAAAGTTAAATTGTATTCCATATGATTTTTTTTTTCTACAGGCCAACACAGCATGAATTAAGACTTTATAAACAACAGGTGAAGAAATTGGAAAAGGCCCTTAAGAAAAGTGTTAAGTAATTATATTTTATCCAAGATATATCTGTTATCAGCATTTTGTTTGTTTCTTTGTTTATTGCGCCAGTCCTGGGGCTTAAACTTTGGGTCTGGGACACTCCTTGAACTTTTTTGCTCAAGGCTGATGGCTCTACTACTTGAGCCACAGCTCAAATGGTGGTTAACTGGAGGTAAGAGCCTCAGACTTTCCTGCTCCGGCTAGTTTTGAAACACGATCTTTAAATATCTTGCTGCCTGCCGATGTTTTTATAGTTTGGAAATTTCTCAGTACCTACATGTGGAAACAAGTTCACTTGCCCTTGCTATGTGGGGGGTAGTAGAAGAACTTGAGTAGAAATCAGATCCTTAATCAGATTTCTAATCATCCATTGGGCAAGTGAGCCAAACTGAAATTAGCAACTTTTGTTCACTCACTGCCATAACATAAGCAAGATACAGGACCACCAGGGCTGGCTCTTTGGGTTCTGTTTTGTTTTGTTTTTCCCCTGTGGCATGGCCCTAGGTGATTACCAGCCAGATGCTGGCAGGGTGACCATCTTTCTGCCTAAAATCTCTGCCCACAGGCTTCTGATTTTTGTTTTGTTTTTCAGGGGAAAGGGATGAATGGAGGGGGGGGCGGTAGGGGGCGGAGGGAGGGATAAGAGGGTGGGGAGTGTCTGAGAACAGACCTTCAATACAAACAAGAGATGGAAAAGAAAATTGAGGACACCCTGGCAGTACAGCCTAGAGGTTGCAGTACTGCCACACAGTGGTAACCTGGCAGCATTGCAGCCTGAGGGAGGGAAGAGTTTTGTGAGTGTGTAGGCCAGGGCCCTCTCACCCTATTTTAAGAAAATTTCACATCCTTTTCTGTGTCTGGGTTCCATTTTGGTCTTGGCATCCTCTGCCAGTGTTTCTTCTCTTTCCCTTTGAGTTTGGATTATCCCTGAGGCAGTAAGAGTCCAGCCTTTCCTGCCTGGCCTGCCTTTGAACCTCGATCCTCAGATCTTGGCCTCCTGAGTAGCTAGGACTACAGGCATGAGCCACTAGTGCCCAGCTAGATTTGTTTTTTGAGAGGTCCTCTTACTGTGTTGAGGCTGACCTTGAATTTGAGATCTTCCTGCCCCTGCCTCCCAAGTACTAGGATTATAGTTGTGTATTCCAGTGACTGGCTAGTAAAAGGTTAAATGGTAGTTAAATTCAGATTGTTTGCTTGTACTTTCTCTAAAAGCCATATTAGCTTCTCAGTGTGTTTTTGTATTCTACGTATATAATACGTTTATGGTGCTGCTTCCAGACAGTCTCTATAAATGACGGATGTAGATAGGGAGTCCAGTAGAGAAGCATTGTGAGCTCTGGAAGAAGGAGGCTGTCTGCTTAGTTCTGCTAGCTGGTTTGATGTGGGCATATACTTGCCAGAGGGCAGAGAACAGTCACTGAGGGCAGTGCAGAGCCCTAGGATAGTAACTGGGGTAGCCTGGCACCGGTGGCTCACGCCTGTAATCCTAGCTACGCAGGAGGCAGAGATCTGAGGATCACGGTTCAAAAGCCATCCCGGGCAGGAAAGTCTGTGAGACTCTTATCTCCAATAAACCACTAGAAAACTGGAAGTGGCGCTGTGGCTCAAGCAGCAGTAGAGTGCTCACCTTGAGCTGAAGAGCGCAGGGACAGCGCCCAAGCCCAGAGTTCAAGCCCCACAACCAACAAAAACAAAACAACAACAAAAAAGAATAGTAACTGGGGTGAAAAGTGAATCAGGAAGAAGCCTGGATGATGGATACCACTACTGATGTCTCAGGAGGCTGAGGCCAGCCTGGATACGGCCAGACCCTATGAGCAGTGCAGAGCCGCTAAACATGACAGGATAGAATTTTACTAGTCTGTTTTACAAATGTCAGGCCAGAACCCATTCACAAGTCATGGGGTCCATTTAGTGGGTTGGTGTCCCAGCTGAAAACTGATGACATTGAAATTGAAGAGGGGGTAATTATACAATATTTGGAGACTCTTTGGAGGTCTGAGGAGGAATGGAGGATATTTCCACAGCCTGTCTGCAGCGGTGTTTTGAGAAGGAGAGCGTTCAGTCTTAGGCTTCTGGTCTGTCCTTTCTTCTGAGTCCTTACAGCCATGGCACAGTGTTCTCTGGGTCTGTGTATTCTCCTGACAGCCCACAGGTCACTGTAGTCTCCTTTGCCACAAGTAGAAAACGAAAAGCGAGGCCAAGCTGTGTGGATATGGCTGCTCTGGTACCCAAGCCAGCGTCCTGCCACTGCAGAGTGTGGCTCTGGTATACTGGGCCTGGAGCCCGTGCCCCTCTTCTACTGTAGTTCTTCCCTGTGCTGCTGTTTTGGAGGGTGATTGGAGTTTTCTTCTTCAGTCTGGTCCCTTCTGTGTTCAGGGATGCCTTTTGATTTGAGGTCTGTTGGGAGGACAATATGACATGCATTTTCTGTGTGTGCATGCTCATTTAAAGCCTGCCTGTATAGAAGTCAAATGATACAAAACCCTTAGGAGGCCAGCTGGTTCAGTGAGTTGCCCATTTTAATCTAGTGTCTCAGAAAACATCTTGTATTATCTTGACTTTTCCCCCCTCTTCTTTAGATTACAAGAGCTTATCAGTCCTAAAAAGACTGAGGACACAGAAAGAAAAGATATGCCCAGCAAAGAAAACCATCAACCAGCCCTAGTTGACCAGAGATACTTTCAGGTATTGAATCGCTACTGTAAAGAATGGTGGTTGTGAGGACCTTGCTTTCTGTGGCAGTGTAATAAACCATCATGTGGTAAGGAACGCTTGTGCTGCCCGCCCTTGGCATCTGGGGGGAATCGGTTTCAGGACACCACACTCTGCAAAAGCCCACCTAAAAATGCCATAGTGTTTGTATATAATAGAGGTGATACTTACATGTCACCTGCCAGTCCTCGTAGGACCTAGTGTAAGGGAAGTGCACTGTAAGCAGCTGGAAGGTATCATTTGAGGAATAATGACTAGGAAATGCCTGTCCATTAATTTTAATTTTTTTTTTTTTGCCAGTCCTGGGCTTCAACTCTGGGCCTGGGCACTGTCCCTGAGCTCTTCAGCTCAAGGCTAGTACTCTACCACTTTGAGCCACAGCACCCCTTCAGGTTTTTGAGTGGCTTATTGGAGATAAGAGTCTCATGGACTTTCCTGCCTCGGCTGGCTTTGAACCGCAATCCTCAGATCTCAGCCTCCTGAGTAGCTAGGATTACAGACATGAGCCACCAGTACCTGGCTTACCTAGGGTTTTTAACTGTTGAATTAATTACTAATATCTGAACATTAAGAGATTTTACTTAAGTCTTCATCTCTGGCTCCCCTTATTTCCTGTGTGTTCTTGATCAGCAGTGAGTCTTTCCTGGGGATAGCTTGAGTGCTCAGCTAGTTATGCCCCAATCCCATCTTACTCCCCCATGCCTGGTTCCTCTGTGTATGGGAATTGTAGTCTCTTGATGACCACTTTTTTTTTTTTTTTTTTTTTGAGAGTCTGGTCGTGAGGCCTGAACTCTGGGCCTGGGCGCTGTCCCTCAGCTCTTCAGCTCAAGGGTAGCGCTCTACCACTTGAGCCACAGCGCCACTTCTGGCTTTTTTCTTTTTGCTTATGTGGTACTGAGGAATCGAACCCAGGGCCTCAGGCATGCAAGGCAAGCGCTCTACCACTGAGCCACCTTCCCAGCCCCCACTTTTTTTTTTTTTTTTGGTCTGTCATGGGACCTGAACTCTGGGCCTGGGCGCTGTCCCTCAGCAATTTAGCTCAAGGCTAGTGCTTTACGACTTGAGCACAGCTTCTGCTTATATAGTGCTGAAGAATGGAACCCAGGGCCTCCTGTGTGCATGGCAAGCACTCTACCACTGAGTCACCTTCCCATTTTTTTGTCTACTGGGTTGAAAGACACTTCCGTCATGTTTCTCTGTATGTATAAATGGATTCCTAGATTCTTCTATATTTGTTCTAAGCTCTGTTTTATTGTAGGTTTTGATACCCTTTGAAACCAGTATTTTCACATTTTTCTTGGCCATGTTCTTAAAACACATGAAATAATTTTTCAGGTTAAAAAAATCCTATTGAGATAAACCCTAGTTGTATTAACTTTATGAATTATGATCTGGATGCAGTAGGCTCATGCCTGTAATCCTGACTACTTGGGAGACTGAGATCTGGAGGGTTGAAGTTTGAGGTCAGCCCAAGCAAAATGTTTCTGAGAATATCTGCCCCCCTCCCCACCATTTCAACAGAAAAAAAATGGAGTACAGTGGTACATGCCTGCCATCCCAGCTATGCTAGGAGCTTAAACAGGAGGATCTCAGGCAAGCCAGCCCAGGCAGAAATCATGCTCCTATCTGAAGGAAAAAACGACAAAAGGTTTGTAGGTATGGCTCAAATGGTAGTTGTAGCTTGAAGAACAATTGCAGAGGAAAATGTGGTTGTACTTTTTAAACAAAACACTAGACATTGAAAAATGGGTAGGCCTTATGCTTTGCTTTTTAAACATGCTGTTTGGGGTTCTTTTGCTTGTCTTTCGATGATATACAATAGAGAACTCAACATATGTGGGCTGTGGTTACATTAGCATACACAGTAAGATACTTAAAATTCAGTTCGGGCATCAATATTAGAGAGTTACTAGCCATATGAGTATTATGAGGTTATAGACTTGGCCATGTGGTATTGTGCGTTTATAGACTTGGTTAGCCCTGCTTTTAGGAGAGATGTGCTATTTGAGGGTAAAGTCTCGGTGTTTCGAGGCACAGAGGCACACGTCTGTATCCCAGCACTTGGGAGATAGAGGCAGGAGAATCATGAGTTCAAGGCCAGCCTGGGTGACTCAGTGAGCTCAAGACCAGCCTGAAATGCATAGCAAGACTCTTGACTCAAAAAAAACAAAAATAAAAAAAAAATTTAAAAGAACCATGATGTCTGTATTTCTTTAAGTAGTTCAACTAAAAATATAGATAGAGCAAGCAAATATGGCCAGATGTGAGCTGCTGGATCTAGTATTGACCACAAGGAGCTCCTGACCATCAGTCTTGTGAATCAGCCTGATGGGGCTCACTGTGTCGGGATCCTGGGTTAAACATGATTCTGCCAAGATAAAGCCAGCCACATAGCTGCACACATTTTTCTGTTGGTTCTTTTCTCTGGAGAATGCTCAAACAGGGCCCCCTTTCTGTTCCTTTGAAAGCTTTCATAATAAGAAGTTGGAAGAAAGTACATTCAAATGCCGGGAAGACGTCCCAGCCTCATCCAGTCCCCAGCTTCTCCCTCCTGCTGTGTCCTCTGCCTTAGGCTCAGCCTGCTTCTCTGTGAGCACTGTACCTGGAGGGGTGCTCAGCTCCCTCTTGGCTCCCTCATTTCTCCAGGTCCTGCGCTGGCCTTGGCTTGCCCAGAATTGCAGGAAAGGGCTGGAGGTGGAGAGCAGACTGAGCCAGGGCATGATCTGGTTCGTGTAGGTGCATCCTAGCACTAGTGCCTGGGTGCTAACGGATGCAGATAGAGCCCACCCAGGAAGAGCGCGGTCTCCTCATTGTTCATTTACCGGAAGAGCATTAGTTATTTTCTCAATTGAAATAGTATTCCATGGCTGGGAAGGTGGCTCGGTGGTAGAGTGCTTGCCTACCATGCATGAAGCCCTGGGTTCGATTCCTTAGTACCACATACACAGAAAAAAGCCAGAAGTGGTGTTGTGGCTCAAGTGGTAGAGTGCTAGCCTTGAGCAAAACAAGCTCAGGGGAACAGTGCCCAGGCTCTGAGCTCAAGCCTCGGGACCGGGGGAAAAAAAAAAAAGTATTCCTAGATGAATTATATAATAGAACTGAAGTGAACAAGCACATTCTCCTAAGCTATACCAAAACAAAAAACCAACACCAGAGGCTGCATTCTCGGAGGACCTGTTTATTGTGAGCTTTTATGGGGGAGGAGAAAACAGCAGGCTTTTCTATAGGTCCTGTGTGGTCTCACACGTCTTCCCCAGTGCGCTTCTAACAGCCAGGCATCTCTCGCCAAGACCAGCACACCATGGTGTGTCTGGGACTTCTTTTTAGACTTCCTCCACCCCGACCCTCGCCTGAAGGTCTCTTAATACCCTACCTAGCTTAAGTGTGAGGGGGCAGAAATGAAAATAGAGACTAGCCAAGGATGTCCAGCTGGTTACGCTTCATTACATGGGTGGTTTTAAGGTAGATTTTAGTTTTTCTGGAAGGTTCTGGATCTTCTCAGAACTCTCTTCAGTATCTGATGATCCTGCTTACTGGCTGGCACTCTACCAACTGAGCTACTGATTTCTTGGATCTCATTGGAACTGTTGAACCATGTTAATAAGGTTTACCACAGCGTGGCAAGCGTCAGTCTCCTTGAAGGTCCTTTTCTGTTGGGACAGGGTGTCACTGTGTAGCGCAGGCTGGCTCTGAACTCACAATCCTGCCCCAGCCACTTGACTCCTGGGATTACAGGCATGTACCATCACACCCAGTTATTAATACCTGGGATAAGTGTTTTGACAGGAAACACTGTGTCTTTTAAAGGTGCTGTGTAGCATCAACTCCATTATTCACAACCCCAGAACTCCAGTAATAATTTACAAGCAGAGCAAAGGAGGAGCCCCAAATTTCAACAAAGACCTTGTGCAAGACTGTGGATTTGAACATCTCATTCCAATAATAGAAATGTGGGCAGATGAGCTGACATCCCTAAAGGTAAGACATGAATGCTCTTCACCTGTTTGCAAGTCTGTTGAACTCGGTGGCTTTTCTTAGCAGGACATGGCTGCTGCTGCTGCTGTTGATTTTGTCTGAAACTATAAGGGTGGTGGTGCACGGCTGTTAGCTGCTTGAGAGGCTGAAACAGGAGGATTGTAGTGTGAGGCTGGCCTCACACTATGACTTATTTAAAAACAAAACTAGAGCCAGAAAGGGGTGTGAGCTGCGGCTTAGTGGTGGACCGCTTGCTTGACAAGTTGGAGACGCTGAGTTCGATCACCACAAAACAAAAGTGGAACCTTGCTCCTTTTATATCTAGTGTGCATTAGTTGTGCACAGTAATAGGTTTATGACATTTTCCTATCTGTATGTAACTCTGATGATAGTTCTTAGCACTTTCTCTTGAACCCCTACACCCCATCCTCTTCTCCCAGTACTCCTATTTTATTTCCATGGCTTTTTTTTTTTTTTGTGGGGGGGGCTATTTTTAAAATCTAGACTCTACATATGAAAGTCAAGTGTGATACCTTTCAGAGTCTGGCTTACTCACTTAACATAATGTTCTCCAATTTATTGGGTTTTTTTTGGTGGTTGTTGGACTTGAACTCTGTGCCTGGGCGCTGTCCCTCAGCTCTTCAGCTCAAGACGAGTGCTCTACAACTTGAGCCACAGCGCCCCTTCCGGTTTTCTGAGTGGTTTATTGGAGATAGGAGTCTCACGGCCTTTCCTGCCCGGCTTGGCTTTGAACCTTGATCCTCAGATCTCAGCCTCCTGCGTGAGTGGCTAGGATGACAGGTGTGAGCCACCATGACCAGCTTCAATTTTCTTGAACAATGACGTAATTCAGTTTTTTTACAGGTGATTAACAGTTCACATACAGCTCATTTTCTTTACTCATCGGTGTGGCTTGGGCACCTAGCCTGGTTCTAGACCTGCACGTCGCAGGGAATGCTGTAGGCAGTGTCGCTAGTGTATAGAAGCTCATGGAGGCTTCATCCTTTGTTTTCTGAGCCCCTCCACACTGGTTTCCTTAGTGGCTGCACACTGTGTGTGACAGGCTGAGTCCTTTTTCCCTGTGTCCTGGGCTGCACTCATTTTTTAAATTGTGTTTATGATTGCATTCTGATGGGGTGAGTTACAATCTCATTTGGAATTTAGTCTGTATTCCTTTTTTTTTAAAGTTGGTTATGGGGCTTGAGCTCGGGCCTGGGCAATGTCTCCGAGCTTTTTTTCCTCAAGGTTAGTGCTCTACGACTTTGTACCACAGCACCACTTCTGGTTTGGGGGTGGTTCATTGGAGATAAGAGTCTCAGACACTTTCCTGCCTGGGCTGGCTTCCAACCATAATCCTCGGATCTCAGCCTCCTGAGTAGTTAGGATGACAGACGTGAGCCCCCAGCCCCCAGCAAGGATTATTTGGTCTTTGTGTGATTAATTTTTGAGCTCATTGAATAATCTGGATATTATTCCCCTGTCATATGAATATGAGCAAAGATTTTCTTCAATCTGTAGGCCATCTCTTAGTAATTGTCTCTTGCTTTGCAGAAGCTGTGGTGTATGTGGGTGTGTGTGTAAGTGTAAGAATGTCTTGGGGTTTGTACTCAGGGCCCTGGTGCAGTTCCTTGGCTTTTTTTTTTTTTTTTTTTTTATTGTAAAGCTACTATACAGAGGGTTACAGTTACATGAGTGAGGTTATGAGTACACTTCCTCTTGAACATTGTTACCCCCTCCATTGTTTTCCCCCTACCATCCCCTCCCTCCCTCCCTTCCCCAAGGTTCTTTTTTTTTTTTTTTGATTGTGATTAAATGATTACATAATTTCAAAGTCACAAGTTCATTCTAACTTCCCTGGAGCAAATTGTCTACCACAGTCTGTAATATATAACAGTGTTCACATGTTATATACCATATTTGTGATCAGCAGCATGAGGATATTTAGTAGTGGTTCAACCAGATGAGCGGGAGTTCTTTGTTTCTTAAGTCCTGTTAGTTTTGTCGTATCACCTAACCTTTTGGATTTAGCATCCACTTATGAGGGAGACCATGTACCGTTTGTCTCTTCGTTCTTGGCTTACCTCGCTCAACATGATTCCTTCTAGCTCCATCCATTTCCCTGCAAATGCCATTATTTTGTCATTTCTAATGGCTGCATAATATTCCATTGTGTATAGATACCACAATTTTTGGATCCATTCATCTGTGGTGGGGCACCTAGGTTGTTTCCATATCCTAGCTATTGCGAACAGTGCTGCAATAAACATCAGTTCCTTGGCTTTTTTGTGTAAGCTGCTGCTCTACCACTTGAGCCACAGCTCCACTGATCCTCTCCCCAAGAGGTGCTGGGCAGTGGTGGTGGGTTCTTGCTGACATTGTTTTCTGTGTAGGAGAGGCAGAGTCTGCTGTGTAATCTGAATACTCTGAGCATGCGCAGGGCAGCCAGTGCAGTGCCTGCTTGTGCTTCTGCCTTCCACGTGAGAGACTCTGCGTCCAGGCAGAGTCTAGGCATAAGTCTTGGAGGCCTCTCTAACGTAGCAACTGGTTAGATACGGCCATCTTCCCCAGATTATATTTTCCTTTTCTTTTTTTTTTAATCCGGTTATGGGGCTTGAACTCTGGGCCTGGGCATTGTCCCTTGGTTCTTCAGCTGAAGGCGAGCACTCTACCACTTGAGCCACAGCACCACATCTGGCCATTTCTGCTTGTGTGATGCTGAGGAATTGAACCCAGGGCTCATGCATGCAGGGCAAGCACTCTACCACTGAGCCACCTTTCCAGCCCAAGATTATATTTTTCTTAGGTTGGGTTTGACTGAAAAGAGGATTGTTTTGAAGGGTGAGTGCGTAAGCGATGGGCCATACACACATTATAGAATGTTACTACATTTATGCTTTATTTTATTGACGTGTACTTGTACACACGGGCTCAGTCTGGTATTCCAATACATTTTACAGTGCGCCACGTCAGATCAGAGCCATCGGCGTGCTCCACCTCCCACGTTGTAATTTGTTGAAGTTGGGAGCAGTCAGCATCTTCTCTAGGGACTAGCCATTCTGCACCACACAACACAGAGTTGTCAGCCTTCCTTATTCCGCCTGCTCCTTATTCCGCCTGCTCCCACCGTCTCCATCCCCCCACTCACCCCCTCTCCATCCCCCCTCCCCCTACCTGCTCCTCACCCTCTTCTGTCTCTTCTCCCCAGTGTTCCTCCAAGTCTCTGGAAGCCACCCCTCCATTCTCCCTGGAGGAAGGTCACTCTTTAGCTCTCATCTCTAAGTAAAAACGTGGTGTTTGTCTTTGGGAGTTTGGTTTATCTCACTTAACATAATGCCTTCTATTTCCATCTACATGACTCAAAATGACAGAATTCTAGTCTGCTATGGCTGAATAATACCTACTGTATACCCTCCACACACAGTTCCTTTGTCCATTCATTTGTCTTGGACACAAAGGTTGATTGCATATATTAGCAATTGCAAAAAATACCACAGTAAATGTGTGAGTGCTGGGATCACTTTGACATGTTAACTTTATTTGGTTTGGATGCATCTATCTTAATAGAAGAATGCTGGATCAAATAGGAGTTCTGTTCCTAGGTTTTTGCTGTACTACACTATATTCCCACCAACAGTATATAAACGATGGCTACTCTTAGTGGAATATTATTCAGCCATAAAAGGAATGGACTAAGTGGACATTGTGTTATGAATATGTGTGTACGTATGTGAGTACATACATACTTCTGTGTCATTTTTGCAGTGCTGAGAGTTGAACCCAGTCCCCTTATACTTCAGACAGTCTACGCTGAACTGTGCTTCTAGCCTAGCTTTGTAATACTCTGATTCTCCAGCATAAATTTGTAAAATTGGGTTTTTTTAAACCATAGATCACTTTATTTATAAGTGCACCTGTTGGTAGAAGGTTGTGTAACAAAGGTATCCTTATCGTACTGCGGAGAGACTTTTCCCCCCATATCTTTAATCTTTCAATTCTAGCGTTTATAATGTTTATTTGCATTGGGTAGGGTGGTCATGTCTGTAATCGAAGCTATTTGGAAGTCAGAGATCAGGAGTTTCTCAGTTTGAGGCCAATCCAGCCTCAACCTGGTGAGGCCAGGATGATCAAGAGCCGGAGGTCAGGCTGACAGAGTTTTAAGAACCTTCACCAAGGTGATGATGCTACATATCTATGTCTCCAGCCTGCATGGCTTGCTGGATTGTATTAGTGTTGCTGTTGAGACCAGCTGTCAAAATGGGTATTTATCATACCATGTAGTGTGTTTTGTCATAAAGGATTTGTACAAGACCCTGAAGATGCTGTCTGCAGAGCTGGTCCCGTGGCACAACTTCAGAAAGCAGAGCGAGAACGAAGGTGTCAGAGTTGAGGACCTGCTGCTCATGGTGGACACCATGCTGGAGGAAGTGGAGAATAAGGACAGACAGGTACTCGGGGCTCCTGTGGCTGCTCTTCTCCACGAGAGCCAAGGTCTGAGGGTGTGCACACATGTGCATGGCGTTTTCTGCCCCCTTTTGAACAGGACAGCAAAATGCCGAACCTTCAAATGCTGCACGCTATTGTCTCCCACTTCCAAAAACTGTTCGACGTGCCGTCCTTGAACGGAGTGTACCCGAGGATGAACGAAGTGTACACGAGGCTGGGGGAGATGAGCAACGCTGTGAGAAACCTCCAGGAGCTCTTAAATTTAGGTGAGGGCCTTTGTCCTGTCGGTCCCCATTTGAAAACTGCTCTCCTTGAGTCAACAAAGGGTAATTTATTTTATTTATTTTTATTTTTTTGGAAAAGTGTTGCTCAGTGTTCAGGGTGGTCTGGAGCTCACTGTGTAGCCCAGGCTGGCCTCAAACTCATAATCCTTCTATCTCAGCCTCTTGAGTGCTAAGGTTATAGACGTGGGCCACCCTACCAGAGGAAAAATTTTTGCTGGGTGCCAATGACTCAGACCTATAATTCTAGCTACTCAAGAGGCGGAGATTTGAGAATCAGAGTTTGAAGTCAGCCTGGGCAGGAAAGTCCATGAGACTTCTATCTCCAATTAACCAGCAAAAAGTCAGAAGTGGAGCTCTGGCTCAAGTGGTAGAATGCCAGCCTTGAGCAAAGCTCAGGGACAGCGCCCAGGCCCGAGTTCAAGCCCCAGTACTGGCACACGCAAAAGAAAATATGAGAGTTTTTCTCAGCTCATTGTTCCTTAGCTGTGACCCAAACCCACTCTATCCAGAGTTCTTGGGCTTATTCATCAGCCTTGTGGGATTTGGGGTTCGGAGTAAACTTAGGAGTCCTTCTGGACAAGGCCTTCTGAGGAGCAGGGGTGTGCACACACAGCATAGCTGCCTGCTCACCGCACAGTGCTCCTCCCCTACAGACAGCTCGTCTTCGCTGTGCGTGCTGGTGAGCACGGTGGGCAGGCTGTGCAGGCTGCTTCACGAGGACGTGAAGGAGCAGGTGAAGCGCGTGCTAGGACCTGAAGACCTCCAAAGGTACTGTGTGAAAAGAACCATCCAGGGCTGGGAAGGTGGCTCAGTGGTAGAGTGCTTTTCTTGCATGCATGAGGCCTTGGGTTCAATTCCTCAGTACCATATAAACAGACAAAGTGCTGTGGCTCCAGTGGTAGAGCGCTAGCCTTGAGCTGAAGAGCTGAGGGACAGCGCCCAGGCCCAGAGTTCAAGCCCCACGACTGACCAAAAAAAAAAAAAAAAGAATCATCCACCACTCTTGAAGTAGCATAGTTAAAGTCCTGCAAACTCCTCCTACGTTACTTTACCTTTCCTGTTCGGAATGGCACACTTTAAATAACGCCAGCTCTTATGGATGGACAAAGTGCCAGCATATTGAAGATGAAAATAGATGGTAAGCCAGGCACCGGTGGCTCACGCCTGTCATCCAGCTATTCAAGGAGGCTGAGATCTGAGGATCACGGCTCAAAGTTAGCCCGGGCAGGAAAGTCCGTGAGACTCTGATCTCCAGTGAACCACCACAAAAACCAGAAGTGGTGCTGTGGCTCAAGTGGTAGAGCGCTCGCCTTGAGCCAAAGAGCTGAGGGACAGCGCCCAGGCCCAGAGTTCAAGCCCCACGACCGACCGAAAGAAAAGAAAATAGATGGTAAACCCAAGTGCATGGGAGGTGGCCAGGGAGTCCACATACATCCTGCAGACTGTCTTGAGACCAGGAGCCATTACCATGGATATTTGCTAATTATTTGATAGGAGGCAAATGGGAAAGGTTTTGGGGGTGGGGGTTAGGCTTCACTAACATAAAAGTAGGTGTTTAAAGAAAAAAACTAGACTGGTCACCAGTGGCTCACGCCTGTCATCCTGGCTACTCAGGAGGCTGAGATTTAAGGATCACGGTTCAGAGCCAGCCAGGGCAGGAAAATCCGTGAGACTCTGATCTCCAGTGAACCACTCAGAAAACCGGAAGTGGCGCTGTGGCTCAAGTGGTAGAGCGCTTGCCTTGAGCTGAAGAGCTGAGGGACAGCGCCCCGGCCCAGAGGTCAAGACCCATGACTGGGAAAAAAAAGTCTTTAAGGCATTTTAAAAGACATTTAGACTGATCCCCAAAAGATAAGAGCAGATATTAAGGAGGTGAGCAGAGCTTGCAGCAGCGGCTCTAGGCTGTGTTTCGTGGCAGCGGTGTCTTGGCTGGGGCAGTGTCTGCAGCCACGTCACTGCAGGGGGGCACGGGGACCCTCAGTGGGAAACGTGGTGTAAACGGTGCATTTCTTAAACAGCATTATCAGCAAGTTGGAAGAACATGAGGAATTTTTCCCGGCATTTCAGGCTTTTATTAATGATCTACTACAAGTCTTAGGTAAGACTCCACTGGCTGTGGCCGACATCTTAGGATGTGCGCGCATGGGTTTCCGAGAGGGGCGCACCTTCACTACCCGGGCCACTGTTTTCACCCAGACTTGGTGTGAGAGTTCATAGGCAGGGGCTGCCTTGTCTGGAACTTTCCATTGGAATGGCATTACTCTGTCAGGCCCTGTCTCACTCTGTGGTGTAAGAAGTGGTGGGGGCCGGGCGCTGGTGGCTCACGCCTGTCAGCTACTCAGGAGGCTGAGATCTGAGGATCGCGGTTCAGAGCCAGCCCAGGCAGGAAAGTCCATGAGACTCTTCAGTAAACCACTAGAAAACCAGAAGTGGTGCTGTAGTTCAAGTGGTAGAGTGCTAGCTTTGAGCTGAAAAGTTGAGGGACAGCGCCCAGGCCCAGAGTTCAGGCCCCACGACCGACAAAAAAAAAAGTGGTAGGGGAAGCCCTGTGCCCTCGGCGGAGGGTCTCCTGCGGGAATCTGAGGCCAGAGAGAGGTGCTTTCTTATTTAAATGTAATTTCTTGTGGCTGTAAAATTAATGTGTTTTATTAAGATCAATTCTGTGTGTGTGCACGCATGCGTGTGTGCATGTTTATTGGTTCTAGGGATGGAACCCGAGGCCTGTGTGTAGGCAAGCACTCCACCATGAGCTGTAGCCCCAGCCCTGAGTCGCTCTGTACAGTGCTCATTGGAAGATGAGTGTGTACATAAACGAGTCAGCCCTCGACTTTTGAAAAGGAAAGGATGCCTGGTAGGCAGATAGTGGGAGGCTTAAGTTGACCTTGGTAGAAAATAAGAACACAGAGGAGCTCCGAGCGTTGTCTGTAGCCAGGGAACTGAGGGGCTCTGTGGTTGCTTTTGTGGGCTCCAGGTGCCAGGTGTCTGAGTCCTGTCCGCAGAGGGAAAGCAGGGTTCTGCTCCTTGCGATGATCATTGACTGGATCTGTGGTCAGTAGATTGCATGCTTCAATAGTGAACATTTTGCCAGGTGCTGGTGGCTCACGCCTGTCATCCTAGCTACCCAGGAGGCTGAGATCTGAGGATCTCAGTTCAAAGCCAGCCCGGGCAGGAAAGTCCTGTGAGACTCCCAATAAACCACTCAGAAAACCTGAAATGGCACTGTGGATTAAGAGGTAGAGTGCTAGCTTCGAGCTGAAAAGTTGAGGGACAGTGCCCAGGCCCAGAGTTCAAGCCCCACCACTGACAAACAAAAATACAACACAGTGACCATTTTGGTACTGTGAGGATAGCTACGACTTGGGACAGGTACAAGCTTCCTCATGGGCATCTTTACACAACAAGCCTGGAGGAGAGCATGTGCGTTAGAATGCCAAATTTCTTGGCTGATGAACTCTGCATTGTGATCAAGGTTAAAATTCTGGAGTTAAACATTAAATCTTGGGGGTTGGAGGCCTGGCTCCGTTGGAAGGGCACTAGCCAGTGAGCAAAAGAGGCAGGTACTGAGTTTTGAGTCCTGGTCACACACCTAAAAGAACTGAAATACTGGCCTGGCACTGGTGGTTTATGCATGTCATCCTAGCTACTCAGGAGGCTGAGTACTGAGGATCATGGTTCAAAGCCAGCCCAGACAGGAAAGTGTATGACACTCTTTATCTCCAGTTAACCACCTAAAAACTAGAAGTGGAGGTGTGACAGTACTCAGGCGCAGAGTTTAAGCCCCAGGACAGGCATTAAATAAGGAAAGGCAAAAAATAAACATTGGGAAAGTTCCTGTTTAACAAAACATACTATATATTATTGGCAACAACATTATTGACAACATATTATTGACATACTATATTATTGACAATATCTGGTTGTCAGCCAGGTATGGATCTAGGTTGTGTATTATATTTCTTTTTCGTGTCAGTGGTGTGGTTGGCTGAGAAAACCCCCAGGTCGGCGAGGTCTCTGTGAGGTTCTTTTAGAAGGCAGTTTCCTTACCTAGTGAGGAACAGAAGTCAGGGGACCAGTAATAACGAGTATCCCTTCCACGATCAAAGATAAGAACCAAACCCTCCCTTCTCCCGCATCGTGATATTTTGTGGTGAGTTCAGACAGGCGAGTTCTGACCGAAGCTAAAGGCAGCTCGGCAGCATGGCTCACGCGTTTTAGGCCAGTGGGGACCTCCCGTGGGGCGCGCCTCAGGGCACGGGCTTCACATGAGACAGGTGGCCGTGCCAAGCGGTTCCACCACCCACTGCTGAGGGTGCTAGGGGCTCATGCTGGACCAGACACCCCAAGGGGCTCTGAGCCAAGGCGGGCTCACACGCAGCCCCGGTCAGACAAGAGCCCCGCGTGCCCCACACCGTGCCGTCACCACCTTGTGTGCTGGAAGCTTTCACTTTCAAGTTACTGTTCTTTATTCTTGTTTTTCTGTTACAGAAATTGATGACTTGGATGCCATTGTACCTGCAATAAGGAAATTAAAAGTACTTTCATACTGAAAACAAACCAAATCATTTTTACTGTGTAAATTGTATTCCTAACCTTCTAAGCATTACAGAACTGATCTTATTTTAAGACAAGAGTTCTAAAATGTATTAGTCTCCAGAATTCATCCTTTTCTTAGTATTTGGGTCATTCTTCACCATATTATGTGTTTTTTTTTTAAATTAGCCTTACAATTCTTCTACAGAAAATAGCTGCTAAGTTATTGAAATATTGAAGTAATTTATTAGATCCTGTAATCATTTCTTAATTCTTGAGTGCTTTACAGTTTGTGGTCATTTTAAAGTAGTTTGTGTGTGAGACCCAGGGAGAGAGAGATTGCAGATGACAGAAAAGTTGGATTTAAGTTCAGGGCTTAATGGCCTTTGGATCAGGCAAGAGGAATCCCAGCCAGAAGGGCCTCTGCGCTCCTGGCACCGGTGTCAAGATATTCTTTAGAGCAGTCCCCATTCAGAGCAGGAGGGAGGAAAGGAAGAAAGAGAAAGAAGGAAGTGTGTTCTTTGTGTTAGGGCAGGATCTTGGATCCCAGGGTAAGAGAGAGAGAAATCTTGCTGAGAGTGTCCAGTTGGCAATCTTGTTGTAATTAGTTTTATAAGGATATAAGATTTCAAATAAACTGTGTAAAGACTTTCCAAATCTGAGCGCTGGTTGACTTATTTGCACTACTCACAGCGAAGGTCAAGACTACTCGCACCCCCACGCCCTGCCCCAGCCGGCCCGGCCCGACCCCATCCACAGCGCTGTCCTCGCCCCTCCCCGCTTCTCCACGCCAGCAGCCAGCCCCCACCCCCACCCCAGCCAGGGCCGCACGCTACATCCACGAGAGCCACTGCAGGGCCGCCTTGTGCTCCTCCCAGACCCAGCAGGCTGGGTTTGATTTCTCATCATCGCTGCTAGGATGTGGTAAGCATTTCCGGGAAGTGTTGTGGTGGGCTGGGAAGTCAGTGGCAGCAGACAAGCCTGCGGGCATGCTGCTGGGGCAGGTGGAAGACAGCGTCTTCCATCCCTTCTAACTTAAGCATCGTGCTTCTGTTAACTTGCAGCTGCGCTTCTAAGCAGGCCTCGTCGCAGAAGAACCCATGCTGAGGGTTGTTGGGTACAAAGTGGGTTTGGAAGCTGGGAGTGGCCTGCACACCTGTAACCCCCGTTCGCTGGAGGCAGAGGTAAGAGCTCACACGTCTCTGACAGGCACTCTGCCACTTGAACAATGCCCCCACCTTTTGTGTAGTGTTTTCAGATCGGGTCTCATGTTTTTGCCAAAGATGGCCTTGGACTGATACTCCTATTTTTATTGTCGAAATTGCTGGGATTGAAGGCATGCATCACTATGCCTGCCTGGCCTATGAATTAATTTAGAAGCAACGTTTTGATGCCTAACAGACATGTAAATGATATATAAAGCATATGCAATTAGGTAACAGTCTGATAAACATATGCCTATAAATTCATTGCAACAGTCAGTAGACATACCTCTCTGTCCAAGTTTTCTAACTTCCAGTCCTTCACTATTCTCTCCCATCCTTAGGCTCCAGCTCATCTGCTTTCCATCCATAGATTAATTTCACTTTATCGATTTTATATCAGTGGAATCACATATCTTCTTTTTTGCTTACAACTTTTGGGCACGATTTATTTTTGTTTTTCGGGGGGTCTGAACTCTGGGCCTGGGCACAGTCCCTCAGCTCCTCAGCTCAAGACTAGTGCTCTACCACTTGAACCACAGCGCCACTTCGGGCTTTTTCCAGGGCCTCATGCGTGCAAGGCAAGCACTCTACCACTGATCTACCTTCCCAGCCCTATTTTGAGTTTTTTACATGTCATTGCTTGATTCATTCTTTTCTTAGTTTTCTGCCGCATGCCTTGTGGTGGTTTAATATATATTTATTGAGTCGTGGTACAAAGGGGTTTCAGTTGAAGTCAGGTGAGTGCAATCCATCTTGGTGAATGTCCCATCCCTCAAGTTACACAGTTGCATTTGTATCTGTAAGCAGTGTGCATAGTGTCCACCGAGTATAATGACTGCATTTGCTCCCTCTTCCTTCCCCGCCCCCCCAAATGTATTTCTGCTTTCTGAAGTCCATTTTGTTAAATGGTTCTTTGGTTGTTCAAGGGAGTTGCACCCTTGGACTTACTTAGTGTACCATCCTTTAGTTAATCTGTTTCTGTGTACATGCGTAGAGCCCCATATATATCATGCATACTTGTGTATTAGCTCTAACTGCCACATGTGAGAGAATATGCGCCATCTGTCTCTGAGCCTCACTTGCTTCACCTAATGTAATTTTTCTGGGTGCAACATCCATTTCCCTGAAAATGACATTTTCTGAAAGACGAGTGAAATTCCTTTGTGTATATGTACCGCAGTGCCTTGGACCGCTCGTCCACTCTAGAGCATCGGGGCTGTTTCATAACATGGCTACATACACCACAGTTGCACGTTCCTGCTGTTGGCATCATCCAGTGTCTTAAGCACTGCCGTGTGCATTGTCAGGGTTTGGTGTTGATCAAGGGTTTGGCTCTCATAGGTGGAGGGTATATGTTGGTTTCTTACGTCATCCTAGCTAACGGGAGATTTAGAAAAAAAAAATTTTTTTCCCCGTCATGGGCGTGAACTCTGGGCCTGGGCGCTGTCCCTCAGCTCTTCTGCTCAAGGTGAGGACGCTCTACCACTTGAGCCACAGCGCCACGTCTGGCTTTTTCTGCTTATGTGATGCTGAGGAATTGAACCCAGGGCCTCATGCGTGTGAGGCCAGCACTGTTTCACTGAACCACCTTCCCAGCCCCTAGAAATAACTTTTGAGGTCTGACAATGTGTAGGCTTTCTTGGATTGTTTTTGCAACTTGAAAAGTTTTTAAGTATTTGTGTTGTTGTAGCTGGAGATCAAACACAGGCAGGTGACACCGTGATGCTGTGTGCAACCAATTTTCCAAACTGGTTCCACCCATGTATATGTCAGTGTAGCCCAAGCTGTTGCTGTCGTGCAGTATTTATTCTGATTATTAAGGAAACGTATGGGACATCTGCTTTTGCAGCACCTATGAGTCTTTATAGATGATCTCTAAAGTCATTTGCAAGTTGTTTTTGCCAGTCCTGGGGCTTGAACTCAGGGCCTGGGCGCTGTCCCTGAGCTGCTTTTGCTCAAGGCTAGCACTCTACCACTTGAGCCACTGCTCCATTTCCGGCTTTTTCTTTGTCTGTGGTACTGAGGAATTGAACCCAGAGCTTCATGCATGCTAGGCAAGCACTCTACCACTCAGCCCCACGCCCAGCCCTGTAAGTTATCTTTTTAAACTATTTTTTGTTGGCATCCATCAGTGGTGTGGGGAGGGGGATGGAGTTCTGCATCTACGCGCAGTGTCTCCCATCAGTCACCCCCTTCTGAGACGATGTGTCATGTGCAAATAAACTAGCCTGGCCTCCTTCCTCCCTCCACCCCGGTCTGAGGCTGTCTCTCTCTCCCGTCATTCATGTCACCTCTCAGCTCTTGGTTTCCTTGGTTACAGTGATATTTGTGTGTGCACTGTGGGTGAGTATATGCACAGGTGAGCACATAGGACAGTTGTAATCAGCTCCAGAAGTCAATGCCCACATGGCTAAAGGAGGAGAACAAGATGGAGAGAGCGAGGTGAGCACTTCCCTGCGGGGCCTATCAGAGGATGTGCGTTCACGGGGCGGGCCGGACAGGTGGCGTAGTCCTGTCACGGGCAGTGTGCGCGCCGAGCCCTTGTCCTGGCCATCAAGTGAGTGCGCGTCCGGCCAGCCAGGCCATCGGGGCCAAAACCCCAAGTCAAAGTGCGGCGTGTGTTGAGGTGCTCGTTTGCTCTTTTCTGCAGTGAAAATGCTGTCGTCGGCCGGGGGTTCATGCCCTGGCTCCCGGGCCACATGCTGCCCACGCGTGGCACCCGCCTTTCCCTCCTTGCTGGAATTGGTCGTGTGGCTGTTTGTAGCACTAGACCTCGGCGTGGGTGCTGAGTGCCTGCTTGTGGTGGCAGCCCTTAGGGTCCAAGTGTGCAGGTGTGGGCAAGGCCCCGCAGCCGCTGGGCAGGAGCGCTCGGCTTCCCACAGGCTGGCCACACCATCGCCACAACCAGGCCTGTGATTTCACTGGCCCTGTTACATTCTTCTCGAGGCCTTGTGTGGCGGGAGGAGGTGGTAGAGCCGCGACCTCTGTCCCGCAGCGTCCTTGCACAGGGCACACGTGTGGGTGGGAGCGTGCAGCTGGTGTCCCCCACCCTATGGCTGCACGGGTATAACAGAAGAGACGGCTGCGCAGCCACGGTCCGCCGTAGAAACTGAGGCCAGACCAGCTTAGTGGAAGAGGTGACTGCACTCAGGAAATGGCAGGAGACCCTGCGTGATTAGGGCCACCGTGCGAGGGACATTGGATGGAGGCTGGTGGTCCTCGGGTGCGGAGGCCGGGGGCACAGACATGAGTTACCACGCAGCAGCATCGCGTGGAGCCTCCAGAGCCTGCCCACTTCTCTAGGAGGCCCTGTGCTCCAGGGGGACCATGGCTGCTCAGACGCCGCGCCCTCACCACAGCTGCAGGACGTGGAGATGGCGGGGAGAAGCGGTGTTGGCATCAGCCCCCGGGGCGTCCGTCCGGCGTCAGCTCGTACCTGGAAGCCATGAGTGGGTGTGGGTTGTGTTGGGTGCATTGGGGGGTTGTGGGGAGGTGTTGGGAGTGGGGTGTGGAGTGTGTGTAGGTTGGGTGTTGGGAGTGGTGTTGGATGTGAGGTATTACGTGGAATGTGTTGGGTGCGGGGTGTATGGAGTGTATGGGGTGTGTGGTGTGTTGGGTTTGGGGTGTTTGTGGTTGTAGGAGTAGGGTGTATTTGGGGGTGAGATGTATATGGACTGTGTGGGTTGTATTGGGTGGGGGTGTTGGTATGTGGGGTATGTTGGGTGTGTGTAGAGTGGTGTTGGGTTGTGGGGTGTTGGATGTGTGTTGGGTATACTGTGGGGTATGTGCTATGTGGGGTGGGTGGTGTGTGTGAGATGTTGGGGTGTGTAGTGATGTGGGTGTGTGGGGTGGACTGTGGGGTGTGTGCTGTGTGGTGGATTGGGGGTGTGTGGGGTGTGGTCTGTTGGGGTGTGTAGTGATGTGGGTGTGTGGATTGGGGGTGTGTGGTCTGTTGGGGTGTGTAGTGATGTGAGTGTGTGGGGTGGACTGTGGGGTATGTGCTGTGTGCTGTGTGGTGGATTGGGGGTGTGTGGGGTGGACTGTGTGCTGTGTGGTGGATTGGGGGTGTGTGGGGTGGACTGTGGGGTATGTCTGTGTGCTGGGTTGTGGACTGTGGGGTGTGTGCTGTGTGCTGGGTTGTGGATTGGGGGTGTGTGGGGTGGACTGTGGGGTGTGTGCTGTGTGCTGGATTGGGGGTGTGTAGTGATGTGGGTGGATGTGGTGTGTGGGGTACATGGTAGGTTGGGGTGTGGTGTTTTGGGGGTGTGTGTTGGGACGTGGTGTGGGGTATATGTTGGGGGTGGTATGTTAGGGTGTGGGGTGGATTGGGTATATGGTGTGTTGGGGAATGTGGGGTGTATGGTGTGCTAGATGTGTGGTGGTTTGGGGCAAGGAGTATGGGTAGGGTGTGGGGTGGTGGATGTGTAGTGTGGTGGCTATGTGGTATGTTGAGGTGTGGGGTGGATTGGGGGGGTGTGGGCTGTTAGGTATATGTGGTATGTATGGAGGTGGGTGGGGGTGTGTTGGGGTGGTGTGTACTGCGTGTGTGAACTGTGGGGGGGTAGATTGGGGGTCTGTGGTATGGGGTATACGTTGGGGGTGGTGTGTTAAGGTGTGGGGTGTCTGGTGGATTGGGGATATGGTATGGTATGTGGGCTGTTGGGTATAAGTGGTGTGTTGGGGATATGGTGTGTTGTGTGTGTGGTGGATTGGGGGTGTGGTGTGTGTTGAGGAGGGATGTGTGGTCTGTTGGGGTGTGTAGTGTTGGGGGGTGGGATATGTTGGAGGTGTGTGTGGTGTGGGGTAGATATTGTGGGTGGTGTGTAGGAGGGGTATGTACTGTGTGTTGGATATGTGTGGTGGGTGGATGTGGTATGTTGGGGTGTGTGGTGGATTGAGGATGTGTGGTGTGTGTGCTGTGCAGGTATGTGGTGTATGGTGTGGGGTGTACTGAGGTAGGCCGTGGGGGGTATGTTCAGTGTGGTCTGTTGGGGTGTCTGGTATGGTATGTGGGGTGTTGGGATGTGGGGTGGGTGGGGTGTAAGTGTAGGGGTATGTATTGGGGTTGGTGTGTACTGTGGGATGTGTGGGGTGGATTGGGGGTGTGTGGTGTGTTGGCAAATGTGGGGTGTATTGTATGCTAATGTGTGGTTTGGGGCATGTGTGGGGTATCTGGTGGATTGGGTTGTGTTGGGGGGTGTGGGTTGGACTGGGGGTGTGGTGTGCTGTGTTGAGGGATGTGTGGTCTGTTGGGGTGTGTAGTGTGGGGGTGTATGGGATCTGTTGGAGGTGTGTGTGGTATGTGTTGGGGGCGGTGTATTGTATGTTGGGGGTGTTAGGTGTGGTGTGTAGGAGGGGTATGTACTGTGTGTGATGTGTTGGATGTGTGGGGTGGATTGGGGGTGTGTGGTGTGTTGGCGAATGTGGGGTGTATTGTGTGCTAGATGTGTGGTTTGGGGCGTGGGGTATGTAGTGTGGTGTGGTGGGTGTGGTATCTTGGGGTTTGGCGTAGAAGGGGTGTGGGTGTGTTGTGGGGTGTGTAGTATTGAGTTGGTTGTATGTGCTGTGGGTGTGTGTGTGATGAGGTGGGATGTGTGGTCTGTTGGGGTGTGTAGTGTCGGGGGGTGTGGGATGTTGGAGGTGTGTGTGGTGTGGGGTATATGTTGTGGGTGGTGTTGGGTGTGACGTGTTGGATGTGGTGGGTGTATGTGGTGTTAGGGTGTGGGCTGAATTGGGGAGGTGGGGGTATGTGTGTGCTGTGTAGGGTATGTGGTGTGGGGTATGTAGTGTGGGGGTGTATGGGTGTGTTGGAGATGTGTGGTGTGTGTGGCCTGTTGGTGTCTGGTAGATTGGGGGTGTGTTGTGTTGGGGTGTACGGTGTGGGGTATGTGTCGGGGGTGGTGTGTACTGTGTGTGGTGTGTTGGTGAATGTGGGGTGTATTGTGTGCTAGATGTGTGGTTTGGGGTGTGGGGTGGACTGGGTGTGTGTTGTGTGGGGATGGGATATGTGTTGGGGTGTGTTGGGGTCTGGTGTAGGAGGAGTGTGGGTGTGGTGTGTGGTGTATTATGAATTGGGTGTATGTGCTGTGGGGGGGGTGTGGTGTGTGTGATGAGGTGGGAGGTGTGTGAGTTGGACTGGGGGGGGTGTTGGGTATATGGTGTGTTATGTGTGTGGTGGGATGTGTGGTCTGTTGGGGTATAGTGTTGGGGGGTGTGGGATGTTGGAGGTATGTATGGTATGGGATATGTGTTGTGGGTGGTGTTGGGTGTGGTGGGTGGATGTGTGTGTTGGGGTGTGGGCTGGATTGGGGATGTGGGGGGTGTGTGTGCTGTGTAGGGTATGTGCTGTGGGGGTGTATGGGTGTGTTGGAGATGTGTGGTGGTGTGTGGTATGTTGGCGTGTGGGGTCGATTGGGGGTGTGTCGGGGATGGGATATGAGGAGGGGTGTGTACATACATTGGGTGGTGGGTGTGTGCTGTGGGGGTGTGTGGGTTGGACTGGGGGTGTGGAGTGTGGGTGTGTTGTGTTGGGGGTGGTGGGTGTATGGTATGTTGGGGTGGTGTGTGGGGTGTGGAGTATGTTTGGGTGTGTGGGGTGTGTGGTGGATGGGGTGTGTTGTTGGGGTGTATGGTGTGTTGGGGTGTGGAATACAGAGTGTGGTGTATTGTAAGTGGTGTGTTGTGTGGGGGTCAATGGCGGATTGGGTGGTGTGTGTGGTGTGTTGGATATGTAATGTGGTTGAGTGTTTGCGTGTGGTGGGCTGGGTGTGTGTTGGGGTGTGAGGTGGTTTTGGGGTGTGTTCTGGTGTGGTGTGTGGTATATGTTGGGGTGTGCTGGGCTTGGGGCCGGGCGCACTCACCACCGGGAGAAGCCCCTGATGAGGTCTTCCTCCTGCAGCTCCACCAGCACCTGCGCCAGCCAAGCCTGAGCCTCTGGGGGGCGCGTCGGCCCACCCGGCCCCACACCCGCCCCTCCACACCCGGCCCCGCCCACCCGCCTGGCCCCGCCCCTCCACACCCGCCTGGCCACACACGGCCCCGCCTGGCCCCGCCCTCCACACCCGCCTGGCCCCGCCCGGCCCCGCCCCTCCACACTCGCCCCGCCCACCTTCCCCAGCTCCTTCCGGCGGCGCGAGCCCGGCGGCCGGCGGCTCTTCACCGCCACGTCCAGCGACCGCAGCTGCGCCTCCTCCAGGGGCAGAGGAAACTCGAACCTGCGAGAGGCGGCGCCGGTTCCCGCCCGTCCTCTTCCCCCCCCCTCCCCACCACCCGTCCTCCCTCCCGACCCCGCCGGCCGGCCGCGGCGCCGTGCCAGGCTTGCGGCGGTGACCCGCGGGCCCGAGCCTCAAACCGGACGCCGGGACCCGGGACCTCCGGCCCGGAGAGGACGCGGCTGGGGGGGGGGGGAGGACAGGAGAGGACGCGGCTGGGGGGGGGGAGGACAGGACGGGGGAGGGGAGGGGGAGAAGACGGGGGAGGGGGAGAAGACGGGGGAAGCACGGGGAGGGGACGGGGGGAGCACGGGGAGGGGGGAGAAAACGGGGGAGGGGGGGACGGGGGAGGCACGGGGAGGGGGAGGACCGGCCCCGGCTGGCGGCCGCTTACGTCTGGTCGAACACGGGCTCGAGCGTGCGGGGCCTCACGGCCGTGCACCGACGGCCGGCCCAGCCGGTGTCGGGCAGCAGGTAGACGCGGACGTAGGGGTCGGCGAGGCCGCCGCTGCGGCTCGGCGTCAGGTCCCTGCGGGACGGCGGGCTGTGGCGCTGCGGGGCCGGCTCTCCTGCCCGCCTCACCCGCAGCGCCCCGAGCACGCACGCGAGGCAGCGCCCCACATCACCCTCGGCGGGGCCCCCGGCCGCCTCACCTGCAGCGGCCCACGAGCACGCGGAGGCAGCGCCGCAGACACACGTAGCGCACGGTCAGTTGCACCTCGCCGAGCCGCCGCCGGCCCCCGGCGCTGCGGAGAGCGCGCGTCAGACCCTGGGGTCTGCCCCAGCCACACCCCCCGGACCCAGCCCCCCCCCCCACGCCAGAGACACACACCCCGGCTCCGCCCACAGCCCGAGCCCCACCCCCCGGTCAGAGACCCAGCCCCGCCCAGCCACACCCCCGGACTCGCCCCCCCTCCCCCCCGCCAGAGACACACCCCGGCTCCGCCCACTGCCCGGCCACACCCCCGGACCCGCCCCCCGGCCAGAGACACACCCCCCGGCCCCAGCCCCGCCCCGCCAGACACACCCCGCCCGCCCCCCCCCCCCCCCCCGGCCCCAGCCCCGCCCCACCCCCGGACCCGCCCCCCGGTCAGAGACACACACCCCAGCTCCGCCCACAGCCCGGCACACCCCCGGCCGCCGTGGAGCGGGGGTTGGTTCCAGCACGGCCCGCGCCGTCCCTCGCCCGCTGCCCCGGGACCGCGGCACCGGGCGACCCCCCCCGCCCCCCTCCCAGTAAAAGAAAACTTGGGGGGCGGGAGGCGGGCGCGGCGCCCGGGCGCGGCGTACTCAGCCTGCGGGCGGCCGTCGGGCAGGTCGAAGCGGGACGAGGCCAGGGAGGAGGCGAGGGAGCCGAGCGAGGAGCCGAGCGAGGACGCGAGGGGGCCCGGCCAGGGCGGGGCGCGGGCCTCGGGCCTGGGGGACTTGATGGGCCCCGGGGAGTGCGGGCCGGGCACGGCCAGGAGGACGAGGCCCGCGCCCTTCCTCCCCGCGGGCGCGCAGGCGGGGCCGGGGTGCGGGGGGCTCCCCTTGGCGGCGGGGCCGGGGTGCGGGGGGCTCCCCTTGGCGACAGGACTGGACCGAGGGGACGTCCCATCGGCGGCGGGGCCGGGGTGCGGGGGGGTCCCGGCGGCGGGGCGCGGGGGGCACAGCGCATCCGCGTGCTCTGCTGCGGGGCGCGGGGCGGCGGCCGCCTCCTCCGGGGCGTCGGGCCCCTCGCGCGGGCTCCACGGCTCCCGGGGCTCGGGGCGCAGGAACTGCAGCGGGGAGGGCGGAGTTAGCGCCGGGCACTCGCGGCAGCGGGGGGGGGGGGGGACGGGGGGGGAGGCGGGGCGCACCCGCAGCACCAGCCGCATGCTGACGAGGCTGCGCAGGCCCGAGCGCTCGAGCGGGAAGCGGCGCTGCAGCGCGAGGTCGGCGCAGGCCAGGACGCGGCGCAGGGGCAGCTCCAGCGCGCCCAGCAGCGCGGCGTCCCGCGCGGCGTCCAACACCTGGGGGGGAGGGGTCAGCGGGGTCACACCGCACAGCCCACACCCCCGCCCCGCCCGCCCCGGCCCCGGCCAACCTGGAGACGGAGGCACTGAGCGGACGCCCGGCGCACGAGGAAGGAGAAAGCCTGGCTCCACACGGGGTCCCTGCTGTGCGGGCACGTCTGCGGGGGAGGGGGGCGGGGTCAAAGAGCGCCCGGCCCCGGGGGGGGGGGGCCCACGGCCCCGGGGGGGGGGGGGCTCACCTTGCTCGTGCAGGTCGTCGTGCCCACGGACAGCGTGACGTAGGAGGAGGGGGCGGCGCTCGCTCTGTTCTGCGAGGGAACAGCAGGCTCAGCCCCGCCCACCCGCTCAGCCCCGCCCACCCGCTCAGCCACGCCCTCGCTCGGCCACGCCCTCCCGTCATGGGCCCGCCCCTCCCTCCCTCCGAGCGCCCCGGGCGGGGCACAGGATGGCGGGTGCGGGCGCGGGTGCGGGTGCGGGTGCGGGTGCGGGTGCGGGTGCGGTGACCTCGGCCTCCCGGGCCGCTCGTACCTTGGCAAACCGGGACAGCTTCTTGGCGCGGTACTCGGCGTCGAGGAAGTCGAAGGGGCTCGCCTGCGGCACAGGGGGATGGGGGGGGGTCAGGGGGTGCGCGCGGGCCCGAGTGTGCGGGGCGTGCGCGGCGCGGGGCTCACCGGCAGGTGGCAGGCGCCCTCGAGGAACACCAGGAGCACGGCGGTGTCGCCGTCGCCGTCCTGCAGACGCACAGCACACGCGGCGGTCAGGGGTGCGGGCCAAGGGGAGCCCTCCCCCCCCCCCCCCGCGCGCCCCGCACTCACCCCCGCCGCGCCCGGCTCCGCCAGCAGCGCCAGCCACTCCAGCCGCAGGTGCAGCCGCCCGCAGGGGACGTCGTCCAGGGGGAACCACTGTGTGCGGGGCGGGGGGGGGGGTCAGGGCCTCCCCCCCACGCCGGGGTCCCCGCCCTCGGGGGAGGGCTGAGGCTGTGACCCCCGCCCGCCCGCCCGCCGCCTCTACCTCGTCCACCACGCGGCTGCTGCGCACGCGCCCCACGCAGATCTGCAGGCTGCAACACAGGAGGAGGGGCTCAGCGCCGCGCGGGGGAGGGGCACGACCCCGCACCGCGCACCATGCACACACCCCGCCCAGGCCACGCAGCAGGCCAGCCCGGACAGACCACACAGACAGACGGCCACGCCGAGCCCGACACAGCCAGGGGCTGGCGCTCTACCCCGAGTCGTGCCTCCAGCCCTGGTTTTTGCAGGTGGTCACGGGCGCCTCTCGCGTCCCCGGCCGGCGCCCCTCACCTGCCCAGGAAGTCGTCCGCGTCCGTGTCCTCGTCGTACAGGTCCACCTCCAGGTCCTGCCCGGGCACTTCGTACACCAGGAACTGGCAGGGCACAGGGGCGCGTGGGCCTGCGGCGCCGGGGCACGACCCCGGCGCCGGGATCCCAGCTGCTCAGGAGGCCGAGGTCCGCGAGGACCGCGGTCCAAGGCCAGCCCGGTGGGACCACCCCAAACCGGAAGTGGCGCGGTGAGCTCACCTCGAACACCTCGTTCCAGACGGGGCTCAGGTTCCGGTAGACCGTCCTGCTCCGGAAGTGCTGCAGGCCCACGCTGACCCTGGCGTAGGGGTCGGACTTGCCGCCCAGCCCCAGGAAGTTGTCCTTCTGCGCCAGCCCCGCCGCCTCCAGCAGGTGCACCCGGAGGACGCCCTGTGCACGGCCGGCCGTCACCGCCCCGCGTGCGTGCATGCGTACATGCGTGCACTGTCACGGGGCCCTATCACCGTCCCCGTGCGCCCGCGTGCGTGCACTGTCACGCCCGTCACCCTCCCCGTGCGCCATGCGTGCGCGTGCACTGTCACGCCCGTCACCCTCCCCGTGCGCCATGCGTGCGCGTGCACTGTCACGCCCGGGCCCGTCACCCGCCCCACGAGTCCCAGCCCCCCCCCCATGTCGAGGCCCCGTTCGAGCCCGGCCCGCGGTGGGGACTCACGCGGGGCAGCGGGAAGCGGAGGCCGCTCACGTCCAGCCCGCGCTTCACGGGCACCGTCACGCGGTTGGGCAGCACCAGGTGCGCGGCCAGCAGCTCCTCCAGCAGCCCGTCCGTCAGCGCGCTGCGGGCGGGGACGCGGGGTCGGTGCACAGGCCCCGGGGGCCCCGCTCCCCGCTTCCACCCGGCCCGGCTGTGCCTGCAGCACGCGCATGCGCACAGATACACGTATGCATACACGCGCACATGCGCACACATGCCTACATATACGCAGGCACACACCTGCGCATGCGCACACACACACACACACACACACACCCAGCCGGACGCCTCCCCGGTGCTCACTCGATCCCGGGCGCGTCCAGCAGGTTGGTCAGCCCCGTCCAGTTGATCTGCAGGTGCTGCGGAGCAGGGGGCGGCAGTGAGGCCGAGGAGGGCGCGCGGGGTCCCACAGGGCCTCCCACGCGGGACCCGGGGCTCACCGGCTTCTGCAGGAAGCACACGGTCACGGCGCCCACGAAGGGCTTGTCCACCAGCAGCGGCTCCAGGATGACCCGCAGCGTGCCCTGCAGCTGGAGTGCGCAGGCGCAGTCGGCGGGGGCCTGCACGCAGCCCTCCCTCCCCGCCTTTGTGCTTGTGTGCATGTGCGTGCTGTGTGCACCTGGGCCTGGGCCTGTGTGTGCATGTGCGTGCTCGCATGAACGCGCTGTGTGCACCTGGGCCTGCGTGTGCATGTGCATGCTCGCATGCACGCGCTGTGTGCACCTGGGCCTGCGTGTGCATGTGCGCGCTCGCATGCACGCGCTGTGTGCACCTGGGCCTGCGTGTGCATGTGCGCGCTCGCATGCACGCGCTGTGTGCACCTGGGCCTGCGTGTGCATGTGCGCGCTCGCATGCACGCGCTGTGTGCACCTGGGCCTGCGTGTGCATGTGCGCGCTCGCATGCACGCGCTGTGTGCACCTGGGCCTGCGTGTGCATGTGCGCGCTCGCATGCACGCGCTGTGTGCACCTGGGCCTGCGTGTGCATGTGCGCGCTCGCATGCACGCGCTGTGTGCACCTGGGCCTGCGTGTGCATGTGCGCGCTCGCATGCACGCGCTGTGTGCACCTGGGCCTGCGTGTGCATGTGCGCGCTCGCATGCACGCGCTGTGTGCACCTGGGCCTGCGTGTGCATGTGCGTGCTCGCATGCACGCGCTGTGTGCACCTGGGCCTGCGTGTGCATGTGCGTGCTCGCATGCACGCGCTGTGTGCACCTGGGCCTGCGTGTGCATGTGCGTGCTTGCATGCACGCGCTGTGTGCACCTGGGCCTGCGTGTGCATGTGCGTGTTCGCATGCATGCGCTGTGTGCACCTGGGCCTTGGTCCTGTGTGTGCATGTGCGTGTTCGCATGCACGCACTATGTGCACATGTGCCTGGGCCCTGTGCCTGTGTGCATGTGCATGTTCGCATGCACGCGCTGTGTGCACCTGTGCCTGTTTGCATGCATGCACTGTGTGCACGTGTGTCTGAGCCCTGTGCCTGTGTGTGCATGTGTGTGTTCACATGCATGTGCTGTGTGCACCTGTATGTGCTGTGTGCACCTGGACCTGGGCCCTGGGTCTGTGCACCCACGCGCGGGGCCTGGGTTTGAACTTGGGCTGATTGCTCACAGCTGGAGCTCTGCCCAGCCCTGGCACTGGCTTCCCGCAGGCGCCCCACTGGCCCACGCACCTGGATCCCGTTCACACCGGCCCGCAGCTTCTGCAGCTCAGCGCTTATCTCGCAGTCCCCAATGTAGCTGGGGGGGGGGGGAGAAGAGCTCTGCTCAGAGATGCCCCAAGCTCCCCGGGGTGGCACAGGGGGCCCGGCGCGGGAGGGGGGCTCCGTCCTGGCCTGTGTCCGCCGTGTCCCCCCACCACCTGGCCGCCTCCAGGAAGCCCTCCGGGCCATGCTCCCTGCTCCCGGGCCCGGGGCTCACCTGATCTTCAGGTCCAGCGTCACCCGCCTGCGCTCGCACATGTCCGTGTGGACCTGCACGCCGTTCACACGCGGGCACTGGGGGGAGGCGGGGGCAGGGCGGTCAGCGGCAGGACCTCCGCAGCCCGTGGCCAGCCCCAAGCCCTAGCCCAGGCCGGGTCCAGGGAGGCCTGGGCCTGGAGGCGGGCTCGTCGGGCACCGCCACGCAGCTCTGCTGTGCCATCCTGCAGCTCACGCAGGCCGCCTCGCCAGCACCCACCCGCCGCTCCCTGCAGCCTGGTGTGGTGGCTCACACATGTAATCCCCGCCACCCAGGAAGCCCCCACATCGGGAAGACTGTGGTCTGTGGCCAGCCAGGGTAAGAACTTCACAAGGCTCCTTGCCAATCAACGCTTTGCTACCGCAGGAAACGTAAACTAGGACTGCAGTCCAGGTGTGTGCCGGGGTCCAAAGAGACACCCCATCTCAAAAGAGCCAGCTTGGCCAGGCGCCAATGGCTCAGGCCTGTCACCTTTGCCACCCTGGAGGCTGAGCTCTGAGTATCACGGTTCAAAGCCAGCCCGGGCAGGAAAGTCTCTGAGACTTCAATCTCCAATGAACCACCAGAAAACCGGAAGTGGCGCTGTGGCTCAAGTGGTAGAGCGCTCACCTTGTGCTGAAGAGCTGAGGAACAGCGCCCAGGTCCAGAGTTCAAGCCCCATGACCGACCAAAAAAAATTAGCCAGCTTGCAAAGGGGCTGGGGGCATGACCCAGAGGTAGAGCACCTGGTTCAAACCCAGGGACGGCCCGAAGTAGATGTGAACCAGGAGCTCAGAGAAGGTGGGGTCGCAGGCACAGACGGGAGCAGAGCTGGACCGCTGGCAGTGAGGAGGAACTGGGGGTGGCCAGAGCACTGGGGTCTGGGGCTGCTCTGGGGTTCGTGGGGGCCCCCACAGTGGGGAGGACAGGAGGTGGGAGGAAAGTGGGGCAGGCTTCTTCCAGGAAGCCCACCAGCCCACCCCGCCGCCACTCCACAGCCCTGCCGCCAGCAGACCAAGGACAGAAGTCACGAAAGGCCAGGGGCCGGGCCAGGCTAGGCACTGGGGTGCAGACCGGATTCCCAAGGCTGAGGCGTGGCCCAAACCCCCTGGAGGGACCTGGGCGATGGTCATGCCCATCATCCTCAGATCTGGGGACCGTGGTTCAAAGCCAGCCCAGAGAAGTAAGTCCAGGAGACTCATCACCACTGAACCAGCAAAAAGCTGGGAGCTGCGCTGTGGCTCAAGTGGTAAAACACCAGCCTTGAACACAAAAGCTCAGGCACAGCGCCCCAGGCCCTGAGTTCAAGCCCCAGGACTGGCACCAAAAAAATATATCCACCACGGCAGGGCGTGTAGCACCTGAGACACTGCCAAAGCACCCGTGCGGGGTCTGAGCGAGGGAGGACAAGACTCCCGACCCCACTCAGGCTGCAGGGAGGCCGTGTGCTGAGGACGCAGAGGCCTTGGGGGGAGGGAGGAGGCACCCACCTTCTGTCCGAAGTAGAGCTTGGTGAAGGTGAAGGTCCGCAGGTGAGCGCTCTTGCCCCGGATCTTGGGTTCAAGTTTCTCCCGGATCTTGCTCTCCATGATCATGCTCAGGTAGGGCCAGATCTGCACGATGATCTGCGGGGCCAAGGCCTTGTCTGTGCTGGCAATGGGGACCCCGCCCTCCCTCCCTCCTACAGCAGCGCGCGTGTGTGTGTGTATGTGTGTGTACACGCACACGTGTGTCCTGAGCTATCATGATCAAGGTGAGCACTACCACTCTGAGCCACAGCACCACTTCCAGTTTTCAGGTGATTCACTGGAGATCAGAGTCTCATGGACTTTCCTGCCCGGGCTGGCTTTGAACCGAAATCCTCAGATCTCAGCCCCCTGAGTAGCTGGGATGACAGGTGTGCGCCACTAGTGCCTGGCTCAACCTTGTAACTTGTGTGTGCTCACACGGGCACTATGAAATGGCCAGGCGCTCGGAGGCGTTTCGGATGCCCATGGCAATGACAAGTCTGGAAATGGGAGAACGCCAGCTCAGCCCAACAACCGCCAAGACAGTGCTTCCTGCGGTCTAGCCGAGTCATTCCTGCTGTTGGGCCAAGCCTCCTGCCAGAACAGCGGGAAGCACAGAAGGTTCCAGGTGGGGAGGGCTCTGGTTTTCCCCACCTTTCTGCCGTGACTATGCATGCGCCAATCCCTACTGAACACTCTTAAAACAGTCAAAAAAAATAAAGAAGGCCGAGCGCCGGCGGCTCCCGCCTGTCATCCCAGCTACCCCGGAGGCTGAGATGGGAGGATTGCGGTTCAAAGCCAGCTCGGGCAGGAAAGTCCATGAGCCTGTTATCTCCCATCACTTGAAAACTGGAAGTGGCACTGTGGCTCAAGTGGTAGAGCTAGCCTTGAGCACGATGGCTCAGGGACAGGGCCCAGGCCCAGAGTTCAAGCCCCACGACTGACCAAAAACAAGCCGTCCTGGTGTGTGTGTGGGGGGGGGGGGGGGTCTTCACCCCGTGTTAGGTGCAGCCCAGGGACTCCCCCCCCCCCCCCGTCCCCCCGACCCCCAACCTCACCTTGTTGGCCCACTCGACTGGCTCCACGTCTGGGAAGCGGATCTAGAAAGGAAGCAGGAGCCAGCTTCAGAGCGGAAGTGCAGGCTGGGGCATGGGGCCTTGGGCCTGGCCGTCCGGCCTTGCCCTGGGCGGGTTCTCGGGGGTCTGCGCTCTGGCCCCCTCCCTACCCGTCCCCTATGGCTATCAGGGGACGCCGCACCCCTGCTGCTCTCCCCTCTCCTCTGCCACCTGCCCAGCTGTGGGGAAAGGAAGGGGAGAGGAGGGAGGGGAGGGGGCGGCTTGGGGAGTGCTACTTCGCATATGCAAATGAGCAAGGGGGCCCCAGGCTTCCCCCCCAGCTCACGCCTCACACACCCAGCCCCCGTTCCTCCTGGGTGGACACAGGCGTTGGGTGTCTGCAAAGGCAAGCTGGACGCAGCGGCTCAGGCCGCCATCCTAGCTGCAGGGCTGGGATCAAGAGGGTCGCCGTTCCGGGGCACAACAGTCCCCGCGACTCCACCATCTCCCCGAAAAAGCCGGGTCCATACCAACAGAAAGCGAAACCGGGAGGATGGCGGCCGTGACACACGACGAGGCAGCAAGGGACACCGGGTCTCAAACCCGGTGCAAAAGGACTGACGACCGGGCTCGGCAGCACAGTACCTGCGTCGCAGGTGTAAGGCCCCGAGTTCAAACCCAGGGGTGCCAAGAGAAGAGAGACAAAGAGGAAGGAGGAAGAAGTGAGTGCAAACCTAGCTAAGAAACCCATTTCCATCACGATGTAGTAACAAGCTGGGGCAGGTGGGGGGTCCTGAGGCCCCCTCCCCCCCGAGCCCCACCCAGTCCGGTCCCCTGGCTCCCCAGCCCGCACACGAGCCCCCTCATGCTTCCCTTCTTCCCGGATGTAGATGGTCTCCCTCGTGCCAGCCTCCTGCTGTTCCCGCTAGACGGGGTCTGGAGAGGTGCCCGTGCCCGTGCCCGCGCCCGCCAAGGAACAGCTCCGTGACGCCATGTGCTGCGTGCACGGGTGTGGGAATGAATGCACAGAAGGATGTACGAGGCGGAGCTGGGAAGGTGGCTCAGTGGTAGAGTGCTTGCCTTGCATGCCTGAGGCCCTGGGTTCGATTCCTCAGCACCACTTAAGCAAAAAGAAAAAAGCCGGAAGTGGCGCTGTGGCTCAAGTGGTAGAGCGCTAGCCTTGAGCTGAGGGACAGCGCCCAGGCCCGGAGTTCAGGCCCCACGACCGGACCCCCTACTCCCCCCAAAAAAACGATGCACAAATGGACAGACGACTGCACGCGTACATGCACATGCATGGGATGCAAGAAGGGAAGGCTATGCACAGGGATGTGAACGGACGCATGGACGGATGAGTGCACAAGTAAACACACGGACGCGCCAAGAGGCTCTGGCTCCCCGGGCACAGGGACAGACAGAGGGGGGCGAGGACGGCCCTGCAGAGCCGGCTGCCCCACCCCCCCCCCACGCGTGCCACGGGGCCTGGCCGGTGCGGGCCTGGGCGGGGTTCCCGCCTGGCCGGTCCCCCCGGCCGTCTCAGCTCATCCCGGGGAGCCGGCCAGACGAGAGATTCCTGAGCCGCCGCCCACTGCCTCGGTGAGAGGCCAGGGTGCGCCTCGTGGATGTTGGCGTGCTCCGGGCATGGCGGGGCTCCGGGCAGCGGGGGGGGGGGGGGGGGGGGCGAGGGGGCCGCGCCAGCACGGATGTTTTTATGTTGTGCCAAGCAAGAAGAGACGTAACCTGCAGCCAGCACCGCACCTCGCCTGAGCGGACAACGCTGGCAAGATGGCCATTCTCCCTGAGGCTCCCCTCCACACCCCCCTTTATTTTTTGGCCAGTCCTAGGGTTGAACTCTGGGCCTGGGCGCTGTCCCTCAGCTCTTCAGCTCAAGGCGAGCGCTCTACCACTTGAGCCACAGCGCCACTTCTGGCTTTTGCAGTTCATGGGGTGCTGAGGAATCGAACCCAGGGCTCCATGCATGCGAGGCGAGCACTCTACCACTGAGCCACCTCTCCCGCCTGAGGTCCCTCCTAAAACTTGCAATGTGGTTGGGCACCGGTGGCTCACGCCTGTAATCCTAGCTACTCAGGAGGCTGAGATCTGAGGATCGTGGTTCAAAGCCAGCCCGGGCAGGAAAGTCCGTGAAACTCTTATCTCCAATGAACTATCAAAAAGCAGAAAGTGACACTGTGGCTCAAGTGGTAGAGCGCTTACCTTGAGCAAAAAGCAGCTCAGGGACAGCGCCCAGGCCCTGAGTTCAAGCCCTAGCACCAGCACAAACACCGTTAAAAAACTAAGAGAACAGCCTGATGTCTATGAGAATCGGAAGCGTCTACCAGGGGCCGACTCCGCTGGGGCAGACTGCGGGCTGCAGTGGACAGGGCGGCACTCACGGTCAAGGGAAATGGGAGGGGAAGCTGGTATTACACGCAGTAGCTCCTCTGCAGGGCGTGTATGTTCCTGAGCCAAGGACAGCATCGCGGATGTGCGTGCACTGCACAAGGCACACCCGAACTCTAAGCCGCATGACATGAGGAAGCGGACTGGCCTGGGAATCCCTGCACCCCTCCCATTACCATTAATCAACTAGGCCGCGCACACATGAGGACGTGGCATATGGGGAGAGCAGGCACTGGTGGCTCCCGCCTGTCATCCTAGCTACTCAGGAGGCTGAGAGCTGAGGATCGCAGTTCTAAGCCAGCCCATGAGACTCTGATCTCCAAAGAACCATCAGAAAACCAACAGTGAAGCTGTGGCTCAAGTGGTAGAGCGCTGGCCTTGAGCTGAAGAGCTGAGGGACAGCGCCCAGGCCCAGAGTTCAAGCCCCACGACTGACAACAACAACAAAATGTTTCTGAGCTTTGAGCTGGTCCTGGTGGCTCACACCATAGCTACTCAGGAGGCAGAGATCTGAGGACTGTGGTTCAAAACCAGTCTAGGCAGGAAAGACCATGAGACTGATCCTCCCATGAACCACACACAAAAAAAGTAGGAAGTGGCGCTGCGGTTCAAGTGGTCGCCTTCAGCAGAAAGGCTCAGGGGCAGCGCCCAGGCTCTGAGTTCAAGTCCCAGGACTGGGACGCATGTACACACTCACACACACACACTAACCAGCAAAAAACAGAGTGGAGGCATAGCTCAGCATCAAAGCACCTATCTAGCAAGCATGAGAGCCTGAGTTCAAAACCCAGCACCACCGCTGAAAGCCCATGAGCCACGGGAGCGAGCCACGGAGTGAGATTTACACAGGACTCGCTGCAGTGTCCACGCCACGGAGTTCTGTTGACTTCACCATGGGCTGGGCACTGAGCTAGGCACTGAGGGCAGAGGTCAGAGAAGCAGCACGTGCCCTGCCCGAAAAGAACATTCCGCCCAGAGGACAAGACAGCCGGGAAGACTGGCAGGGCCAGGGCCAGAGGGGCAGAGGGGAGGGATTACAGCCCAGCCCAAAGCCTCAGGCCTGCGGGGTGACTCACGGGACTCCGGATGGCAGAGGATGGTACATCAGAGGGAACATTCCAGATGGAGGCAGGAACCACCCCTCCCCCACACACCTCCACCAACCATTTGCAAATACCAAAGGAATCTGTTACGTGCTCAGCCAGTGAAGTGGCGCACGCCTGTAATCCCAGCTACCTGGGGAGCAGCTGGGATTACCGGCATCGCACCCTTCTGGCCCGGTGACCACTCGAGCCGTTGTTCTAGTGGCAGAGTCGCCGCTTTGCTCGTGGGTTTCCCGAGGGCCGGGCAGACGCGCGCTGCTGGTGTCTGTGGCCCTCACACCTTACACGCCCTCCACGAGTGCTGGCCGAGGAGAGGGGGGAAGGGAGGTGTCTGGCGTGGCTGGGCCGGGCAGGGACAGAGGGAGACCCACACACCTCTTGCGACATGACAAGTCTATGAACCATCTCTCCTCCCCAAGGACCGGCGTGGGGCCAGGCCAGCGTGAGCCACCACCCAAGGGGCCCCCAGGGCAGCGAGCCCCCCACTCCAAGCCCTCCTCAGTTCTGAGGCTCGGGTCAAATGAGACAGCGCCCAGGCCTGCTCAGAGCAGCGGCTGCCTTTACTCCCGCTCGTTAACAGAAGCGCCAGTTCCAGCTACTGGCTCACACCTGTAATCCCAGCTGCTCAGGAGGCTGAGATCTGAGGATCACAGTCCAACAAGCCAGCCTAGGCAGAAAAGTCCAGAAGACTCTCGAATTAACCACCAAAAAGTCAGAAGTGGCGCTGTGGCTCAAGTGGTAGAGCGCCAGCTATGAGCCAAGAAAAAAAAAAAAAAGCCAAGCAAGAGCTTGAGATTATTATGAGAATTATATATAGATATAAAAAAAAAAAGGGCTGGGAAGGTGGCTCAGTGGCAGAGTGCACGCATAGAACCCGGGATTCGATTCCTTTATACCACATACACAGAAAAAGCCGAAGTAGCACTGTGGCTCAAGTGGTAGAGCACTAGCCTTGAACAAAAGCAGCTCGGGGACATTGCCCAGGCCCTGACTTCAAGCACCAAGACAGGCTAAAAATAAAAATAAAAAATAACGTAGTGGCTCGGGCCTGTAATCCTAACTATTCAGAAGGCTGAGATCTGAAGATCAAAGTTCAAAGCCAGCCTGGGCAGACAAAACTGAGGGACTCTTTTCTCCAATTAACCAGCAAAAGGCCGCGAGTGGAGGTGTGGCTCAAGTGGCAGAGCATGAGCCCTGAGTTGAAAAAGCTAAGCAGGGCTGGGAAGGTGGCTCAGTGGTAGAGCGCTTGCCTTGCATGCATGAGGCCCTGGGTTTGATTCCTCAGCACCACATAAGCAAAAAGAAAAAGCCGGAAGTGGCGCTGTGGCTCAAGTGGTAGAGTGCTAGCCTTGAGCTGAAGAGCTGAGGGACAGCGCCCAGGCCCAGAGTTCAGGCCCCACGACCGGACCCCCCAAAAAGAAAAATTAAAAAAAAAGAAAAAGAAAAAGCTAAGCAACCTGGGCGCAAGTAGCTCACACCTGTCATCTAGCTACACGAGAGGCTGAGATCTGAGGATCACGGTTCGAAGCCAGCCCAGGCTGAAAAGTCACTGTGATACATAAGTCTTATCTCCAGTAAACCACCAGAAAACCAGAAGTGGAGCTGTGGCTCAAAGCCGTAGAGCAAAAGAGCTCAGAGACAGCGCCCAGGCCCAGAGTCCAAGGACAGACCCCTGCCGCCAAAACAAAAACCCTAAGCACACATTCTCTTTCTGTGGTTCTAGCCAGATGTGGTGCACATCTGGCTAGAGGGAGGACGGACAAGGAAGGCTGGAAACAGCTCCCGTGGGGGGTGTGAGGCCCAGAGAAAAGGCAACTTGGGACTGGATAACGGCCCCCAGAGGAGAGAAGGGGCCTGGGAGCCCCCCCCCAACACACACCAGGTGCCAAGTCCCTGCCCCGCACCAGCCAGCAGACACACAATGGTGATCGCCTCACAGCGCTGCCAACTGATCACCACCAGCTGGTCCAAATCACACGCACAACGCTCAGGCTCTCCGTCCCATCTGCTCTCACCTGCCCAGGGCAACCTCCTACCAAACAGCCACTAGCCAAGCAAGGCACTCACTGCGTACCTGCTTCTAGCTGGCCCAACAAAGCAGCCACCCAGCTAGCTCTGTAATATCCTGAAGACAGACAGGGATCACGGGGATCACCGGGCGCCAATCCTCTGCTAGGACCAGAGGCCCAGCGGTGAGTGTGCACTGGGCAGCAGCCCGGCTGGAGTTCCTGCACCACGGAGTGAACTCTAAGGCAGGGTCTGGGTGCCTCGCCGCAGAAAGGGAGCTGGGCGTCCGTAGCTCACGCCTGTAATCCCAGCTACCCAGGAGGCTGAGACCTAAGGATTGAGGTTCAAAGCCAGCCTGGGCAGGAAACTCCGTGAGACTCTTCTCTCCAACGAACCCCCAGAAAACCAGAAGTGGCACAGAGTTCAAGCCCCTGTACTGGCACTGGTGCGCGTGCACACATGCACACACACACACACACGCAGGTCTACATGCACACTTTCCCCAGGAATCCACGGATACCCAGTCTCCACAGACGCACCTGCTCTGCATCCTGGAGCCCCGTTCCCAGCAGCGGGTGCCGGGGAGACCCCACACCTTCCCAGCACCCCTGTGGAGGTCAGGACCGCCTAGAGGTGGGGCTGGCCTCCCCTGCCCTGCTGCTCCCCCCACGTCCTCTCTGCAAAGCCTTCCACGGCCTCCTGCGGCCTGCACCATCAAACGCCAGCTCCGGCCTCCCTGCCTCCACCTGGTCTTGCTGCACACGCCGCCCGGCCCGGCTCACAGCGCCTTACAGCGGGGTCACCCGCACCCCCAGACGAAGCTTACCCAGGCTCTGAGGTCCGCAGACCCCGCGAGCCAGGCTTTTCCGCGTGGGCTCGGGCCTCAGAAACGCAGAAAGAAGGCGCCGAGACCGGGGAACTCCCGCAGTCTACGCTCCCGAGCTCTTCGGCTCAAGGCGAGCGCTCTACCACTTGGGCCACGGCGCCACGTCCGGCTTTTTGCTGGTTAACTGGAGATAAAGTCTCACAGGGCTGGGAAGGTGCTACGGGGTAGAGCGCTCACCTCGCAGGCGCGAGGCCCTGGGTTCAATTCCCCAGTACCACATATACAGAAAAAGCCGGAAGTGGCGCTGTGGCTCAAGTGGTAGAGCGCTCGCCTGAGCTGAAGAGCTGAGGACGGCGCCCAGGCCCAGAGTTCAAGCCCCACAACCGACAACAACAACAACAGCTGAAACCCACTCAGAGGCTCCGATCGCCGACACGTGCGGCCGGGCCGGGCGCCCGGGCTGCGGAGGCAGAGGGAAGGGGAGGGGCGGCCCGGAGCAGCCCGGGGCCCCTGCACCCGACCCCGGGGCCCCTGCACCCCGACCCCGGAGCCTCTGCACCCCGACCCCCGGGGCCTCTGCACCCCGACCCCGGAGCCTCTGCACCCCGACCCCCGGGGCCTCTGCACCGCGACCCCGGGGCCTCTGCACCCCGACCCCGGGGCCCCTGCACCCCGACCCCCGGGGCCTCTGCACCCCGACCCCGGAGCCTCTGCACCCAGACCCCCGGGGCCTCTGCACCGCGACCCCCGGGGCCTCTGCACCCGACCCCGGGGCCTCTGCACCGCGACCCCCGGGGCCTCTGCACCGCGACCCCGGGGCCTCTGCACCCCGACCCCGGGGCCCCTGCACCCCGACCCCCGGGGCCTCTGCACCCCGACCCCGGAGCCTCTGCACCCAGACCCCCGGGGCCTCTGCACCCGACCCCAGGGCCTCTGCACCGCGACCCCCGGGGCCTCTGCACCGCGACCCCCGGGGCCTCTGCACCCGACCCCGGGGCCTCTGCACCCCGACCCCGGGGCCTGCGCTGCTGAGAACACGCCCCGGCCCAACCCGCAGCCGAGGACCCTGCGCCTGGGCCCCGCGGCGGGGACCAGACCTCGTCTGGAGTTGGGGGGGCGGTTCTTAGGACCGGAGGCGCCGCGCCCCGCGCGCCCCAGCCGGCGGGAGCTCGTCCCGCACCCCGGCTCCGCCGCCCCCGGCCCTGCTCACCCCGGCCCGCGGGAGCCCGTCCCGTGCCCCGGCCCCGCGTCCCCCAGCCCCGCTCACCCCTCGTCCCGCGCCCCGGCCCCGCCGCCCCCGGCCCTGCTCACCCCGGCCCCGCGCCCCGCCGCCCCGGCCCCGCGCTCCGCTCACCCCGGCCCCGCGCCCCGCTCACCCCGGCCCCGCGCTCCGCTCACCCCGGCCCCGCGCTCCGCTCACCCCGGCCCCGCGCTCCGCTCACCCCGGCCCCGCGCCCCGCTCACCCCGGCCCCGCGCCCCGCTCACCCCGGCCCCGCGCTCCGCCGCCCCCGGACCCCGGTCCCGCTCACCCCGTCCGGCGGGAGCCCGTCCCGTGCCCCGGCCCCGCGTCCCCCAGCCCCGCTCACCCCTCGTCCCGCGCCCCGGCCCCGCTCACCCCTCGTCCCGCGCCCCAGCCCCGCCGCCCCCGGCCCCGCTCACCCCGGCCCCGCGCTCCGCTCACCCCGGCCGGCGGGAGCTCACCCCGCATCCCGGCCCCGCCGCCCCGCGCCCCGCTCACCCCGTCCGGCGGGAGCTCGTCCCGCATCCCGGCCCCGCCGCCCCGCGCCCCGCTCACCCCGTCCGGCGGGAGCTCGTCCCGCGCCCCGCTCACCCCGGCCCCGCCGCCCCGCGCCCCGCTCACCCCGTCCGGCGGGAGCTCACCCCGCATCCCGGCCCCGCCGCCCCGCGCCCCGCTCACCCCGGCCCCGCGCCCCGCTCACCCCGGCCCCGCGTCCCGCACCCCGGCCCCGCTCACCCCGGCCCCGCGCCCCGCGCCCCGCTCACCCCGGCCCCGCGCCCCGCGCCCCGCTCACCCCGGCCCTGCGCCCCGCGCCCCGCTCATCCCGGCCCCGCGCCCCGCGCCCCGCTCACCCCGTCCGGCGGGAGCTCGTCCCGCGCCCCGCCGCCGAGCAGCCGGCGCTCGCGCTCCAGCAGGGCGAAGGCGGCCTCCAGGCGGCCCCGCTTGGCGCGGCGGTTCCGGCGCCACCAGGTCCACAGCAGCGCGCCGAGCGCCAGCCAGGTGACGCCGAGCCGCAGGTACCCGGCCAGGTACAGCGGCGCCGCGCACAGCAGCAGGCGCGCCGGGCCCCGCAGCGCCCGCAGCAGCCGGCCGGGCGGGCGCGGCTCGGGGCGCGGGGCCTCGGGGGGCCCGGGGGCGCACGGGGCCGGGGCCGGGGCCGGGGCCGGGGCCTCCGCGTGCATCTCACAACCTCCCCGCAGGCTTCCCCGACGTCGGGGCGCGTTCTCCTCAGCGCCGCGGTGCCGGGAGTGAGGCGAGAGTGGGCGGGGCCGCGGGGACCCAGGAAGCACGAGGTCTCCGCCCCCTGGGGCGGGGCCACGAGACAAGGGCGGGGCCAGGGTTAGGAAGAGCTGGGTGCACGAGGTCTCCGCCCCCCAGGGGCGGAGCCAGGAGACGGGGGCGGGGCCCGGGCAAGGAATTGCTGGGCGAGGCCCAGGAAGCACGAGGGACCTGTTTTCTGGGGCGGAGTCAAGGGACATAGAGGCTTGGCCGTGGTTCAGGGGAGGGATGGGCGGGGCCGTGAGGGGGAAGGTCCAGGAAGCCAGAGGTTCCCGACTCCTAAGGCGGGGGCTCAGGGGAAGGGGCGTGGCCATGGTTAAGGAGAGCCCAGTGGGGGGGGGTGAGCTTGAGGGGGCGGGGCCCTAGCAGCCCAACAGTCTCCGCCCCTGGGGCGTGGCCAAGGCACAGGGGCGTGGCTGGATGTTCAGGGGAGCTGGGCGGACCAGAGGAAAGAGGCGTGGACACAGGGCTGGAGGCGGGCCCAGGGAAATTAGGCCGATCTGGGCGGACCCCGAAGTCTCCGCCCCTGCCAGGGGCGGGCCCAGGCGGGGCCCCAGTGCCCAGGCCTGGCCTAAGGGGCAGCCAAGCACCTGCCGGATGCTGCTCCTCCGTCCCTCGTTTTCTGGTCATGGGCTGCGGGCGCTGCTCCTTGTCTCGGAGGACCTGGGGTTCAGGGCCAGCTCTGAATGCAACATGGTCTCCCTGGACCTCGCTCGCTTAATGACATCTGCAGAGACCCTGTTTACAAACAAAAACACATCACAGGTACTGGAGATTACGACTTAGATATAGCTGATGGGCCCGCCACCATCCGACCACGCAACCCAAGCGTGTGTGCAATTACAGCTAATGTATTTGTATTTATTATACTTATATGTATATATTATTATATATTATATACTTATATATGCTATAAGATACATAAACAAAAGTATATTTTATATATCATATAATCATAAACATATACATTATATATTGTATATTTATAATATATAACTATATTTTTGTATATAAAATATATTTATTATATATATATAATTACATATATGTATATAGAAGAGGGGGACCCCAAACCAGGTTAAGGGGTCCCCAAAAGCCCAGCGAGGCTCCAGATGAAAACCCATGGGGCTTTGCACGCAGCAGACCCGGCCCTCACCCCCAAACTGAATACCCAAAAGGCCTGTGGTGGGAGAATTAGCTTTCTTATTACAAGTTCCCAGGGGGACATGTGGCTCTGACTACACTTCGAGGTCCACTGACCCAAATGGGTCCTTGGAAATCCATCTAGAAAGTTCCATCTTTGATTGGGGAAGATCCTTCCCCTGCAACACTTTGTGGCTGTGGGCTGCAGACTGAATAAGCCGGGGTGGGACCTGGTGAGGAGAAAAAGCAGACAGACTTTTCTAAAAGGCCTTCTTGGGGGATCCTACATTTGCACACACACACACACACACACACCACCCACCCGTCTCCCCATTAGGGCTCAAGCAGGTGGACCGTGTCTAGAAGGCATGAGGTGTGGGGGGGTGCCCTCCGGCACTAAGTGTCCACAGGAGTCAGGCTGGCTCCAGTGGGAAGGTTTAGAGCCAGAGAACTCAAGAAAACAGTTGCCTAGAAAATTTCCCCTGCCTGTCATCCCAGCCACTCAGGAGGCTGAGATATGAGATCCCAGTTCAAACCCAGCCCATGAGACTCTGATCTCCAGAAAACCAACAGTGATGCTGTGGCTCAAAGTGGTAGAGTGCTTGGCTTGAGCTGAAGAGCTGAGGGACAGCGCCCAGGCCCCATGACTGACCTGCCCCCCCCCCCCAAAAAAAAAGTAAATAAAACATAGCTCATCCAGAGTCACAGCTGCTCTGGCGCCATCTGCTGGACAGGAAGGGCAGAGGTCCTGGGCTGTCAGGGACTCAAGTAGAACAGCCACACCCGAGGTCAGAAGGGGGTGACCTCGGGATAGGGGGGAGCCCCAGATAAAAAGAGCTCAGCCCAGGTCCCACTGGAAGCTGCCCAGGAAACGTCCTCCATCCGCCCATGCCCTGGTGGGGGTGTGGTGGAACTTCCTGATTTCACACCGGGATCCTGGCTGAGTCGCCAGTGTGTCACCCAGCCCGTGTGACAGCCAGGAAATGCTACACAGGCCCAGTCAGGGCCAGGGAGGTAGACGGAGGCCTGGGCCACACACCCCGCCCAGGGGGAGAAGCCATGATCACAGGACAAAAATGTCTCCCCCAGCCAGGGGTCCCCCTGGGCCTTGGGAGGTGCCTCCTGAACTTCATCATGCTCAGGGATGCTTGTGCCCTGGCCTGTTTCCTCAGTATCTGGGGAGGGCAGGGCTGGAGGTTCAGTTCCTCCCCCCCCCCCCCACATGCGCAGAAAAGTCACTCTGAGTCACCAGGGTTCGTGACCCACCTTCAACTCACTGAGAAGGGGAGGGAGGGAGGGAGATGCCTGGAAAGATGTACTCCGGGCCCTGCACTTGCTAGGCGGGCGCTTGACCCCTTGAGTCACACCATCAGCCTCACCCTTGTGTTTTGCTTTATTCTTCAGCATTTTTATACCCCAGCTTCAGCCTCTGGCCACAGTCCTCACTCCTATGCCTCCTGAATGGCTGGGATGACAGCTGTGCCCTATCCTGTGCGAGTTGTTGGTGGAGATGGAAGCTTCCCTCACTTTTTTGGGGGGAGAGGGAGGCTTGAACTCTGGGCTTGGGCTCTGTCCCTCAGCTCTTCAGCTCCAGTCGAGCACTCTACCACTTGAGCCATGGTGCCACTTCTAGTTTTTTGAGTGGTTCATTGGAGATCAGAGTCTCTCGGACTTTCCTGCCCAGGCTGGCTTGGAACCACGAACCTCAGATATCAGCCTCCTGAGTAGCTAGGATTGCAGGTGTGAGCCTGGGACCTGGCTTGATCCTCCCATTCTCTAGATCTCTCTTCCAAGTAGCTGGGATTACAGGCGTAAGCCACCACACCCTAGAAGAGCAGGTCAATAGCTGAGCCAGAGGCTAGGTATCTATCTCTACAGGCTGCCTCCACCTACCTTCCTTCCTCCGGGGCTCTGGGCAGGAGGTAGATGTTCTCATGGCTGCCAGGAACTCCCTCCTCCCTGGAGTGGGGGGTGGGGGAAGGCTTACAAAGCTCTCGGAGAGGACGGTGTGAACACAAGACCAAGCTTCCTTCATTTCTTTATTAACAAGTGGCGGTTAACACCGAGACGGAATAGAAAAGTGAGGGGAAAGGCTCAAGCATCCTGGCAGTGGGCTGGCAGCCACCTCGTCCTGTGTTCATCCTGCGTAACAGTAATTCAAGTATCGCATGGTCTACGTGACCCCGGCTGACCCCCATGGGCGATTGGGGGTGGGGGGTGAGGGGCCTCTGGAGTTCCTTCTCTGGGTGGGTGGAGGGTGCTTCTAGGTTATGTGCTATGGCCAAGTGACGCTGTCCACACTAAGCTAATCACCCTGGGTGACCAGTACCATGACAAGGTGCTAGGCCAAGTCCTAAGAAAAAACACAAACAAAAAAAAACCAAAGAGCCCACCATGTTGGTGCCGGCCAGCCCCAGCCTATGAGGTGTGGAGTTCAGCTAGGACTAGTTCTGGGGACACGGGAGCCCTCTAAAGGGAGAGCACAAGGGCAGAGGTGTGGGGTGAGGGGGTTTCAGGAAGGGCGTGATCCAGGAGACGCGAAGGTAGCACTTTTTATTTTCTCTCTTCTGGAAAGCCACCGTGGTCTGTGCCGGGGGGCCTTCCTGACCTTGCTCCTTCACCCATCTCCAGTCCACAGCCCCACCACACAGGTGCGTTCTGTAATCCAGGGTCCCCGGCAGCCTTTGGGATGGAGAGAGCTTGGTCTTCCTTTACCACATCTTACATCCGGGAAACTCCTCTAGAATGACCCCTTGTGTCCTTCTTAGGGATAGAGGGAGTGGAAATGAACCGGGGGACAGCCCCCTCGATGCCAGCTCCTTTCTCCTCTGGTCTTCGGTCAGCATCAAGATAAACACGTGCTCTAAAAAGTAAGCTGCCTCTGCTGAGATTACAGGCGTGCTGGAGTCGCTGGTCCGTGGGGTCGGAGGGGAATGGCTTCAGGTGCAGGTCAGGACCTGTTCGAGGCTCAGTATGGCGTCTTTTTGCTTAGGGTTCAGCACAAAGGAGCGCTTTCCTTCCTGGTGGGGCAGGAAGGAAATTGGGGAGGAGTCGGGGTTCGGGGCGGGGGGGGGTCTTCACACATGTAAGAACACAACCCACACGTACTAAGAAACACGCCCCTGACAAAGCCAAGGGCGCTCCTTTAGTTTATATATTTTCAGGCGAAGGAAAACCTCTTTCACACATTTCTGTGGTTATTATTATTGTGCTGGTACTAGGACTTGAACTCAGGGCCTGGGCACTGTCCCTTAGCATTCTCTTCTCGAGGTGGGTGTTCTACCACTTGAGTCTCAGCTCTCCTTCCGGCTTTGTGCTGGTTCATTGGAGATAAAAGTGTCTCCTGGGCTTTTCTTGGCTGGTTTGGAACTGCGATCCTCAGATCCCAGTCTCCCGGGTGGCTGGGATTACAGGCGTGAGCTACCAGTGCCCAGCTTAGAAACCTCCTTGAGAAAGAACATGGTTGGGCCAGCCACTCATGTTCACAAAATCAAATTCTGTCTTCTCCGTTCCAGGCTCCGGGTGGTGGGCAGGGTCAGTTTCCTGTCCGGCTGGGGAGACCGAGGCCTCCGTGAATACCCATCATCCCCTCGCTCTTTTCTCCGGGGTGGAGTTAGTTTGGCACTGCTGGGGAAAACCCAATCAAGAGGATCGCAGTCCTGAATCCCAGACTTTGGACAGGACGGACAGTCTGCCCCGCAGGTAATAAAAATAATCGTCATTGGAATAACTTATAAATCTACAAAAGACAGGTCAGAACTCACACAGGGGAGGGGCGCGTGCGCACGAGCCGGGTATCTCGAGTGGAGATGAAGTCTCCATACTTGATGTAATGAATACCTCCCTCCCCCGCCCCATCTGCTCCCTGCGCCCTCCTGGGGCCCCAGGGCTGTGGTTAGAAAAGGGGGTTCAGTGTGGTTAGGCAGGGGGCATGTGGGTCCCCCCCCAGGGCAGGCCGGTTAGGTCGCTGTGGCCCAAGGCCTCCACGGGCCCGTCACAAGATCACACACTGGAGTTTGTGGGTACCGGTGGCCCGGTCTCCCCGCCATTTGGTTTTCTTCTTTTTCTTCTGGCTTTTATCTGGAATCTGTTGCCTTTTGGAGAAGGGAAGGGGAAAGAGACAGTCAGGAGGAAGACAGAATCGCCACCCCGCTACCCTTTCAGCCTGACT